AACCCAAGACATTGATTAGTATTGACAATTTGACATATCGATCTTATAACTGATATAAATTTTTCCAATTTCCCCATATAATCATTGGTGAATGTACATTTGATTAACACTATTCACCACCTACGTCACTTACAAACTAACATTCTCAAGTTTAACGACAAAACGATAATTTTGTGTCAACCTCCTAAACAGTTGTACTTGTAGATTTGATAACTGTATATAAGCCTATAATTGCAATTTTCTCCATAAATGTTTCCCATAATCCTGGACAATAAAAGTTTTCATGTACTCTACACATGTATCACTTCTACTTATCCTTACCTTATAAAAACTATAAGATTACTCTTATGAATAGTGTTATGCCAATTATACCCTTCAAAATGTGTATTTACATATATACCCTAATTAATATGTACAAGTTTTTTAAATGAATAGTGTTTGGACAATTACACCATCAAAAATGTCTATTTTCTTATTTTCCCTCACTAATGATAATTACTTTTTTTTTTAACTCTTAAAAATAATGTGTGGACATTTACACCTCTAAATATATTTGTTTATATATCTTCTCTCATTATGTTGTCAATAACTAAATTTGTAATATAAGGCCAAAGCGAGGCTAGCTATGGCCCATTAGCTGCCCTAGTATTTAGAAAAGTACAAATAAAACCTACACTGTGACATACTGAACTACATAACCAAACAAATTATCTACCAAGCAATGAACACTAAAAAGGTGCATAAAATGAACAAATTACCAAACGTTACCCTCCACAAAATTTTATTATGCTATATTATATATCATGAATATCACTAATAATCAATAATATTAATATTTCATAGCATTTGGAAACACAATTAATGGTTTTTTTTTTTTTTTTTTTTTAATCTTCATAAACAAAAACCCTTAGCCATCCAATCACTGCGCTATGCTCATCGTGGTAGTTTATAATCAATGCATTGTCTATTAGCAAATAAATAATGTGATGTTAGCTGCATCAGAAAAAGGAAAAATGTATATAATGCAGTATTCACATATACCTATGTGTATACATATATTGAAATTGACTTCTAAGGCCCTGTTCTTTAGAGTTGCTCCACTCTACTGAAATATGCTCTGCTCAGCCCTTATTGGCTGACTCAAATCTACTATGCTGACACTAGCTCTGCTGAAATATGCTCTGCTCTGGCCAAAAACTCAAAGAACAGGGCCTAAATTTGTACTCCTCCGTCCCACAATACTTCGGACGTTGGGGTACGGTGGACACGTAGTTTAAGAAAATTACAACTGGGTCTATTTAAAACATTTGTTTATTGTATAAAAGATTCTCCTTGTATTTTAATATTACAAGAAAACTACAAATGGGGTGGGAGTGGGGTAGGTGAGGAGAGTGAAAATATTTTTTTTTAATGGTTTCATTCCATATTTAATAACATGTCAAGTATTGTGGGAAAGACGAAAATGAGAACTGTGTCAAGTATTATGGGACGGAGGGAGTATAACTTTGCATTCAAATGAGTTTGTGTTAACTTTCCCAAAAATCATAAAATTGTGTTACTGAGTCTTGACTAAATAAGCTCATATCCTTTGTTCAATTAAATCCAATTATATTCATTTTTATATATTTATTGCATTTGATCAAGTTCAACTCGAATTTTAATGTTCTACACGTTAGCTGAGTTTGTTTAACAAACAACATAAAAACTCGAAGAAGCAATTTAAAAGGTCAATTAAACCTAATTTGAGCTTAAACTCGCAAATTTCTTATCAAGCCTGGAATTAACAGGTTAATACCCGAGAGTCAAGACATCCCTATCCTTAGCATTGCAATAAGACGCTTGTTTTTGGCTAAAATGAATAGCATAATAAAACATACACATTTAAAAATGATAGATAAAGGGATTGAGCCCATTACATTAGAGAACACTTATAAATAGGGGTGTACACCGGTCCAAAACCGGACCGGGCCTGTTAGGACCGGGACCTGAATCAACCAATTTTGAGGACCGGGGACCGGACCTGATTCAGCAGGTCCGGGTCAGGTCCAGACCTGAGCAATCAGGTCCGGGTCAGGTCCAGACCTGAACAGACCTATTTTGTGTGTTTTTTTTTAAAAAAGAAAATAAATAACCTGTTGGACATGTTTATAGACCTGTTTATGGACTTGTTTACATAAAACCTAAAAATATCAATAACAAAAACTACATAAAATCTCTAAGTCTCAAATATAACAAATAATTCATTAAATTACATTTGATTAGTACACTGTCCAACAAATTTACAAAAATTCACAGAATACTACATTGCATATATTCTGAAAATATAAACAGATTTTAAACTGTTCCATAAGTTATACAACAAGTAGAGTAGCCAAAATAATGAAACGAATATTTTGTAACTGAACATTTCATAAGTTCTGAAATGATTCATTTCCCAATTAACTTCCTTTCTGGTCTTTAGACAAAGTTAGATAAATTTTCAAAGGAATGTGTTAACAAAAAATTAATAACTAATTTGGCTTTAGTTTGAGTTAATTAATTAATTAGAAGGGCACTTTAATATTAAAAAGTTAACAAAAAAAAATTGCAAATAAGAAACAACAGAGTACCAAAAATAGAACAAGCATCACAGCACAAGTGCACAACACTAGAACACAGTTCATACAATAAACATGAAATACAACAACTGAGTACATGAAAAGAGAGTACCACAAATATTACAAATACATTAGTCCTTAAACATGTGATCAAAGTCACTTAGGGGAATTACCACTAATGACACAGTCATACGAAAGACATAACACACCAACAACTAAAGAGAGAAATTAGATGACAACAGCTATGAAACCTTCCTTTTCCCCTCGTCCAACCTGCGCATTTCCCTGATTTATCAATCTACTCCCAGCAAATTCACAATATAAACAGATTTTAAACTCACAAATCGAAAGAAACCAAAATTCAACATGAATTCGAAACAATTGAACTAAAAAAATTCAAAAACAGTTACTTTAAATAAATAAAAAACTCAAAAAAAAAACATGAATTCGAAAAAAATGAACTAAAAAACAGAATTTCAACATGCAAACATCAAACAATCATTATTAGCAATTGAAACATGAATAAACATATGAATGCCTCACATTTAATTCAACATTTCAAATTAAAAAAATATCCAATTCAAATATAATTCGATTTAATTAAAAAAAAAAGAACTTACAAATCCCACCGTGAAGGAGTTCGTGCAGGTGGACGAAGATGGTAGTCTGGCTGATGCAGCGTGTAGAGGTTTCCGTGCTGCTGGTCTGGTGGGTGGTGGCGACTGGTGTCTGGGCGGTGGCGACTGGTGTCTGTGCAGATCTGCTGCGTGAGGGAGTGAGTGTTGGTGTGGTGTCGGTGTCGGCTGAGAGAGAGAGTGCGTGAGTGAGGAGTGAGTTAGGGTTAGTGGGTAAGTGGGTTACAAAAATGAACAGACTTGTTTTGAAATTTGGATTTTTTTTTTTTAATAAAAAAGGCATTTTTACCGGGTTTCAGGTCCAGACCTGAAAACCCCGGGTTTGGACCTGATCCGGACCGGGACCGGGAACCTTGATTTTCAAGGACCGGGACCGGACCTGAATCTACAGGTCCGGGTCAGGTCCGGTCCAAACAGGTCCGGGTCAGGTCGGTTTTCAGGTCCGGTCCTTTTTATGTACACCCCTACTTATAAACCTTTTAACCACTAAACCACCTTGTTCTCTTATCTATTATACTAAACATAATTGCTAATGATTTTTCTTTTTCTAAAGTGGAGGGACAATTGTCTCCTTGCCCCTGGCTAGCTCCGCCAGTGGCGTGCGCCATAACTAGTCATGTACGGGGAGCTCTTTTGGATTGACTTTATGTCACAAATTTAGTTGTTGCCTTGTTTGTAGCATTAACGAGGATCAATATGTATAGAAATATTTTCAAGGGTATAAATGTCTGCACACATTAAAAGTCTAAAAAAAAAGTCAATTAATATTAATGAGGGCAAATAATAGAACAAACATCCTCAGGGGTTTAATTATCCAGACACTATTTATAAGAGTTTGCTTAAACTTTTTAAAAGGTATGAATTAAGAACTTGTTTAATTGACTTTATTTTCAGTTATTTTCAAGTCTAATAAGTTCATATAAATTCAGTTCATGAAAAAAAAAGTTTTAATAAGGACTATCCAAATTCAAATTACAAGTAAATAAGTTTTAATAAGACCTAATAATTTTAGATAAAATTAGATAAGTAAAAATCAAGAAAATATAATAACACTCAAAATACGAGCTTTTTCATGCCAATGTATCACGTGTGATAATAGATATAATCCACTTTCAATTCTTCATATCATTCAACAATTTGATTTGGACATCATTGTCGGACCAACCCAACATCGATGGTGGACCTATTTACACTGAGTATAATTTAACATCATACCATTAAGATTTTCAGGAAAGACATCACTCATTCAAAGTATATTGTACTCCTTTAGCCCAATAATATAACGCATCTATTAATAATGACACCAACAATTTGCCACAAGAAGATCCTTCAGATTATGTAAACAGGGTTTAATTCCATGTCTCAGATAGTCAGAAATCATCCCCAAGAGCTTTAGACTAGCATCCAATCATCATTTTCACACTCAAAATCTCAAATAAATAAATTAGATCAAAGCATCAAATTAATTCCCCGCTGAACCGAACACGCCATTAACGCTGAACATTTACACGAGCACTAGGCGTGGTCTTTTACACTTCACTGCAAAGTGTATTGTGCTTCAGCAGTTAGTAGCAAACTCTTCCTAACAACACAATCCATTATGCGGTCAATATTCGAACTAGTTCGACCCATTTTACAAGTTTTACCCATGATGGGTTTCATAAATCCTATAGTCGATTTTTGTATTATTATGTGTAGTTAAAACAATGGAAACATAATAGTATCCCGCAAATCAGAATTTTATGCCTGCCAAATACAGAAATACTACTACGACGTAATAAATCAGTCTTATTACTTGCACACCGTTACACTTACCATTCCTTTGATATAGACGTGTAAATGTGTAATCAAACATATATGCACATATAACATTTCCTTTGTATTAATATGCACTGTAGTAGCAAATTATCATCTTTAGTAATGTACCTACAAGGTAACTGAATTATGACGGCAGAGAAGGTGGCCTAAGCAAAAAAATTAGGCACCATTGTCACCAACTCTAAAATTGTTTTCCCAAAACTTGCGTAGTTATGCCAGTGTCCAGGCACTACTCAAGACCAGGTCGGACAATGACCTCTAACAAATCCAAGTGGATAAATCTTGAATCTCGAATCTATTCATCTTTCAGATTCAGCTTCCTCACCATTCTTCTGACTGCCTAGCCTAACAATGTCTTCAACGAGTATCTTCCCCTCTGATAAAAACAATCACAAAGAATCAGTAAGACAGTAATAGCAAAAGAACTGTAAGTCAGACCAACTTTAAGATGTCTTCTGGTACAGTAAAATGCTAGTGCCAAATGAATAGAGAATTAAGAGCACTTATAAGTGACAACAGATAACACTTTCATGCTAGGAAAGAAAATCGATCCCTAGCTTGTACAAACATTACAAAGTATATGTTAAAACATTACTTCAGTCTAAATATTAAGGGCTACAATTGATTTGAGGCTATTTAAAAACTTAGGCCTCATTTGGTTGCATATGGGAATTAAATGCCTATAGGAAGTTACAATACATGGGAAATTTTATTGACTGGAAATACTAAAATTGTGTTTGATTGACAAATAGGAAATAGTAATTCCCATGAATTAGTTTCCTATGTTTTGTTCGGTTAACTTATTTAATACCCATGTATTATTATAACTTGAACTACTTTCCCAAAATTTTGAGGACAATAATGTAATTTTGCCAAAAATACATGTGGGAAGTTTGAGTGACCAAGGTAGGGTGTGGGAAATTAATTCCCATGTTTTGTAGGAATTCCAAATTCCTTAGGAATTTCCACTTCCTACATTTTTGCTAACCAAACAACTACTCTTAAACATATTTCCCATGTTTCCCCCATTATTGAAGTGCAACCAAACAAGGTCTTAGAAGTAAATAGACTACAGCTAACCTTCATCATAAAAAAACTTCAATTATACAACATAATAATATAGAACAAAGGTATAAGGGTAATATGGTTTTATGGGTAGGTTTAAAACTTACGCTACCATTATTAGAAAGTAATATACTATTCAGACATTTTGAAACAGATATGTGGCTTAGATTTAAGGATGGAGGGAGTATATTAAACGGACCTCTGTCTTTTGACAGCTTGCTGATGAGCTCTTGGATACCATCTTTGTCAATTTTGTTTTTCAGATATGCAGCAGCAGAAGCTACTTCTTCTGGAGTCACCTTCCCATCGTAATCCCTAGATGTCAAGAGACAGGTCAAATATCAGCATGGTGTCTCTTATACAGCATTTAAACTAAAGGTCATACAATACATGAAGCAAGCTTGCACAAAGAAAATATAAAGAAAAATAATAGTCCTTGCAAGAGAGTCAAGTACGACCTTATTGTATCAGTGCCTTCACTAGTTCCACCTCACATATGCAGAAGATATTCTGACTCAACAGTCTCAAGACCTCAACTACAATCATACAAATGAAATACCGAAAAAGATAAAGGCGGGAATTCGCCTAGCTCAAAATAACAGCATATCACAATTCCATTGCTTAGTTCAATTATTTAACAATGGGTATATAAAACTACACAAGGAATTTGCAACTATGCCCTTGGTTTCTAGCCGCAGGGAGAGAGGGCCAGGAGGTGGTAATTCTTGATATAGATCAAGTCCATAATTTAGAAAATTTCATCATTGGCTAGCTCAATCATTCGACAAGAGATTTGCAGTTAAATCATGCCCATTGTTCCTAACACCAGAAAAGGAGGCCAGGAGGTGGGAATTCTCTATATAGCAAGGTAAATAGCAAGTCCATGATCTAGGGGTCGTTATTATTGCCAGATATCATAGCATCAAGAGTAAAACATTGATGAATAACGTCAGCCACATGCCAAAACAATTTGTCATCGTTCTAGCTTGAGAGCCATCCATATAGAAACATAGTTATCCACTCCAGGATCTCCACAGGCTAATAAAAATAACTAAGACCTGCCAGATAATAATCATAATAGCATACCTATCGAGCAATCGCCATTCACCACCAATCTTCTCATCCACATCATCAATTTCTTTTTCAAGTTTTTGAAGAATAGCATCCACCTGATACAGTATATAAAAAAAATCCCAATAATTCAACAGTTACAGGAAATATACAGCATTACAGATCCATCAGCCAATGGAATAATATCATCTAGTTTAAGAGAAGCTGGATCAGAGAAATAAAACTCATGCAGACCTTATTTATCAGTGCTGAAGAAACTTGAGCAGTATCTAACTCTTCTTCATCACCCTCCCGGGCAGCTTTGTATGCTTCCTTAGCTTCAGCTTCCCCCTCTTTACCCTCCTTGTCCACCATAGTGTTGTATAACTCAATCTGGAAAAGAGAATTAGAGACGTAAATCTTGCGTCCTAAAGTGGTGGAAAAACTTGTTTGAAGAAACTAGTTCCAACTTTTCGCTTACCTCTTTATTCACAAGTCTCAAGAATTCCTCCCGTTCCCTGCTCACTGACTAAAGAAAGTAAAATATAGTCAAAATTAGTAACATATAACTATACAAGGCTCCGTTGTAATATATCTAGCACCAAAATAATCTTACTGATGCAGAAGCCAGAACAGCCAGTGCACGACTGAGCTCACAAAGTTGGTCATCTTTATCTGACAATGCAGCCTTTGCGTAATCTTGTGCCTGCCTGTTAGTTGCATCCACCATTTCTTCCAAGGCAACGTCCTTTTCACTAACAGTAGACTCCTTAAGTTTCGCCTTTTCTTCTTCTGCTTTCATCTTCTCCTCCTCTTCCTACAATTTGGTGAGTTAGAATATATATATTTAAAGTCTGAAACCCAACACTCGAATAAATTTTAATATATTTATCCTCGGACAAGTGAAGCAAGTTTTATCCTAAAGGAGAAAACATAGGGAATGCTTTACATGGTGCTCAGAAGGTTAGGAAGAGGAATGAACAGCCAGTAAAATTGAACATTGTAAGACCTAATATGTTCGGAGGCAGTAAAAGAAATTAAAACCTTGATCATTTCTTCCTGCATTTCAAGGAACTCTAACTTTCTCCTCCTTTCTGAAACTGCATCCTCAGAAGGCAAAGACGTTGCTCCAATGGTATCGACAACCTCATCTGGCAAAGAGGAAATAGCAAATTCCACGGCTTCCTCAGGCTTTATTGTTCCAGACACATTGAAGGCTCTGCCAAAAGAATTGTAGATCAGTGCGCAAAGTTGGGAAGTAGCGCTACTAAGCTTTATTTAATATAATATATAAATATCAAGAGATGAAATTCCATATAAACCAGAAGAGTTTCCAAGCAAAACACTGCCTACCTTGAAAGAATTAGAAGAGATGATGGAACAGAGTGATTGAGAGATAAGTCCAACCAATCACGCAACTGCACATACATGACAATTTGAATGAATGGACATTGACCAGAACCAAGTACTAGAGATAGCCGAGAACCACCATGGTTAATCAGATGACAAGTACAAATTATTCTAAAAAATAAGATTAGCAATTTGTATGGGTTCAAAATTACATCAAAACAGTCAGGTAATAGGCACAAATCTACTGCAACCATAAATAATGGTTAGATTACAACAAAGATCAACACAAGTAGTGCATCAACCACTTAATGTCAGAAAGAAATTTGGTAAAGCACTGTGAGCAAACCTGTTGACGCATCTCTTCAACAGAAAGTAAACCAAGTAAACCTCTATCTCTACATGCTTGACGAAGCTCTGCCTCTGAAAGTGACTCAATACCCTCGGCTTGTATCATCTTATCATCCTCTTTAATCCTTCCAAAAGAAAGAAGTTAGTGTCCACTATCACAGCGCACAACTCAATTATGGAACATCAACATTATTTAATCATTTAACATGGACGACGAATTTGAGCATACACAGCCAACTAAACAATTCATTGTATCATTTAGCCCAAGTTAGTCAAGTCCATGAATTCACTCCGATGAGACAAATTCAGTACAATAAAAATCTAAGAATCAAATGAGTACAAGTTATGAACCGGAAAATTCTACAGAAATACTGAAGAAATTTGCATTAAAAGCTAGAAATAAAGAGTAATACAAGCTTTCAAGATGCTTGTTCTCTCCCAAACTGTATAATAAGAATAAAAAAAAACTTTCAATAATAATCACCATAACAATCTCTCTCTAATCTTCTCTTATTTATAGCATTAATCCTCTAATTCACTCACTAACATAAAAATATTGCATTACCCAATACACTTTTCCAAAAATGCTAATTCATAGCAGTACACATCAGAAAATGGATTCAGAATGTGACACTAAGAAAGACATGAGCTAATGACAGCAGGGCACAAAAGATAAAAATTATTGTTGAAATGTATAAATATCAAATTAGATTTATAGGGAACTTCATGATTCAGACCCCTAAAACAAAGCCAACCGCCACCCCCCCCCCCCCAAAAAAAAAAAAAAAAGGGTCCATTTTGACGAAAGGTGGAAGGTTGAAGCTAAAAAATCAACTTATTTATGAACAAAAATAAATTAGGCCCATAACCAACACAAAAAAATTATATTAAACTTTTCTGCAAAGTTTAGATTCAATATGTTAAAAGTATTGAACAACTTTGGAAATAGATTTTAAAAAATCTACAAATTCTGCGTTATTACAACTGTCCTAAATTTTATTTAAGGATGTTCCAATAGAAGTATTCAAATGCATTATACTCTTTTCAATAGACGCATAACTTCACTAAAATATGATATAATCACATCAACATTATCTCTATAGCTTTAAATAGGCTTTTGCTCAAGAGTGCAACCTTACACCATATTTAAAAAGAGAAAAAAAAAAGAAAAAAAAAAAAAGTTTTTCATTAGACATTCTCATCTAAATTTTACGGAGCACAGTACAAGAATTTTGCTACTTCAGAATAAATGAGAAGATTATAGAATTATAAGCCCATTTATTTGTCCATTGTAGCCCTGAGATAAAGAACAGCAAATGTGTTTCTTTAATCAATAGGGCAGCGAGAGTGACACAGAGCATGTATATTACCAAAATCAAGGCCTCACCAAAAATTCAGAACCACCCCCCCCCCAGTGTTATGGTACTACTATTTGACAATACACAAAGCAAGTAGTCCCTCCGTCTCTAAAAAATTGCTGCACTACCTATTAGCGGTTCCCACAATTTTTAATTTTTTTTCCTACTTTCTTCTACCCCATAAACAAAAAGACAAGATTGCCTACCCACTCAATACAACTATTAAAAAAAGGTAACAAAAGGGTAGTGGGGTAAACAAAAAGGGATGCAGGAAGTAGCATATATTTCATCCAAGATCACATGTCAAACCACCATCAGGATCTTGCTACTTAAAAGTTATAAATTAACATAGTTACACATAATTCATAAGAAATACACCCAACCAAACAAGTATAACGTATTATTAAATATGAATTGGTAACTTACTTCCTAAGCTTGTCTCGAAGCATAAAACGTAAATATGCATCGGTTCCAAATGGCCTGATACCCATATATTTGCACATATTTACCAATCGAGGCCTGTAACAAAGAAATCAATGTCACTAAAGCAATAACATACGTAAAACAGATTACCTTTCCACATACAAAACAGGTCATACATGATCCGGCAAAAAAGCAGACACCACCAACCTGCTAATGTTGTCAAGAGTCAATTCATCATTAAATAACTTGGCAAAATTCAGGATTTCTTCGTTGGAGACATCTTCACCCCTCCTAACCTGTAAATATTATGATTTAATTAAGGAAAACAAAAGTAGATGTAAAGATATTTTTTATAAGATGAGACAATGATGACAGCGTTACTTTGTTCACAAATTCATCAAGATCTTCTGCTGTCTGTTTAATGTCTCCACTACGAGAATTTTTTATTTCCTTTGCCATTTCTTTCACTGTATCCTGAAGAAACTTGGCATATTCAATTCTTGCATTTAGCTTCCTTTTTAGTTTCTCCTGTAAAAAAGCTAGAAGATATGAGAGCATAGACATAATGTTGAATTCCAATATAGATTACATGGTAGACAACAAGCACCATAGAGCAGCTCACAACTCTCCCTGTCTGCTAAATGAAGGGAAAAAAAAAGGAAATCTGCTGCACCAGCAGTTCTTGGTGGAAAACACAGAAGGTATATGCAAAGACAAAGTGGGAAACCTAAATTAAGGCTACCCACTGCCAATCATATTTTCAGTAGAATAGAAAACACAGTTTTATGTAGAATTTTTCTGTTCTAGGCAGTACTATGACTTACTTCCAGTTTTTTAACGGGATTTTCAGTTTTAATGCATAATAATACAAGTATGTTTGGATAAATGGCAAAGATCAAATTCAATTAACTAAAATGCCAGAAAGTAAAACATGAGAATAAGTACAGCAAAATTATATTGTTAACAGTATACAAAAACTTAAATAAAAATTAAAAAATAGAGACTACCCTACTTTCGTCACAATGCCTCAGTAAACAAAGACGCAAAGTATAAATAAAGCATGAAATATATCAAGATCCCTATGCAACTGAAAGTTTGCAACAGTACCAAATAGTCCATATTACTAGAAAATGCCACCACAACAAATTAAAATTACCTGTTCCTTCATCTTGTCTTGGAAAGTTGATGGTAGCATGTTGGGAAATAATTTCAAAAATACCGGCAGCAAGAATTCCATGAATGGCACAATAATGAAAACTGCAACTGGAACTAGCCTGAAGATATCAGCTGTAGTTCGGGTGAGTTGTTGTCTCTCTCTCCTTGATAGACTCTTGCCCTTGGAAAGCTTCGATAGCAGCCTCAAGCTTATTCTAACATCAGCCCAAAGTAATTTTGTGCCCAACCAATAATGCTTCATAGCAGATACAAATTCATCCTTCCAATGACGAAGCTTAACAGCCCAATCCGCTCTACATTAACAGAAAACCTACGTAAATATATTTACAGAAAATTGTGTCTAAGAAAGATTTAAGGTTTTACCTGCTCATTGAAGCAACAGCCCTCAATGCAGGCCCAATCCCTAAAAGGGTAGCCCAAAACTTTTGCATTATTGTTTTTGCACTCTTTTGATTTTCTTGCATTTGCTTAGCTATGGCTTTAGCTTTAGCTGAGCTAAGACCCTCAACTGCTTGATCACATTCTTCAGGTGAAGGTTCTTTTGATTGAGCAACAGCTGTTTCTTCATCTTTGTCATTACTATTATGGAGTTCTGGTTGACCTGATGCTGCTGATGAAGAATAACACAAAAGTTGTGACCGCCAGCCCGCTCCTAAAGGCGATCCATAGTTGAGATGCACATTAATTGATGTCATAGCTGAACTCCGAGCAAAATGATTGTGTAGATACCCAGCAGAAGAAATAAGTTGCAATTTATCTTTGGTTACTGAAAATGATTCCCTCTCGTTCCTTGAATCAATATCCAAAGAAGGAAGAGCAGCTGCCCAACTCTGTGAATGAGGTACAAGAGATGATTGCTCTTGCTCAAAACTTGAAAAACAACGGAATGAGCCATTGCCTTGAGTCCAAGCACTGGCAAGGGCTTTCCTCCGGCACAAAATAGCTCTTGTTGCCATCAGGAGTTCCCTTAAAGTTAAAAATTATCTAAATCTCCCCTAGATCACTACTTCTTGATGCCCATGGGATGATGAATCATTCTCCAATCATGCAACATTAGCAAGTGCCAACGCCTGATGAAACTTGTGACAAGAATAAAATCAATCGACAAAAACAAGTCTGATTGAGCAATAAATATATTGAGAAGCCACTAGAATGATGAATTCTCGACAAACTATGAAGTATAAAATAAGCAAATGGCACAAAAATTCCCAAGAGCCAACTATGTACAAAAGTTGACGGGTTACAATAGTAACATGAAGCGTATAGAACTACTCCATAACATAGAGTGAAGAGCTCATTTTGACCTACTAATTAAAACACTATCTTATTTCCAGCACTATCCCTTTCCTACCTACATTGAGGTAATGATATAAACTTGAAAAGTTACTTCGTGAATCAGTCCTGGATGAATCTCGAATCTCTCTCTAATATTCCAATCTAAAAATCGAGCATGGTATAGTGCAACTATTCCACATATCTTTCTCGGTACTTAATCTCGTGACAGAAAAGCTCGGTTTCAAAAAAATATATGCAACAGCCCAATTGCTAGGTAGCTCCAACTAATACTCGTTCAAAATTACACAATACACCGTGTCTCCTACAGATTGCACACTTAATTTCCTAAAACAATAAACATTATAATAACTAAATTTTGACCTCAAAATCAAACTTCCACATTATGCTATAGGATCCAAGTCTTACTGCAGAAATGTCAGATTATTGTATGCAGTTATGCACTAATAAACCAAATTCAGCATCGAAAACAAAATTAATCCGAAAAAAATACGATCAACACAGCAAACTCGCATATTTTCAGACGACATCCACAAAAATCCAGGTCTAATTTCAACATAAATTAGCTATAGCATTATCATCGCAACGAACTAAAACAAATTGCGAACAACATAATCATCCCTTTTCATTTCCCAGAAAAATCAACTACTTTGCATTTGCATAAAAATCTTACAAAAACAAAGATTACAATGAAATGAAATTGTGATTCGAGATTCAAACCTTGAAAATCGAAATCCCTAGCAATGGCAGAAGAAGAAGAATTTAGAGAAGTGTTAGAAAGTTCTAGGTGGTAGAAATGGAAGGAAGGGTAAGTGAAAGTGTGCGGAGTTGAGGAGAGAGAAACTTGAAGAAAAAGTCAGAAATAAAAAGAGGGGTTTTTGGTTTTAGGCGCTTGGTAAGTTTTTTTTAGAGAGAGAAAATGAGTTTTGGAAAAATGTGAAGTAAGAAAATGATTTGTTAAAATTATTTTCTGAAAGAAGGTCTCTCCAGTCTACACGTAAGGCTTGAATTTTATTCTATGTCTGTTTATACACGTCGAAATGAGATTAAAGTGTAACGTTTGATTGTTTTAGACTTTTAGTCCATTTATGCTAGAGGTGATCATTGGGCAGGTCAGGTCGGGTTCGGGGCGGGCCAAGGCTAAAAAATTTTGCCCATTTTTTGGGCCGGGTTGGGTCGGGCCAAACTTTGGGCCGAAAATTTTGTGCCCAAACCCGTCCAAAGTGGTCGGGCCGGATGGGCTTTTGGGTCGGGCCAAAAAAATCAACTAAAAATGCATAAAAACGCATTCCCAAACCCGCCCAAAAAAAATAATTTTCGGGCCGGAAAAATCTGCCCAAAATCGGGCCGAGCCAACTTTGATCACCTCTAATTTATGCCAACTTTGCATCACCTGAACTTAACACTATGATTTCATCTGATATATTCTGAACTTAAATATTATATTTATTTTTTAAATTGACTAATTAAAGCTTATATGTACCGGATTTAACTTATTTTTGCCAAACTTAATTTGTTTTGATCGGAAATTATGGTGAAGAGAACCGGGCATACAAGGTCCTCTTTCATTTGGAAAAAACTAGAGTAATCAAAATCTCCTTGTTGAATATGGAAGAATTTAAGTTCCAAACATAAATCTAGTCTTGAAGCATATATGCAGATATATTGAAGGAACTACTCTACAGCAAAATCCACTAGTGTAGTAGTTGATCTTCAAATACAAGTACAAGATCAATTTTAGCACAAAACACAAAGGCATCAAATTCAGACCGGATAAACCTGGCAGATGATAATAAAAGATAAAATGTTCATACTTGTATTATTTTCTGGAAAATGTTTTCCGCCCAACCAAATACAGCTCAAAATTAAAAATTTCAATTCAACTAACAGCTAGTTAGAGCCCGATATAATCTGTAATACCCCTTCGACTGCAGTTACTGGGCCTTTACAAGCCAAGTTCTCTACCTTCTCTGCTCACATAGAGCTCATAGTCCAACCTATCAAAATATTCTCCAGCAAGTTCCTTGAGAGAAAAAAGGTGCAAATATTCAAAGAAAACAAGAGATGTATTTATGCTGTAGTAAAAGGTCCAAACAATGGGGAAGAGAATCATTACTTGTAACTATGCTGTAGATTTGATAAATTTGGTCCTCACAGAAAATTTTGATGCTGCAACCGTGATTGCCTTGCGTGCTACACTTTCTGGCACTCCATTTATTTCATAAATTATTCTGCCAGCTCTAACACCAGCTACCCAATGTGCTATGTTTCCTTTCCCACGACCCATACGTGTTTCTGCAGGTCTTAGAGTAATCGGTTTGTGCGGAAATATGCGCATGAATAGTTTTCCACCACGCATGTTCCTTTTGATTGCTAGCTGCCCTGCTGTAATTTGTTTAGATGTGATCCAAGCTGGTTCAAGTGCCTGAAGAGCATACTTACCAAAAGAAAGATCATTATCTGAAACTCCCTTCATTTCACCTCTGTTTCTGCGTTGTTTGCTGAATCTCTTCCTTACATTAGCGTATATCCCTGATGTAGAATTGTAGCGTACAGATACAGCCATCCTAAGAACACTCAAAGAAAAACCAGATCGTGGCTGAGAAATAACTGATCCTAAAGCAGGACTACAGCCTGAATTTCGCCATAGAGAGCCCATTGCAGGAATAAGATCACTGGATTTCTTCGAAGTAGTTCCCAGAGAAGAAGGTGACATGGTCCATCCTGAGTTGTATGAGCCAAGAATAGCAGATGGCTGGCCCTGTGTTACAGTTGAAGAGCTGCAAAATGGAGAACTAGCCTGCCTCAGTGTATTGACAAGGGGACTGTTTTTGATTCGAGAGAGCACTCTAGCAGCCATCAGTAACTTCTGGTTCTCTCTGCACTCAAGAATAGCCAAGTATATTAATGTCTCGTCAAAATCAGGAGACAGAATGGTATACTGTCAATGAATCGCAAAAAGAAGTCATGACACGGCAAGAGCATTACTCTATGTTAATTAAAATCCAGATAAGCTTGAGGTAATACTTCTTCCATTTTCTTTTAAACACAATGTGGAGGGGATGCACAATATTTTAGGAGATGAGAGAGATAAGAAGGGGCTCCATTGCTCCAAGTGTTGAGGAGAAAGATAGAGAAACTCATTGGCCAACAACATCCCAAAAAGGAGTAAGTTGCAGTTATAAAAGAACAATGGAAGTACTACAGCGGAATTGCCTGGTTAGAAAGGCAAGTAGGCAACAATTGCCTTCATTGTCATCAGAATGAAAACCATTATATAAATTACAAACCATACTCCCTCTGGACTTGACCTTCCCACACATTCTCCCAACCCTCTCCTCCTCCAAGAAAACACTATTAAATCATTGCAACATTATGTGAATTATATGATATCAAGGTTCCAAACAACATACAAATCACCAATAATGACTAGACAACCAGACAGGTGTGGCTCAAAACAAGTATGACATACTCACTATGTTTCCAAACCTTTGCAGAAACAAATAAACTCAGTTTCACATAAATCAAGTGCAACCAGTACAATAGTAAATGCCTTGAAGTTTCATTTCCTTAAACACGAACGAAAGTCGAATTACTTCACCATGGGTTTGGGATTTTTTTAATATAGATTCATCATTGATCTGATGCATTTTCAAAATACAATGAGAAAACCCAGCACAAACCTAGTCCTTATAGCATCCCCACCAAACTATACGGAACCTTTAGAAACAAAAACCATAGCCCAAATTCTAAAAGGCAAGTCCACAACTGCAATAACTTATCTAATGACAAAATTATGCATAGCGTTTCACTGTCATTTCAGCCAATATACTGACCTCAAAAACAAATTACAAGCAGCCCGAATATTCGGTCTCAGCTCAAGCTCAATAGGATTTAGTTGGGCTCGGCTCGAGCTCAACAAGCCTTAAAACACAAGCTCAGCTCAAGTTCCAAATCTTAACAAGATAAATTTTATAATGTTTCGCTTTTTTTATTCATTTTATTCGACCGCGACAAGATCAATAATTCCATGTAAAGAAATAGTGGGTTCCTTCGTTTTTATGGTTCCTTTATAAACAGTGAGGTCCTTTCTATACACCGGAGCCCTTTACTTCTACTTCATTTCCAGAATCTTATTAATAACTTGTACAGTTCAAACATTTTAAAGAATTCGGCATTAAACTCAAAAAATGCAACACATTAGACTCCATAATCAAATTAGGCTCGAAAAATCACATAAAATTCGTCTCGCTAAAGAAAATCAACGCCAAATTGCACATAGCAAACTTCTAGCAAAAAAATTGCTCGTTAACATCATTCATAACTTCTGTAATTACAATCAAAAGTTCAATAATCCATCTTAGAAGAACCCTAAATCGACTATACTGACAATTAAATTAACAAAAGTGTGAAACTAAACCCTAGATTGTGAAATTGATATTCGATGACTAAATAGATAGTAAAAAAATGTACCTCAGAACTCCTAAAATGGAGGAGAGAAAGGTCGGAAGGCGCTTCAATGAAGAGCTCGGAGTACGCTTTAATGGAGGAGGGAGATGGGTAAAGCGTAAGAGTAAAAAGCTTCAAAGGGGAAAATGAAAATGAAAACATACGAGGAAGATTAGTGAAGTAATGTCACGCTTTGTCAACCGTTAGATCTACAGTTTTTATTTTTATTTATTTTAATACTATGTAACGGTTTTTCTAACGAGTGTCACACTATGTTATGTATGAAGTACTTGTATATTTATTTGAGTGATGAATCGAAAGGAAAAAAATATTCTCATTATAAAAGAAATGAGTACATATAGAGTAGTTTTCCTACTTATCTGTTACATATATTGATATATAGAATGAATTTGCCTATTAAGTGCCTATGGTAAGTTGATAGCTCATTAGAAAAACCGTTAACTAAAACTTTTTAAAGCATATACAGTATTTAGATCAACTTTGGATGTATAGTTAGTTCTATTAGTAGTGATTATGAAGGGAAGGTATGACTATGACATACTGGAAATGTTGGGGTTGAATCGGTTGATTGCAAGATTTGCAACTTACAAATGCACAAGTACAAAATGAACTTATTCCTATGCTTCATCTCTTATTTGCATCATAATTTTCAAGTCGGAACCATAATGACAGTTGAACCAAGAACACCTGTTCCTCGTCCTTTTGGAATACATGGAAAACACACTAAACAGCGAACAAGAATATCTACAAAATAATACTCCTATATTGTTCATAGTTTCATACATAAGAAAATTATTCAGAGAAAAAAAATATTGACCACTGAAGTTGGGCACGCCATGTCCAATTAGATATAAGCACTAAGCTACAATTACATACAGCCATCCAAAAGCCTGTGAAGAGCTAGAAGAAATCAATAAAATTCCGGCCTAATACGAGCAGCCTTCAAACCTTCCTCACCAGTGTGATGTAACGCCAGTTATCTTCCGCTGCAAAGAAAGAATCAGCCTCGGCCTTGTGTCCATATCTTAACAGTCTTGTCATTCTCAAGGGCACAAGATGCAATCATATTTTCAGTAGGGTGGCAAGCAACTGATATGACTGTGTCAGTATGACCTTCTAATTTTTGGACAATTTTTCTTGACTGAAGTTCCCACAAGTAAACACAATTATCCTCGGAACCACTAACAACGTACTTTCCATTAGTTGTAGAAAATGCTGCTGAAGTGCAGTACTTTGAATTTACATGTCCTGTGTATGTCTTCAAAAACTTTCCATTCTGAAAATTCCACAGCCTCTGCAGATGCAATATTAAGTCACGTAAATTGCAAGAGGATGGGACACAGAGAAAGTACAGCAATAAATCCCAATAGGATTGTCACTTACACATCATAGTAGAATATCTACAAAAAGATAGTTACAACAGTGTCAGCACAACAATTGCTTCACTACACTGTATGTTACATCATTCCAGGATGACGTGACTGTTACTATTCAGCTTTCACAAATAATAATAATAAGAGCAAAAGATCTGCTGAGACACGGCAGTAATTACTCAATGAAGGTTAAGTAGAAATCACAAATGAAGGTCAACATTAAGAAACTTTAACCCTGGCCTGAGATAATATGATAGGCAAAGACTTTCCCTGCCAACTCAACAAGTTGAAATCTGCATTTTTGTGCTGGATAACACTAAACAACAGCAGCTACGGAGTATGAAGTACTTGGAGTCATTCAAAATAAAAAACAAAAAAAACAATGTAGTTATAAGCCTTCAACAAGATTCGGACTGAACAAGAATTTCTGAAGTTTATAAGCTATCGGGACACAATATTAACATGTAATCATAGATAACCTAATTACACTTCATAATTTAAATCAACCCTGTAAATAGTAAGCTATAGAACAGGAAGTAAATGTGGATATGAACTACAACTTATGTTCTCCAATCGAATAATACCCTCATCATAGCTTTAAAACGCCATGCCTATGCTCTCAAGTCTCAACCCTAGTGGTGCATGTATAGCAGAAGCTTCTCTAAGCAATTTTCCTTTGCAGCCATGAATGCATTTTGTTACCTAACAACAAAGTGTTTAATAGTCCCTAGTCAAAATTTGCTAAAAGAAACTCATCTATCAACCCAAATATCCATACTTCACTGCAGATTTCTTCCACTAATCAAGCCCCGATAATCAAACTCACACATTTAGACAAACGTATCAGATTTTATTCCCTTAATGAACACGTGGCAGGAGTACTATACTAACATCAAAAAGGTCCCAAAGTTCTGCTACATTGATAAATAAAGCTTACTGCGTTAAAATTCAACTTATAATTTCATCGACAGGGGCTAAGCGTACAACCAAATTGGAGCTAAATTTGTTCTTGTGAGCAAATAGTTACTGAAAAGTAGAATATATCTCCAGAAAAGATGATAAGACACAGTTTTCTGGTGGTTAAACATTTGAACTCCAACTGAGAAATTTGTGCTTTGTGTTGTTTGACTTGCTTCCTTGAAATCAATAGCCACCTTGACATATATATACCTTTAACCAGAACTTACTAAACCCAGGTGTTGAAGAGAATTAAAAGAATCAATTTACACAAGGTTTTAAGTCCTTTAAGATTCCAACTGCGTCCACACAAAATGGTAATAGAATATCCTATGCCATGCCTACTTTCATTTACAGCTTGACTAAGTTTTTCCCATCAGAACATGTTTCATTTACAATAACAGCTTCAAATTAAATGCTGAGAAACCCTATGGATGCTCTCCTCCACAATGTTTCAAAGAAGCCATCGATTAAGCAATGACAAACAGAATCCAATCCCACCATCATCAAACAGCAAATATCTCCAATAACATTGGGATACTACATAATTCAATCGACCTAACTAGAAATGAAACCTACCTAAATGCAACAGAAGAAATATGTATATCCTTTCCTACCAAGCTACCAGTATACCTTAAACACACAAAGGTACTTGGGCAAAGAAAATCAAACACATACTACAGTTAATATGATGAAGCAACTAAATTAAAACCACTACCATCCTAGGAAGCAACAGAAATCAATCAATCCTAATACAACAAGCTGACCTCAAAAGTCATACCTTAACCATGAAAACAAACTAAATAAACAACAAACCAAGACATATCCATGTAGCTTATCAGTTTTCTAGGCCTCCCAAGCACACAAATTCGCAAGGTACAGGAAATGGTTGATTCTATCTGTTCCAATAAGAATCAGAGACATAATTGACTACATTGGTCTCTGTAACCACCCCAGAAAAAAGATAAAGATTCACAGATCACAACCCCCCTTGGGATAATATGCCCACTCGAACCAAGACATAACTTTTACTTGTTCAAGATAATTGTGCCTGGTAATTAGTCCAAAACAGCACTATTTACTCTACCTGGATCCATTTGAATTTGGCAGACATCAGTGGGGCTCAAGCCCTAACAAATCAGTTTTTCTATGTTTCTTAACTTACGAATTACTCATCGTCTTGATTCTAAATCTTTAAATCTCTTGTTCATATGATTGTTCGGCTGATACAAAAAACACACAAACATACTATTTTCATACTGAAACAACTAAAAATGAACCAATAACAGTTCTCATACCAATCATCCAAAACACCAACAAAAACAAACTCTCCCTTAATAAGAAAACTTACAAAACTAGATCAGACTGTTCTCGTCATCAATCAAAATCTTCTTACAATGCCAATAAAACAATACCACACCAAACAAATCAGTTACAAAAATCCTAATTCAACAATCACAGGTAACACACACATAACCCAAAATAGCAATCAATCCCTAACCTTATTATAAAACACAATTATACCACATAAAAATGCAATGTAAATCAACAAACCCATGTAACTAAATTCCACCAAAATACATAATTCAAATCAAAAAGACCAAATAACAATTTCCTTACCAGATTATTATCCAATGTACCCACAAGAATAAACTTCCCGTTCGGCGAAAACTTAACGAACGACACCGGAGGATTCTCATCATCAATCAAAGTCTTAACACAATGGCCAGTATTAGTATCCCAAACCCTACACAATCCATCGTAACTACTGGAAACGATCAAGGAACCTTCTCGATTAGTATCAACAGCAGTAACAGGATCAGAATGAGCAGGCAAAACCTTCAAACACCTCCCAGTCTTAACATCCCAAACCCTAACAGTCTCATCAAAAGACCCAGAAACAAGCATATTCGATTGAGGGTTAAAATTGAGGCAAAACACGTAGTTGGTATGACCCAGAAGGGTTTTGATATTCTGACCGGTGGTGACATCCCAGAGTCTGACAGACTTGTCATCGGAGGCGGTGGCAAGGAGGCGGGAGTCGGAGGAGAAGGCAACGTCGGAGATGCCTTGATCGTGGCCGTTGAAGTGTTGGGTGACGGATAAAGGTGGGTCGTCGGAAGAGAGGGAGTGGACGACGGCGGATTTGTCGGCGGAGGAGGAGGCAAGGAGACGGCCGTCGGAAGAGAATTTGACGGCGGAGATAGCGCGTTTGTGGGGTATTAGGGTTTGTTTGAGGGTGTATGGTGTGAAGGATTGAGATGGATCGGTTGTTGAAGACATTCTTGTGGAAGAGAGGAATTTTGGAGAGAGATTGTGAATGTGGGGGGTTTTGAGGAGGGGTTTAGGAGGGAAAGAACGAAAGTTTAGGGGGGTTGAGTTGAATGCATATAAATTCAAGGAGCAAATGTGTTTTTAACTTCTTTTTTTGGGGTTAGATTAATTTTGTTAGTTTTTCGGGTGAGCGATTTTCATAATAAAAAAAATAAAATAAAAAAATAAAAAAAAAAATTGCTCGAAAATAACTAAATTACGATTCTTGAATTACTATATTATATACGTAGTATTTTACTAAACAACACGTTCTGTGTGCAGCTAATCATACTATGTGGTCGTTTGTAAAAAACCAAAGTAACCTTCTAACACTAATCGAGTAACCCTTATAACTAGAGGAGACCTTCCACTGGAGCGGGTTGACCCCCTAATTGTAGATGTACGTTTAATTTAGGAACCGACTACTTCTCTAATTGCTTTGGCAATAACGTTTTTTCTTTGACAATAACGTTTGTAGTCATACGTTTAATTTAGGAACGACTAGTCCTCTAATTGCTGAAGCTATAGCTCTCCGAAATGGGTTCCTTTTGACCCGTGGCCATAATTTTTCTAATATTTTAATTAAAGGTGATAACTTGCTTATTATTCACATTTGCAGGGTAAAGCTCAATAAAGATTCAACTTTTGGTGGATGATGTCAACAAACTTCTTTGTCATTTCCGCTGTGTGGACTCCAAGCACATTTTAGAGAAGGCAATCGAACAGTAAATTATATTGCTTCCTTGGGTCATTACTTGCAAATCTGTCAAGATATAGATCCCTTTTTAGATAGTAACTTTTCTTTTTTTATTACTTCTGATAAGTTAGGGGTTTGTCTTGAGAGAAGACTTTCCTAATTTCTATGTCCTTTCCCTTAAAAAAAAAAAACCAAATAAAGGGTTGACCGCTCATAAATTATTGTAAATAATTACTTAAATAACCTATATTTACTTATAAATTATTGGGACATAGTAATTAGTTTTGAGTGAGAGATAAGAGGATCAAATCCCGACCACTCTAATATTTTTTGCCAAGATTTGTCATTGCCTATAACACTAATGAAGTAACCCCTGTAACAATGACCGAGTAACCCCTGTAACACTCATCGAGTACCCCCATAATGGCTGGCCACACATAAGAATTTATGTTCACCAAAATTTCTTACATACTGTTTACGTTAGCAATAAAAACCGAGTCTTTTTTTTTTGATAATGATATATGTATCTCTTGGGCCTACAAATAAGCATTTAATAAATTTCCTAAATTGATATTAATTTTGTAATGCACGACAAAATAAGCACTTAAGTGTACCTAATCACTATTTGTTCTTATTCAATCAAAACTATACAAAAATTAAAGGGTTTTCACTACCTATGTTACACAAGTGTGGGTGGGTGGCGAGGGGCCTACCGTAGGGTGGGGGTTGGCTAGGGAGGGTGGTGTGGGGATGAGCTTGGTCTTTTTTTTTATTATTTTTTTATTTTAAATTTTTTTATTTTACCAATCACATGGTGACACGTGTCCAATTGGATGCCCGATTAACCAATAAAAACAAATACCCTATGAAGTTTGGATTATTATATAATCCAAACTTGAAATTATTAAAAACGAATGGTTCAAAGTTGAGATTATTAAAACTAATTTTTCCTTAAGAAAAACCTAGATTAGATTAAACGTTGTTTACTGTACATTATTCTTGTTAAAATTAGACTAGAGTTATAATCACTAGACCAAAATGCACCATATAAAGAAAAATACAAATCATACGGAGTACTATAACTTAGATTAAACCTAACCCGATTATATAAATAATATCTACCAACAAATTATAAAAAAAGACTAGCAATTTACTAGTTTAGATTCCAAACCGACCAAACTATGAATAATATACTTCCTCCGCCCCTTTTTAAAGTTTTCATTTGGAATATTGACATTATTCATAATGCGGGGGAATCTTTTAAATTACTCTTAATATATACATAACATAGTCATGTTAGATCTTATTTGATTTGTATCGATGAATAGATTATTAAAATTCAATTGTTACATTTTTTACTAATAAGCAACTAACGATATTTATAGTCAAAGTATTGCATTGACAAACGTGCAAGTCTAAATGGGCACAAGGGGCGACAAAAACTCCATAAAAGGGAGTCATGTAGATAACGAAAGCCGCAAAAACAAAAGTTTTGTTACCCCAAATTAATTAAAGAAAACTAATCAATTGCTTACCCAAAATTAGTGTTGTACTTTAGTTTCTGTGGCCAGTGACTAGTGGAGTAGTGGACCACTGTCCCAATTTATCACATGCTTTACAATGGCCGCATTTACCACAGTATGCACACACTTAAAATGTTCTGCCTACCTAAACGATTTTCCTAAAAAAACAACATTAATTTATCAGACAAAATTGCCATTAACAAGAACAATTAATGGCAAGGGCATAAATTAATTAAATTTCAGCACCCTTATTTATTTAATTTTGTTGTTTATAAAATTTGGGTGTTATTTTAAAGGCGATTTTTATTTTTATAATTTTCATTTTCACCTCTTGTTTGAGACTAGTGTTATCTTCCTCAATTTCTCTCTAATGGCGGCTGTATCTTTGAATGGTAATGGTGGAAATCTTGGAACTTTGTGTAACCGACCCGAATTAGGATGTGGGTTTTTGAGAAAACCCGATTTTGGAGCTCAGACAACGGTTTTGGTAAAACCCATGTCGAAGAGTTTAAGGTTGAAGGCAACGAATGCTTCTGCTTTTGCAAATGCTACAGTCAATGCAGTGCCTGTTTCAGTTCATCCCAAGTAAATTCAAAATCCTGTCTTTTTTGTTTTCCAATTGTTAATTTTTTATTTTTTAAAGTTTGATTCTTTTTACAGTTAATTAGTAGACAGTGAAAAAAGGAGAAGGAATTTTGCCTGTTGGATGGTGTTTGTTTAGAGATATTTATCTAAAATAAGTATGTTATTATGATTCTGGTTGAATGTTGATGTTCTGATTACTAATTGACTGTATTTTGGCTTGATTGATGTTATAATAAGGTGATGCTATTGCGAATTCTTGGTTTTTTTTTTTTTTTGAAGCATGACAATATAAGAGCTAAAGAATCTAATTTTGTTTATGATATAAGTGGGATATTTTTATTGGATTCTTGATGAAGTGAGATTAGTTGTTTCTCTTTTGAGAAGCTCACATATCTAATATCTGTGCTCGTGTTTGATTGTACAATGATGGCCTTATCGAAATTGTCGAATTGTCGATTATATGTCGTTGCCAGACTTCCTTTTCCAGCTAGTTTACTCACTTATGGAAAAGAAATTGATCTTTTCTAGGTGAATGAAGATTTGCCTTTTTAGTAAAGGAATGACTTCAACGATATGCTTACTAAATGTTGATTGTTGCTTGTATTTGTTTCTGAAAGAGTATATTCTTGTCCTAACTTGGTCATATAATTGCAATGTGATGATATCTATGACCGGCCTTCAGCTACTTCAAGTGGTGTGCCATTTTGCCTACTTTTTTTCTACCTCCAACCAGTTTCTGAGGGTGATGCTGTTCCGTTTAGCGTTTTTCGAAAGGAAAAATTGTGGTGAGTAACGACTAGTGGTATCATGCTCTCATCACACCAAGAAAAGGGATTATATGATTCAGCAAGCAGCTATCTGAAATTTTAGTTTTTACTTCAGAGATTGATGTTTGAGGAAAGTCGATTTTTTGCCAAATGGATGGTTCGTTCATGTCGTTGGACTGATATTGAACTTCTATCTTCTTTAATTATGTGGTAGTAGTTAGTGTCAACATCCTGACTCTTATTAGAAGCTTTATCCCTGATGTTATCTCTTCTTTATTAGCCCTCCCTCTTTGCCTTGTGTCACTCCTTGTTTAGTTCTAAGATGTTGGGGGGGGGGATGTGGAGGGAGTTACTTCTGCCGTCCGGCAGGTTGGAAACGTAATTTGCCTAATACAATATACTCTGTTTCTTGATTACATGTGAGTGTTCACTATGTGAAGTTTTCTTGTAGTGATAACTGATAAGTGATAACACTCAAAAAATTTCTCATTGTTCCCTGTCAATTCTTTCTCAGGTATTTGAATTTTTTTAGTTGGAAATGGAAATTGTATTAAATCTGAATATCTATTTATTTCTTTCCATATCTAGGGTGATGCGCCACACGATTTCAGTCTTTGTTGGGGATGAAAGTGGGATAATCAATAGAATTGCAGGCGTTATTTCTAGAAGAGGATACAACATTGAGTCTCTGGCTGTTGGTTTGAACAAAGATAAGGCTCTTTTTACCATTGTAGTGTGTGGGAATGAGAAGGTGTTGCGCCAAGTAATGGAACAGCTTAACAAGCTTGTTAGTGTCATAAAGGTAACTGGTTTATATTTCTTTTAGTTAGTCACTGATGATCCTTTTGTAATACTTGTCCTCTTTTAATAGGCCAGATCGGTTACTTATATGCTAGTAATTTTATGAATTAGTGGACATAGAGTTTGGTTTACATACTTTCCTGGCTGCCCTGGATTAGATGATATACTAAGGTCTTACAGTACCAACCGGGCAACCGGCTGATACGACCTAAACAAATCTGAATTGCTTCATAAATGTTTTGCTTATTTTTCTGTCATCTTTGAGCGAAATATGACCTCAAGATCCTCAACTGCAGGTCCTATCATCTTATCATGGAATTGAAAATTGAGCAGTGAAACATTCACATGTTTATCTTCTAAATAAATTTAGAGTGATGCTTGTAAATGAAAGTAAGGTCGACTTGATACATAGTATTGCAGTTGTCGTCCAATAAAAATGCAGAATATGAAAAGCTGCTGAACACTCAATCTTCATGCCCACTAGACCTAGCACGCTACACAATTTAATAAGTTTGGCGAGATGGATAGTGTGCTTCAACTCGCATTTGTGCATGAATTAGGCTTTATGTCCGTCCATTAGGTGCGCTGTGTAGTTTTTAGTTGTTTTAAAGTGCTAGCATTGTACATCATATGATGCACATTATATATAGTATATTATGATACTGATGCAATCAGTGCCTTCTTCTGTGTAACCTGTATGATTTTACTTATGCTCAAATATTTGTTTCTTAATGTAATTTTCTTTTGTTTAACTGTTTCTTATGGATTCTTACGTAAAGTACTTTATAACAGAGCATCATATGATGTTTATGTTACATGTCCTTGATAACATCCTTGGATAGCTGTAGTCCTTGAGTGGCTACTGACTGTCTTAGTTACTGTCATGCAGGTTGAAGATCTATCGAGAGAACCACAAGTGGAACGTGAACTGATGCTTGTAAAGCTTAATGCTGATGCAAATACCCATGCCGAGGTAGTTTCACAAGTTAAATTGAGTGCCTTATGATGGCAATATTTTACTTTAATCTCTATTATACATTACTAACGGTCAGCTAGAAAAGAAGATATAAGGATGCTATTAATGTTTAAACAAGATGCTATACTTCGTAACATCTAGGGTGTTAGAAAATTCTTTTAAAAAAGTTTAGTATATATCTTAATGCAAAGTTTGGTATTGAGAGTTACCTTTATTTTAGAGGAACATTAAAAGTTTCCTCGTATCTAACAAAAAGTCACCCCTTCCTTGAATTTACACCCTTTTACTCAAGACTTGCTCGAGTCATGTCTTAGTAAGTCAAGCTCCATATGGCATTAGAGTTTTGTTGTATGTTAATTCTTAATCATCATTTGGGACATGCTGATATTGAGAGTTTTCTGCTTGAATTTGAAATCGGTTTGTCTAGGAATTATGTTATTACTTCACAACATCATGGGTGTTAGAAAATTACAAATTATTGATAAAATTCTATAATTGTTAATCATATTTCTTGAGTTGTCCATCTTTAGGAAAAGATGGTTTTAGTCCTGCTTTGTGCTTTTGTCAGCAAAAGGTGTATTGGTGAACTGTCTGATTATTGACTCAAATGTTCAAGTTTTTGGTCTTCAGATAAAGTGGTTAGTGGACATCTTCAGGGCAAAAATCGTGGATATCTCAGAAAACTTGGTCACTGTGGAGGTTAGTGTATTTTTTTATTTTTTTTTCTTTTCTTTTCTTTTTTCTTCTTCTTCTTTTTTTTTTTTTTTCCCTTTGGCATCTTGTGTACTCTTGTAAGTAGGTTAATCAATGTTGCACTCTATTAGGGAGTTGTTTTCCATGTTTGATACAAGAAGCTTACCTTCACGAAGTTGTCTTGACGCTTAAGCTCCAAAAGTTGTTTCTATGTCCAAACTGTTCCAGAAATGATCATTCTCTCCTGCTTACTGTAGAATCTCCATTTAACTGGAATTTTATCTGTTGTATTGAAGGTGACTGGAGATCCTGGTAAGATGGCTGCTGTCCTGAGAAATTTTAGCAAGTTTGGAATTAAAGAAATTGCAAGGACAGGAAAGGTTAGTCTGTTAAATACTTGTACTATCTTCAGTGGAAGATTCAGAGAAATTTGCAAAGAATATATGTTCATAGTAATAAATTGGAGCGGAAAATTTGGAATAGCTAACCAAATGTTGACTTTTCTACTAATTTTTACAACCTTTTTCCATCCGAACTTTTTAGAAAGAAGTTTACTTAGCTATTTTTATTTTTGTTCATGTGATAGATTGCTCTAAGGCGGGAAAGGATGGGTCAGACAGCTCCTTTTTGGAGATTCTCTGCTGCTTCTTATCCGGATCTTGAAGAGAAGGCTGTTAATGCTCTTGTCGAGTCTACAAAAAGAAGTATCAATGGTAATCTAGGATCATCGTCAAGTGTAAGTGGATTTCTGTGCTAACCTCATTTCTCCTATGAAAGTAATATTTTGTGGCTATAAACATATATTGATTATCTAGCCATATGCTTACAATGTCCATTATTTCCCAAGCACAGATTGATTATATGGATTATTGCATTGTTAGTTGTAACTCATAAACTTAAAATTATAAGTAGATATGTTGTGCTTAAAATTAGACATTTGAACTTATATAACTTTTTTATTTTCTGAAGGGCGATGTTTATCCTGTGGAGCCTTATGATATCTCCATGGTAAATCAAGTACTTGATGCTCACTGGGGTGTTCTTTATGACGGCGATGTAAGACTTCGTTACTGTTATTATGTGATACTCAAAGCTTTTAATTTGTCCGAGCTATTGCATTTGTGACATGACAAACTTGTCTCTGGGGTTAAGGTTAATGCCTCTGGTTTTTCTGATGTTCATCTTTGTGTTTGTTTGGTTTTAAGAATGAAAGGGTGATTTGAGTGTTCACATTCTATAGCTGCACAATTTTGCCGGTTGATTGTAGCACAACCTGTTCTGCTAACGCTCTGATGTGCTTCTTTCATCATGTCAGTCAAGTGGACTCCGGTCACATACTCTGTGCATGGTAGTAAATGATGCTCCTGGAGTTCTCAACACTGTTACAGGGGTAATTGCTCGTAGGGGTTATAACATTCAGGTTGGTATGGATTCTGACTACAGTATGTATATATACTTTCTTTTGTGTTACATTAATTCATATGTCCCCTCCTTTTTTCTAATTCCTCTCAGAGTCTTGCTGTTGGCCCTGCTGAAAAGGAGGGTCTTTCTCGTATCACAACTGTTATTCCTGGAAATGATGAGTCGATTGGAAAATTGGTTCAGCAACTTAGCAAGTTAGTAGACCTTCACGAGGTGAGTATCTGAATTCTGAATGTATATAGAGTAGATACTGTTGCCCAAATACGTTTATTTTCAGGCAGACATGTATGTGTCGTTAAAGTTTTAGTAATTTTTTTCTTTTTATATATGTACCATTAATGCTATGCAGTAGTAAAACGTAATTTGAACTTTGCTTTTGTGTTGAGTAGCTATTTGTGAGATCCTTGTTTTCTCCAAAGCTCTATACTATGATTACAGTCGGAAGTTATGAATTTCTTCCTTATAGTGTCTTGATGCTTGATTTAATCACATTTTTTTCGGTATCATTATTTGGTAAAGATACTTTGGACATCTTGTATGATCTCCCATCTTTACTGTGGAGTTACTTTTTTGTTCAAGTAAAGGTTCCATTCTTAGTCAGTGGCTAGTTTTCATTCATCTAGTGTCATGCATAAGGTTTAGGAGTTATCTCAGTACTAGATTTTCAGCAGCTTCTTTACAAGTATAATATTCATGAAGCATGAAAGATTTGACAACCTGACTATTGAAACTTTGTTGCTACAGATTCAAGACCTTACTCACCTGCCATTTGCAGAGCGAGAGCTTATGTTGATCAAAGTAGCTGTAAATACTTCTGCCAGGAGAGATGTCCTTGATATTGCCAATATATTCCGTGCAAAAGCTGTAGATGTCTCTGATCATACCATCACCTTACAGGTACATGTACTTTCAACAAAGCAGTGCTTCTTGACTTGAAGTTATTTCCCCTCCTACTTTCAGTAATTCCTTCCTATATCATTTGCCCACTTTGTGATCAGTGACTTGTAACATTGTGAGTTACAAATTATGAATCAGGCAAACACTATGGGCAGGGGAATTAATATAGTTTGTGAAAATGGCCTATTTTAAAGGGAACCTAAAGTCCTAAACTAAGCAATTTAGAACAGAATTACACTGATATCAACGATGATGGGGATTTGGGAGTTTAAGGTATTGAGGATCTTCCTAACATTTCTGACTTGTCTTTCCAGCTTACGGGTGATCTAGACAAAATGGTTGCGCTACAGAGATTATTGGAGCCTTATGGAATTTGTGAGGTTTGTATTTTTTTCTTCCACTTTAGAATAATTTTTTTTGCATCCCCCCCCCCCCCCCCAGCGTAGTTCAGTATCTTGCCTTAGTTGGTTAAGCTGGTCTGAAGACGAGCTGGGAGAGGAAAACCAAACTCTCATATCGCAGCTGAATCTTTTGATCCTCTGCTAACACAAAGTCAGATCTAAATTAAGCTGTCTTAAATATAGTTTTCAGGATTAACAAAGTTTGTTGCTGGTCAGATCATTATAATAGTCCTTGAGAGAATGGAAATCAAAATCATCTAAAGAGCAAGATCTCTATATTTTTGTATCTATACACCGAGTGTTTTTTGGGGATGGGGGTTTGACACTGAGTCAGAGATCTATAGCTTTACAGTTTCATTGCATGTACAATATACTGATCAGTTTAGGTGTGTAAATTTGTATGATTTAGCATTCCGAAGTCTTTGGGGTTGGTAACTTGGTATGTGAGAATTTAGTTTGAGATCCATTTCATGCCTTTAGTCCTTCCCTTTACCTCTACTTTGGATCCTCCCCTCTAGCCTCATTCCTCCTCTGTTGGTTGTAGTCTAAAAGATGGGAAGGCTCTGTAACAAACATCGATGGTTGTTGTCTGTTGGCTTACATTACTATTTATGATGTTTTTTTTTTGTAGGTGGCACGTACTGGAAGAGTGGCATTGGCCAGAGAATCTGGAGTGGATTCCACATATTTACGAGGATTCTCTCTTCCCTTGTCTGAGTGAAAATCTTTCCGGCTTTGTCTCTTAGACTTTGACATTACCTTGTCCAATTATCTTTTGCTCTTTTTTTATTACTTGGTAGATCAAATGCAAGTGACTTGGAGTGGCAGCCAAAAAGCAATTCCAATCTTTGCTTTGATTATCAATATGCTTTTGTATCATTATAACTTTAGAAGTAGGTTTTATATTGACAGGTATTTGTCTACCTTGTAATAACAAGTTGTTAGCTTGAAGTTTTTGGTACATGTGTTTCGTGCAATGGAAAATCCTAATAGCTGGACGGTTTTGTTATTCGAGGAGTTAGAGGGTTTGGGAATAAAAGTTGTCTCTTTTATTATGATTCTTCTCCTCTATCAATCCAGGATTTGATGCACAGCAACTGTTGTCAACCTCGTGTATTCGTTGCATTCTTATGCTTCGGCTAGTTAAGGTCAGAAATTGGTCTAGTCACTGATTAATACAAAGAGGGCAAGAGGGAAAAGTCGAATACACATAACAATGAACTGCACAAACATCCTTGACTGCACACAATCAATAATGTTTGATGAGCTAATATATCAGCATAAGAAGGTAAACTTGAATTTGTACATATAAAATTTCAAAAGGATAACAATCATGGGCATCGCATTAGCAATGCATAAATATCACATGTAATTAATCTACTATAAGGCAGCTGGTTGATCTAATACATATCCGACCTACTATAAAGGATCCTATATATTTCACATAAACACTTAAACCTCTTTACACATTTCTCATTCTTGAGCAACAATGAGCTCAGAAGGAAAACCAGCTTCTGAGGTTTCTGTCGCAACCATCATTTCATCTTCAGCTGTAAAATGGTAATTTTCACCAATGGCTCTTAGTAGCTGGTACACTTCAAACATTGTAGGTCTTTCTTTCGGCGTAGGTGAAACACAATTGCAAGCGACCTTGAGACATTGAGAAAGCTCGTTATCAACTCCCTTATCAAGGAGAGACTTATCAATGGCAGAATGGAGATCATTATTCTCTGACAGTAGGGCAATCCACTCTACCAAGCTACCCTTGAAGGTTTCTGGGGCATTTGACACTTTAGTTGGCTTTTCACCAGTGATCAGCTCCAAAAGAACAGTCCCAAAACTAAAAACATCTCCCTTTGGAGTTGCAACAAGTGTTCTTGCATACTCAGGGGCGACGTACCCAAAATCGCCAAATTCTCCGTTCACAAAAGTGCTCAAGTGCGTGTCAATCGGGTTCATAAGTCTTGCAAGACCAAAGTCGGACAGCCTGGGATCAAATTCTTCGTCCAACAAAATACATTTGGAGCTTATATTTCTGTGGAGGATTCTAGGGTTGCAGTTATGATGCATCCAAGCCAACCCCTTAGCCGCCCCAATTGCAATTTTAAGCCTCATGGGCCACTCTAAGCTCTTAGCCTCCTCAGGGTCTGAAGGATGAAGCCAGTTATAGAGGTTTCCATTAGCCATGTATTTGTAGACCAGGAACTTCTCTTTCTTTGCCACACAGTACCCCAAGAGAGGGACTAAGTTTTGGTGCTTCACACTGCCCAAAGTATTCATCTCGGACATGAATTCTTTCTCAGTTCGCTGCGAATCTTGCAGTCTCTTGACTGTAAGGACTGTACCATCAGGCATCGTTGCCTTGTACATTGCTCCCATTCTTCCAGAACCAATCATGTTATAATTGCTGAAGCTGTTTGTGGCTTTCATGAGGTCATCCAAACTCATTTTTGAAACTGATTTCTCAAACATAGAAACCTGAATATGATGAAAATGTTCTGCTTTAGTACAAGCAAAAAGAAAGATAAATTTGTAACAAGATACAACTATGTTACTCCAACTCTTTCACTCCAATTACTCTTGTTAGATCCTCAACACTTAGACACGTGTGGATACTTGACTCCCTGATTTACCCAAGTACGAATTATTACAGTATACAACATGAGTACCCCTAAGTTGGAGTAGCATAGAACACATAAACCAATTAAACAAAGTAATAGTAGTAAAATCTGTAAATGTTACCTTGACAGCTTTAGTTCCCTTCATACTCTTTGCCCATCTGTTACCTTCAGGATCTAGCACCTTCCTCCTGATAATTTTCATCTTTGAAATGTAGAAGAATGCAATACCCGTCAAGATAATTATGAGAGTTAGACCTCCAGCTGCTCCCCCAGCAATAGCCCCAGGATGAATCTTGCTTTGAGAAGGGCAAGGACTCAAAACTTCCCCACAAAGTCCTGGATTATTGGCATAGCTATCCTTACTAATACGAAACTTGAACTTAGGGACTAAGCCAGTCAGATTGTTGTTTGCAACAGAAAAGCTGTTAATCCGAGAAAGGGTGCCAAATTCCAGAGGAATTTGGCCTGAAAACTGGTTGTGGTCAAGATGGAAACCATTCAAGTAAGAACAATTTGCAAGATTCTCCGGTATAGGACCGGAGAAATCATTGTTAGAGAGATCGAGTTCTGTCACAAACTCTATATACTTCGATATATTCATAGGCAACGAGCCATTCAAATTGTTACCCGAAAGATCCAACCCAGTCAAGCTTGTACAATTCTCAATTCCAAGAGGGAATTGGCCCTCTAAACCCATATCTGCTAGCTTAATATTCAGCACCCTACTCTCATCAGGGTGCCAACATTCAATCCCATTGAATCTACAAATTGCACCCTCAGTTTTATTGTTAAAATTCCATGTTACATTTAAGTAACCATTAGGATCTTTGAATGAATGATAAATCCTTTCCAAACACAGAATATCAGTTGCAGTCCCATAAATTCCATAACTACTCAACAATATCAGCAAACACCTTGATCCATACACTACAGAAGCAGCAGGCTTTCTAGTGTGGGCCATTATTAAAAATAAAATAAAATAAAATAAAAATGCAAACCCCAAATATAGTAATTTGAACTAAAATGTAAATTTATGAACAAAAATTATACTGCCCAAAAACAAAATAGCAGTGCTACATATCTATATTTATCACTGAATTACAACCAATATTTTCCCATAATTGAGAGAAATTAAATAAAAACTCAAATGGGTACTAAAATTTCTTGAAAAATAAAAAGTTTCCTAATCATGGAATATAATGATAACTAGAAATTTTGGGGAAAATAAACTAACCCAATTCAATTCAAGCTAAAATAATGGAAATAAGCACGAATTGAGACATACCCAGAACTCAAGATTGCAGCTCTGAAGCTCAAAGAAGAGGTGTAAAATTGAAGAACCAAGTTTGGAAGGAAATTAATCAGAGAGTATTTCAATAAAACAACCACCAAATATGAAGTAAGTCAAGATAGAAGACTTGGAGGGTCACTTTCTAAAGACATCAAAAAGGAGGAAAAATCATAGGAAATTTAAGTCTATCTTTGACAATTCAAAGGTTATTATAGTAGTAAGACTAGTAACTCGTAATTACTAGTAAAGAGAAGGAATATTCACTGTAATTTGTGAAACCAGTAAAGAGAAGGAAACAAAGAAGAAATAAGTTTGGTAATAAAATGGGGCTTTGGAGGGACCAATTACCATATAAGAAGTAAAATAAACAATGACACTCCACAAAAAAAAGGGGACTTTAATCAATAGGTTTTCGTAAACTACACTGAGTTTTTGCTATACGTTGGTGTTAATTCGAATAATCGGTTGAGTTTGGGTCGGGTCTAGTTGGTTAGGTTATTTCGAGTTGAAATCATGCTATATTATTGTACTCGTGCAAATTGAATTTTAGATTGGATTACTTTGGGTTAGGTCGGGACGTCGGGTTGATTCAGATCGTGTTAATACTTATTATATATGTAGTCCTAACGATTAGATGTGAATATTAATACATTTGTTGATATAGTAAAATAATTATTTATATGTTTATTCATTATTATAATTTTTCTTAATTATTACTACGTATTATTTATTTATTATCAAGTTTCACTTTGGGCTATATTTCCTATTTGGAACGGGTCCTATACGGTATAGCATATGACCAAATATTGTCAAGCTTATGTGGACCCACAATAACGTGTTTAGTTGACTGCGTTTACTTGGGCTACTCTTAACTTTTTTCCACGGTCCAACTTCTCTCCTACACTCCAGTCTTTCTCCTTGTTCACAATATCAATTCACACATTAGGCTACTTCTCACTATTTTTTCTTTTCTTTCCTAATCTTAAATAAACCTTTTAAATGCACAAGTTAAATTTTTTTGCAAAAGAAAACTTAATTGTGAAATTTTTTTGTTAAAGACAACCTAATACCTCTAATTCACTTAATTAAGCTCTAAATTCTTCTAATTATCCTCTCAGTCTCACTTAACCATTTATTAATTAATTTAACTTATAAATAAAAAAAAACCCCAAAAACCACCACCACCACCACCACCAACCAGCCACTCTCTCCTTTTCCCCCTCCCATGGCAGCAACCCCCTCCCCCGAACCGAGCCACCGCCTTGAACCCCCAAATCCCGGCGACCCACCTCGACGGCCAGCCGACCTTGCTACCTTTCTTGCGCGCTTACCCTGCTGCAACCCTCCCCCCTCCCTAAACCCTAACATCGAGCAATTAATGGGTGTTTCCGGTCAGGTGGCACGCTTCTTCTCCCTCTTCCTTTTCTCTCGTTGACTCACTCTCTCTCCCTCTTTCTCGCATTTTCCGCCGTGTCGTCGTAATCTTCGAGGATCCTCCGCCACTTGATGTTCTGCTCTCATCGCTGTCTAAGGGGGGAAGGTGGATGGTCGGGGTTAGGGTTTAGGGAAGGGGGAGGGTTGCAGCGGGGGTAAGGGGGAAAGGGAGAGAGGCCAGCCAGCGATTCAGGGCGGTGGCTCAGTTGGGGGGAGGGGGCTGCTGCCAGGGGAGGGGGGAGGAGACGGAGAGGGTGGCTGGCTGGTGGAGTGGTGGTAGGGATGATATGGTGGTTATTATTTAATTTAATTATAAAATGGCTAAGTGAGAGTTATAGGATAATTACGAAAAAATTAGAGCTTAATTAAGTGAATTAGAGCCTAAGAGGCACAGGTTGTCTTCAACAAAAAAATTTAACTTCGGGTTTTCTTTTACAGAAAAGCTTTTAAAAGGTTTTTTTTTCGCAAAATGGTGCATTTAAAAGATTTTTTTGGACAAATTTTCCAAATATTTATTATATATGATGTAGATTAGATTCCATTAGAAGGTCAAGGTCCAAATTATGTGATAGACTTGCTCAACATAAACATCTACCGATCTACGAGTAATATTCAATTATTCAAATACATATTGTTAATAAACTCAAAAATTTGAATCATACTGATTTATCAACTACATTACTACTTAACAAATGAGTTTCAATTGTATAACTTTTAGCTTTGTCCGTTTAGGCCCCTACCAATAATCTTGAGTGGATCCAAAATAAGAAAGGGAGGGGGGGCAAGTAAAAATGACCACTCAAATGAGGGAAATTCCCTTTATAAACTTCCACCAAGAAGAGGACTTGCTTGGCGTACGAAATCAACCAAGATCGTTGTCAATGTTATTGCTCTAGGTTAAAAGTTTATTTATCATGCTTGTAATTTCATCATATATTTGTCTCCACAACTCCACATATTGAGCCATATTTGCTTCTCAATACAAACAGATTCTTTTCGGAATAGTTATCACACGTTTATAACATTTTAGGATAAAAGATGTGATGATATTTTACATTTTTATAATATTACACAATAAGTTAGTGTGAGGCAGTCTCATTTACATGCACTTTAAGTGTTTCTCAATTCTAAGTAGAAAGTATACATAACATGACATTGAATTATTACTTATTGTAACACTTTTAAGTGCAATTGAAAAGGTGCTTTGGAAGTTACAAAAATATTTCCTTCGTGATTTGTAAAACTTTCTATTATGTGGAATATATAAAGCCAAATTACAATAACTAATTAGGCCCAACAACACCAACTATCGAGCTATACGTATAAAATGTGGGAGTCATAATGCGTGAATACATCTTCCACTAAAAAAAAACTCCAAAATTATGAATGTTAAATTAATTTTTCCCCCTACATTGTATCATGTCATTCCAAAATCATACTATGTAATTTAAGAAGACTTTCAACTAATTTTTGAAGTTGGGTTTTTAAGAATTATGCAACGACATTTTTTTTTTCTCTATTTTTGAGAAAAATATATTCTTGATCTAAAACCAACAATAGTCAGGTATGACGGGCTAAGAGACTAACTAGATCAGGCCATTTTTCTGAACCTATGCGTAACTCTACTTTTTGGAAGGGAGGGGAAGTCACCAGCGGAATTTGCGACAAGGAAAGTTAAATTAAGCCATCTACAATACTTTGATTTTAGAATTAAGAAAGCCCGTGTTTAATCTTGATCTAAACTGCTCTGATACCATGATAAGTTTAGGCTACAAACTTAATAGATCGTCTAAAGGCATCGAAAACCAAACTTCCTACACCTAAAAGCCTTCTAATAGAATAATATTCTAATGTTAATATCACACGTAATCTAATCACCGAAAGGATACATTATTATCTCATATCTCTAATGGTATATCAGTATATGCCATAAACATAAAGAAAATATACATCCATGTGCATAGACTCAAGTTGTGCATGATCTATCATCCCTTCTTTAACATCTGCAAGAGGTAATGTGCCATTATGAGCAATGGTTTACCTCAAATCAAACAACATAAGGAGCCTCGAGGAACAATTTGTGGTAATTGTATCAATTACGGGACACACAGACAACCTGCTTGCCCACATTTTTACCAGTAAAAAGCCCTGCAAGAGCAGAAGGAGCGCTTTCTAATCCTACACTCATGTCCTCGATGTACACAATCTTCCCTTGCTTATAGTAAGCCCCAACATGCTCAACAAATTTAGGAAACAAATGCAAGTAATCACTCTGAATAAATCCTTGCATTCTGATCCGTCTGCTGATGAGTGTAAATAGGTTGTGGATCCCATCCTCGCCACGATAGCTATGCTGAGACACCATCCCACAAACAGCTATTCTACCATGAACTCTCATGTTGAGGAGCACAGCGTCGAGCATTGCCCCACCGACATTCTCAAAGTATATGTCGATTCCTTCAGGAAAATATCTGCTTAGAATTGGCAGATATGACATCATATTAGGATCATATTGTACGCTATAAAGTTACAAGTAACAATAGAATATCGTTAGCCTCTCCCTTATGTCAGTTTGCTGAGTATCCAATATCAAACCGGATTCAGGATCAGTGTAAATGCTTAAACAACTTATAGGATCAAAGGGAGCTTACTATCATCCTAAGCTAGTGTCGAACATTAAGAATATATGCTAAAAACATGTACTGACATAATGAGCATATGCAAAAAGCATGGTCGGGAGGACTGAACTTATTCCATGACATTACCAAACAAAATCTACACAATCTTTTACATCCAGCAAAAGAGTGGCAAACATTAAGGATGGTGACAGTGATGTTTTAACTTGATCGAGTTCTTTTCACCTTTTTCTTTTTGGTTGCTGAATTGTGAAAAGACTACCAATTGCTTTCAAGCTTTTAAAATTATCCTGCAAATAATTCCAGATGCTCCTAGACCATGACACTAGCGAAATAAATCCGTGATAGATAAGTTTGGCATCCCCTGATTTCGGTATTATAGCAAACAAGGAACTGAAGGTGAGCATTCTTTGCATTGCACTCATCAGTAGCATAGATGAAAGGCTAGTGTTCAACAACTACGACCACATTATTAAAGACCATGCTAACACTCAGACAGCAAACTATTCACCATATAACTACCAATAACACATCAAGATTGATGGTTTTATGTAGCTTTAAAGTTTAAACCTTCCGTCAGATATCAAATGTAAGTGAAAAAGGCCATGCAACAAAGATCCAACACAAAAGAGCTAGTTTCTACTTACTTTTTAAGAGTTGCATCAAGGTGTTGTTCTTCTTTGTAGTTGAAAGCATCATCAAATCCAAGCTTAGTTTTTAGTAAATTAACCTACAAAGCAGAGACCAAAGAATCAATCTACAGAACATGCATGCATGAACAACATGTAGAATTGCCATAATAAGAATATTACCTTTTCTTTTGTGCCTGCACTACCAACAACATAGCAACCATGTAATTTAGCAAGTTGACCAACAATCTGCCCAACAGCTCCAGAAGCTGCAGAGACGAAAACACGGTCCCCCTCTTTTGGCGAACAGACTTCATGAAAGCCTGCATAAGCAGTAAATCCTGGCATACCTGCATAAACAGATCAATCAAGCAAGAACACTTTGGCTTAAGCAGAAAACGAGCCTCTAAGTCATTTTTGTGAAGTAACTAATTGTATGGAGCCACCAAGTTGCATAGTCACGGAGGGCAAATTGGCTCTAGGACTTATGTTGCATCTCCTCTAGCAATAAGTTGATCTGACAAAAATAGGCATCAAGAAAGGAAAATAAGGTTTGTTTCATACCAAGAAGACCGATATGATAAGAAAGAGGGATGTCATCTTGCTGAATCTTCCTCAGTTTCTTTGTATCCTCGATTAAGCTGTATTCCTCCCAGCCAGTCATTCCTGAAACAATATCTCCTGACTGGAAATTTGGATCATCTGAATCTATGACTCTGGAGACTCCAAATCCTTCAATAGGCTAGACAATGATACACGCTAACACGGTTAGTGTTGTACACAAAATTAGTGTCAGATAAAATGACAAATATGTTCCTAGGCTCCGTCCACTCTTCTCCCCTGAGGGAATAAGAAAGAAGATGATCTAGGCAAAAATTCATACCATTTTCTAAAAAACATGCTATATAATGTGAGAAGAATAATGTTCTGCCTCCACTACTCAAGGAGGAAAAAAACCAATTCATCAACGTTTTACCCATTTGAAGCTAATAGAAGGCTCAAATGGCAGTATAACAAAGACGATGAAGAACAAAAACTTAGGACCTGATGTAGCCACTATAGGCCAACTATTATGAAGTACTCCTAGAGTCCGACAATCTGAAAAATGGCCAACTCCCTTCAAACATATAGGAAACTTACACACAAGCATTCTACTCTGTATTAGCAGTTCTAATTGTGACACTGAGTAGTTGCCTTGGCTATGACTACACTCCTCACATTTCAAAATACAAGGCAAATAACTAGGAATTTTTCACTACATACTGTAAACCGTTTCACAAAAATGATGGAAGTACTAAATGTAACAATCCCAATATTAACAATTTTCCTCTTCTTATCATCATCTAATGTGGCTTGCCATGTAAGGGTGTATCAGTTGATGCACCACAAATAGCAACAGCCAATCTTGGGTGAGATGATCTCAAATTAACTTGTAAATGTTGAAAGTTATCCCTTAAAAAACATATTAAGATTCACCAGTCTCACACCATCTCATATAAAATTTTGGCAATTACCATATTGAATTGGAAGCACTAAGGATCGCGTAGTTAACTTAAGGTCAAAGGTTTAAAATTTGACAGCATTATACTTCGAATCTTTTACGGTGTAGACAGAGTCACAAAAGACAAATAACGTACGTATTGGATCTCAGGTTTTGGGGTCACCCTTTAGCAACATATGCTCAGCAACAAAACAATCTACTTCTCAAAGAATATTCAATAGCACAGCAATTTTCCCTATTATACATAAATCCCTCAACTCCCTAAACAAAAAAGGTACTCCGTATATAGGAAAGCAATTTACTAGGATTGTTCGTGGTCCGATTTAGATCAATTTGTGACATATTGTAACACAATATGTCAATATCTATCCATCTATTCATTCTTGCTCAACTAAATTTTTTAACAAATATCCTAAGAAATTGAGGCATAAACAATACAGAAAATCCAAAAAAAATGATTAAAATAAGAAATAATTACTGGGAATTTCAGCAAAATGAAAGCTTTTAAAAGATATACCTTGCCAGGAACAAAAGGTGGAATGTAAGAACCGTAAAATTCACGCATTCGACCTCTCATATAAGGATCACAAGACAAATAAAGGTTCTTAATAAGAACAGAATTAGACCCTTTTGAAATTTTGAGCTTAATTTTATTTCCCACATTTAATTCCATGTCTGATTCCAATGGAGCTCTATCAATGTACCCTTTCAGTATTATTTGCTTGTTTTCCACTTCTTCTTTTATCTCCATTTTTATTTTTGAAGATTTCTGACCCAAAGATGTGATTTTCGGGAAATTTTCCAAGTATGATTTTTGTGGTTATGTTGTGAGCAAATTGTTGCCTGGGTTTGGTGGTTGGTAAGAGAAATTTTGCTAATGCTGGGGTTGGTTTCATCGATGAATTGCAGCCTCGCAGGGCTTGGAATTTTGGAACTGTAGTCAGATCATGAGTGCATTAATTTTAATGGGCCATTGTCCTACACTTTTTTTTTTCCCTCTCTCTCTCTCTCTCTCTCCAATTAATCGTAATATTTTTCTTTTTTATTTTCACTTATTTCGGTGCAACATTTGTTATTTCAATAACTATTGTGTAAGGCGGGTGTATGTTAATTTTATTAAAAGATGGTAAGTTTGAAAGTAATTTTAATTTTTTTTATATGGTAATTTTTACCCCCGATAACTTTTAATTTGTCGTTGGTTTAAATTTTATTTTAATGTGTAATTTTTTATAGATTCATGATTACATAAATATGACTAATTTAATACATTATAAGTTTTTTGTAAGATAAAATTTATTATTTGAAAAATAATAACTTTTGTAATAAAAAGGGTAACTTTAAATACTTTTAGCATAAATTTAACCCGTATTACAATAAATTAACGTACACCCGTCTTTATGGAGAATTTGTGTTGTTATTTTCCATCCATTAACCTAACTTGTATAACTATGTGTCTATGTCATTGTTTCATTCATTTTTTTTTTCAACTTATAATATTTACGAAAGGCAAAAGGCTAACGAAAAGTCGAATATCATGGGAGCGTTAGATAATTACTAATTACATTGAATAAACGTTGATTATATCGATAAACGTGTGATTTTGATATGTATATTAAAATCAATACGAGTGCAATTTTAGGAAATATTTAAAAGTTCTTAATATTCACACTTGAAATTTGAAGGTATTGATATTGAAATTCTACATTGACTAACATACTTAAATACTTCGCATGTGTCAACTGTTAGGTTGCAAGTATGAGTTGTTGTCCCACATAGAAAAATTAAATAAAGAACCACTAGTTTATAACCTAAGTAAGCTACTCTTTTTATAGCCATATGGTTTTAAAATGGAACTAGTTTGTAGCGATGCACCGATTTTTTTTTTTGGATGATTTTGGATATAGTGATGCAAACTTAACAATAGTTAGGCTTTTATCATTCATAATAAATTTATGTTGGTACAATATTTTTTTAATAACATTTAAAATTTGAATTCGGAACAATTTCAATGCACAATAGTCAATTATTTGAAGATTGGATGAATGAGAATTGTTCAATATAATACATTCCCACATTTAAATCAAACAGTGTAAAACTATTATATCTTTAAATGTCTTGGTTAATACAAAAGAGATTAAGAAAAGAAAAGTCACCAGTTACAAAATCTAAACACAAATGAGAACAATAATTTACTTTACACTTGCACCATTGCACTGGATATAGTTAATGGATATCATGGATGATCATGTGATAGCGTATAGTTAATGGATATCATGGTTTTCTCCTTAATAACGCATAGAATATAATTAATGGATGTTTTTAAGGCATTTTAAATTGAGGATTTTCTTGTTCATTAGAATCCATGATAGATTAAGACCAAAAGTCATGTAGAAAATAACTACACAATAAAAGTTACTCGGTATTAATTTTTTACTCATGTATCGCCTAGTCATGTTGAGGGAAGGGTGACACATGGCGATACCATGTTGTTCCATTGAGTTTTAATAATATTATAGATTTCACTTGGGCTTATGTATGGGCTTTTCTCTCCTCGTTGTCTCTCCCCCGATTCCTAACAATGGCATAAGAGCCGATGGTTCAGCTGGGCCCCTCGTACCTGTTTCTTAGACGCCTTTGTGTAGGGTATGTGAGACCAAGCTAAGACCTATTTACTGGCGATCTCCTCAGATGTTCTTGTCTACACCCCAGTTTCCTCCATACAAGCTTCTCACTGGGAGTGCTATGAGAGTTTGGGTGCATGGTTTCCGCTCAAGGGAGAGTATTTCGAACTCACACTTGAGGGGGAGATAGTTAGGTTGCAAGTATGAGTTGTTGTCCCACATGGAAAAATTAAATAAAGAACCACTAGTTTATAACCTAAGTGAGTTACTACTTCTCTTGCCATATGGTTTTAGAATGGAATTTCACTTGGGTTTATGTGTGGGCTTTTCTCTCCTCCTTGTCTCTCCCCCGATTCCAATCATCAACTATAATGAAACGGATGAAGTATGAAATAGAGTTGCATTTCACTCAAAATCACAGGGTTGCTTCACCTGCTGCCACAGCCAACTTCACTTTCTAATCTCTACTTCATAAACAAAACGCAGCAAAGTTCAGTTCAGATGATAGAGTAACTGAATGTACTACATTGTTAATCCTCAATTGTTTACTTAATTAGCTGCCATATCTCAAGGTTGAAACCAGCACATTAATGAGTACTCCAACTGATTAATGATATTTCCCACAAGTTAGTTCTTCTAATAATTTCTTTAATGATATTTCCCATAACTGATTAATGATATTTCCCACAAGTTAGTTCTTCTAATAATTTCTTTAATGATATTTCCCACAACTGATTAACTATTTTTATGGAGTACTTGATAATCACCCTAATCTACAAGTTAGTTCTTCTAATAATTTCTTTAATGATATTTCCCACATATCTTGAGTTCTAATTCTAAACAACAAATTATAAATATTATTAAGGCAATCTTAAGAGTGGTTGCTAATTTATTCCAACTATGTACCTTCATTTTTAGACTATACTGGCCTTGAGCCAGCCTATGGTCAATACTCGACCCACAACCATAACCATCTCTAATTCAACGTATGAGTATCATTTAGAATAAAAATGTTGAATTCGGATATTAATTTTTAGACATCTAAAATAAGATTTAAGTAATTGGAAAAACACGATTATGTTGACATATACAGTATACTCCGTATAAGATAAAATAGTAACTGTAGACATCACACACTAATACATATTTTTTTTATACGCACTATATACACACAAATCTTTCCACACACACACAAAAAAACAAAAAAAAAAAAAAAATCATTTACACTATGTTTGGATAACACTAGTGAAGGGAAAGGGAGAGGAAGGAAAAAGAGGGAGGGGAAAGGGAGGTGAGGGGAGGGAGGAGGTGACCTTCCATTTTCCCTCCAAATCTCTCCAACAATGGAAGGATTTGGTTTATTAAAAAGGGAAGGAAAATGGATCTTTTCAATTCCCTTCCCTTCTCTCCTTACATTAGGTATTCAAACAAAGGATGATGCATCCTTTCTTTTCTCTATCCAAACACAGTGTCAGATACGCGAGTGACGTGGAATTCTTTATCTAAGTTTAAACAACTTTGGGGTTGAACCAAGCCTGAGATCTCTCCAACTGCATTTTTGCAATATGATTGAGTTTTATTTGCATCGTAGTATTGGAGATTGATATTTTGGAGTTGAATTCCAGTGCATGGATTGGTACCACTACAATCAAATTTTACTGCTACTTCACTTAACGAAGTTCCTCGTATATTTTCATACTTCACATCACTTATTTGTACACCTGATTCCTGTTAGGTCATGTTAGTAGAATCGAGTTAGAAAAATATATAGAGAACGTTATATTTATACGACCTCTAATTAGTTACGTTACATAATTAAGTTGTACTGTTACACTGAGCACGTAATACGGTAGTAGTACATAACACGTAGATACGTACCTGACCGGGACAATTTTTATTGTGAGGACAATAATTTTGTTCGATGATAATAGGATTCCAAACATATCGCATGAGAACATCTTGAAAAATGACCCCTTGAACAAAGCCATTGCTAGGCCTTCCCCATGACTTAATTCTCACCCCAGTTGTGGAGTAAGAGATTACCGCCGTCTTCACTGTTACATTTTGTACTCCTTCTTCGTCCATACTTTTTGCTAGGCTTCCAATGCTGCATCAATATAACATTTTAGAAAATTATAATACTAATGATAACTTATTGTACGTACGTTCTTGTAAGAGTTGTAACATTTGAAAACAGGGAGTATAAACGTAGAATTAGTACATCTGATAAACGAAGTAAAGAAAATACAAAGTACTCCATAATTAATTTTAAGGTTATTTGTTGCGCTACGAATTAAAGATCGTGTAGGATATAGCTTAGATACTCTAATTGTTGATCCTAATAAATGTATATTGACTAAGCCAGAACAATATTGCAATTTTCTTGACCATCAATTGCTTTCTTTACTAACAAAATTTTCGTTTTAAATGATAAAATTCGATCATATTTCGTGTATCATCATTCTCCAAGACAAGTTTCAGTTTCGTAAAACCCACTATTTTTATTTCTACGTAGTACCAAAGAAAATCAAAGTCAAACTTTCATTACTTAGACTTAAAAACACATTTTACATCTGTGCACTAATATTGAACAATTATCATTATTATATGTTGGTTAATAAAATGACCAACCTAAATTTCTTGCTATATGCATGCTTGACCTATTAATTCTCTCTATTTACTTATATTAAATTTTTTGAAGCTAATATAAAGTCGAGTAAATTATTATTATAGCCAAAATTTTACTAGTCCGATCAGTAAAATTTTTATTGTAGGACAGAGGAGATATAAGGATGAGTTGTTCCATACCTAATACCATGACTAGGGCCACACGAGATTCGTTCAATCCACAAATTTTTAGCTCCAGGTCCGATGGAGACACAATCATCTCCTGTTTTAACCTTGGTGTTCATGATGTTAACACCGGAAGATTCTTGGACGTGGATGCCATCGGTGTTAGGGCTATTTCCGGCTGCTCTAATCTTGACAGCTTCAATTAAAACATCCTTACACACATTGATAACAATATGGTACAATTGGCTATTTAGTGAAGTAATTCCTTTGATCACTATGTTGTTGGAGCTGGTAAAGGTTAAAGTCTACATCCACAGTAGAAATAAAATAATTAGAAGTAGATTAATGTTTGATTATAATTAATTCATATTAAGAACTTTATTTTGACAATCTGGAATGCTCCCACTTTTATGCAATTCCATAGTAAATACACTACATCATTTGATAAACGCGCACTAATTAAGATAATGGCAAAATGATCAGAACTAACTACTTTGAATACTATGAAAATTTGTCCTTTCAATTTTGGATGATTCTATGGTTGTCGTATGAAAAATGACAACCACTATTTTTAAAACTAAACGGTTAAGAGTTAATGAATTTTGAATTATATTTAATGTTAATATTAATTATAAGTCAATTTAATTATAACCTGATGAAAAAAATTTGATTTTTTTTTATTTTTAATTTTATTAATAACTAGATTAGTCTCGTGTGATGCACGATTTGAATAAATAAAATTTTCTAAATTTGTTTATTTTTTCATACCGAAATTAAAAACAAAAAAAATTTCCAGAACAAATAATACATCAAATATTAAAAAAAAAATAAAAAAAAATAGAGCTCATAAAAATTGAATGATGAAAGAGGTACCTGAGGAAGAAAATTTTAATTATTATTGTTAGAGAGAATAGACTGTTTTTCTGAAATTGATACTAATAATAATATAGCTGACCAAAATTTTAATAAAATAAGATAAAAATTAGAAAATGATGACATCATTTATAGTTTTGGAGGGAAAATTTTTAATGACAACTTGACATGTGTCTAATATTAGGATAGGATGGTGTCAGCGATTGCTATTTTAGTATTAGTTATAGATTAAAATTTAATTTCGTAAATTAATTTGAAAAAAAATGAAAATTTAAATTCAATTCTTAAAATAAGGAAAATGAATTTTGAGTAATTTTATCATGAAAAAATAATTCAAAAATGATAAAATCACAGCCGTCCAATCTCAAAAATTGTGGTTGCCATTTTTCAAATGACTACTTTAGAATTTTCAAATAAATTTTGCTTAGTCGTACATCTAACTTTGACATAACATATTAGATCTATTTGGTAATTAGCTAATCGCTACCCTGTAGTTGATATAACTAGTTGTAATTGGTTTATCTAGTTGGTTGCACTGATGTTTTGACTAACTCTCTAAATCTTCTATTTCACCTAACATTAATTAAAAATGCTTTATTCCAAGAATTGCTTAAATAACCGCTCTAACACAAACTAGAGTTGGGTTGAGCTACCTTTTCAAATTAGCTTAGTGTACTCTAATAAGCTATTTAAATCATCTATTTTTTCACACCAAAAAAAGTTGATTATATATGTTCAAATCATTTACTACGTAATTGTTCTCAAAAAGCTAAAATCTCATTAATCATATCTTTACCCAATAAGGCCAAGTATTTGAGGTTAAAATTTGACATTTAAAAAAAAAATATAAATAGTATATATCAATACAAACACAACAAATCACAAGAGACGGTCAAATGAGAATGTGCGATAGTAATATTAATGTTGCATGCTGCAATTTAAAAAGAAGGTAGGAGTATAAGCATACATACCGTTGAACCTCGCGGACACTTATCACCATTTTTGCCCTTCTTGCAATTCCACAAGGACGTACCTTTGGCATCAAAGAAACCATGACCAGCAATTGTAACACCACTAACCCTATCGAACCACACCCATCGATCCACACGACCGAGCACATGATAGTCAAGAGGCGCCACTATGGTTCCATCGATGTAGAAGGTTATATCATTGTTGTTGCAATCACTACCTCGAAATTCTATGGGATGAAGCAAGTACCTCCCCTTAGGGACAGTAATCGAAGCCGAACCATTCGTTTTACAAGCGGCCTCCCATGCACTAAGGAAGGCCGTGCTCGTGTCAGTTAAACCAGTTGGTTTAGCACCAAGTTCTAGCACATTGTAGGCCTTTGTAGCAGCTGATATTGATGATGTTAGGCTAAGAAAAAACGTACATAAATAACATATGGTTAATATGTATTTGTTGAACGACTTGGCCATTTAACTGGCTAGAACAAAATTTAATCCGACTAGAAACCCTGTTAGATTTTAGGGTCTTGAACACAATTTTTCGAGATCTACTTGACCTGTCGATATGATAAGGTATGTATGGTATTACGAGACAAGAAGATATGGTTTGTCTTCTAGGGAAATGAGCTAGAAAAATGTTTGTTTTGAGGTATTCGAAGATATTGGAGGCACCTTGTATATATATAGTTTTATGAAAGATTGAGTATAGGTAGGTAATTAGTCACTAATTCGGCGATTAAGGCCGGCGTTGAACAGAAGGTAAACGTACACTATGATATATGGGAGTGGTAATTAACAAGACAACTGCGCCAAACAAAGGCTTTGTACGGAAGGTAAACGTGCACCATGAATATAGTGGTAAAAGCATTGAAGAAAAGTAAGTACGTTCGAAATCTGAAACTTGAATACATGTCAAGTAGTATAATTATAGTACGTACTTATTAAGCTCAATATATTGATTGCATGTAAATAAATGAAAGTTTTTATGTTTCTAGAAGATTGACCTTAGTGAAAGTGAAAGATGTTATGGACAGAAAATGGCAATTGGATGAAGTTAAGCTATCATGTCACCTGATTGTTAGGTTATTTTTGTAAGCATGTCCTCTAACTACTATATCGATGTATAAATGTTTTTTCGATGAAAAAAGGTAAAATACAAATCGCAAGTGTATAATAAAATAAACGACCCTAGAGGAAGGATCGATGAAACAAAAAATGGAGAATTAACTGAATTAATAAGTGAAAGTGCACCACCACAAATATTGTCTCTAGGCAAAGGCCAATAAGTTCATTGTAAGATCAAACTTTTGACCTAAACATCTTATCCGATTTTTTCCATTACTAATTAATTAACAACTTATCAAAAATGACAACGCTGCATAGCTAGGCAGGCCTTGGGATCAAACACAAGAACATGATCGTTTATTCATACTTTTACATTTGTACAATACACCCCCCTCCCCATCCTCTTTACAAGGTAGTGTATGATGTGAGATCGACTTGCAATAATAATATGAAAATATACACAATCATAAATTAGCCACTGTTGACTATGCCTCTCAATCAACTTATTATTCTTGTTATAGAAAACTACAGGTTGAAGCTAAGCAATATATTTGTATAGAAATACCGTACATATTGCTAGTCTGGTACTCCAGGATATGTGAATGAAGATTAAGTAAAAGATTCAGCACACCAGAATAAAAGGCAAAAAGGACTTTTAGACTTTCATATTTCAAAGCAACGCAAAAAATGAAGGCAGATATGACTTCATATCAACTATTTGCACTTTCAGTTTTCTACTCAAAGCATAAAATAAAATAAAAATAATAATAATAAAAAATAAAATAAAATAAAATAAAAAACCCTCATTTTCAACTTTGATTGATTTGTTTTAATTTCTAGCCGCGAAACGGCGAAAACATCAGATTAATAATCAATTAATTAAATTGCTTCATTTGTACATGGATTAATTTCTGGATTAAGGACTGTGAAAGCTGTAATAGGATCAATGTTGTACTATATGAATAAATGCAAAATTATTCTAGTACATATATGAATAAATGTTGCTTCCTCCGTTCCTTATCTACATGCCTACTTTGGGTTTTAAAACTACATGTCTATTTCTATTTAAAGAATGTACTTTTAATTTTGACAATATTCCCTTTTTTTTTATGAGTTGTCATCAATTTTATTTTATTTTTTGTACTTTTGACATCATTTTCTAACACTTTATCTCTCTATCTCTTTAATAATTACCAACTACTTTTTCTTTCTTTTGATCTCTCTCTAACCCCATATGCACATTTGTAATTCCCAACCATGGGTTTTAAAGAATCTCTAAATTTCTTAATTCTCGTGAAAAATGGGAAATAGACATGTAGTAAAGGACAAAGGGAGTATTTAAGTTAATTACTCTCTCCGTCCCCATTTGATTGTCACTTTTGATAGAAAATCACGAGAATTAAGGAGAAATTAAGGAAGTACATGGGAATTAAAACCCAATCATTTACAAAAAAAGAAGAGAGAGAAAGTAATCCATGTGATTTATTAAACAACCAATGAAAATCAAGGTCCACATTAGTAATTTATGTGATTTATTTTTAACCAATAACATTACAAGAAATAATTACATCATCCAATAGAATTACACTACACATATTGATGACTAAGCTAAAAATGTTTGATAGAGAGAAATTTATACTTACAAGTTCCAAAGGGGTACCAACAATAAAGAGGGCAAAAAATATGAGGGTAAAATAGGAAGCCTTTATAATAAGGACAAAAAATTATGAGGTTAAAATTGTAATTTAATGTGTATTATTAAATTTAAAAATGTGAAATGTGACAAACATTTAAGAGCACCCAAAGTGGCAAAAGTGACAATCAAATGGAGACGGAGAGAGTAAAATGCAGTCAATTAAAGCTAAGTTAGTTGAATATGCATTACAAGTCATTATTGCTCAAAATCAACTAGCTAAAGATGTACTTCTTATAATTAATCCTACCCAACATGCAATCTACTTACATAGCTACCAACTATTACAACAACTAAAATAACCGTAACCGTACACGCCCTTACTCTTAAGAGTTTACGGTCACAGGTCACTATTTATCAACTAGCTTGGATTTTAGTCATTAATATTTTCAATACAATGTATATTGTGCATATTCCTTCTCATTTCCTCAACTAATGCCAATATATTTTTAGCTTTTATCCTAAGTTCTCAATGATCATGTGTTGATTGTACTCTTTAATCATTACTTAAATAGGAGTATTACTTAAATAGTGTTTAGATAATTACATTGTTGATTATCCATTACGGAGTAGCTTTCTCTTTTTTTTTTTTTTTTTTTTTTAATATACTGTATGGATTTTTCTGCTGGAGTATTCTTATTTCTTGATTTATATAATTTTAAACATATGAAATTTATATTTTAAATCACCATTTTATATGAATATGTCAATAGTTGAATTGAACCCATTTAGCTCTGCTGTGCTGGCCATGATGTGATTCTCATCCCCATCAAGGATCAGGCCATCGCCAGCTTAACCTCCTATCCTCGCCCCACTGGACACATAAAACCAGCTCCACTAACATCTCTGGGTGGCGGGTCACTAGGGAGTAGCTTCTCATCTACCTCCTGCACTCCAATTATAAAAAGTTGATATTTTAAAAGTATATGTTGAGATAGATCTTACTAGATCCTCAAACTCTCATAACTATAATTTGTTCTTGTGTATATAAATCACAATAAATGGTCAAGGGGAATATGTGAGCTGCGAAAAGTCTAAATGTTACAATATTTGTAGAACAAAGTATATAAAATACACCCTTCAAAAAAAAAAAAAAAAAAAAAAAAAAAGGTAAATAAAATGCACGAAACCACAGAAAATAAAAATAATTCATTCTGTCAAACAAAAATCTAGCATAAATAATAGAAATAAGATAAAAGGCAGTCCCATTGTATACATGGGTTTTAATTTGGTTCAATTTCTGTTTCAAAATTCCTAAATGAGCACATTCCCCCTTGTTTCCCTGAAGGGGTTGACATTCAACTCTATACACGCCTTCTGTACACATACAACCAAATTTCTGCTTCAACGCAGAATTTTTTTTATAAATCAACTCTACAGTGATCAGCAAATGAATGTAATGCAAATCAGCACCATTTAGAGGTTCTATTTACAATAATGATTATGGTTTGCCTAAAACTCAGCAAAAACGACCTGTTAGGCACAGCAACAAAAGTACACTTACATAGTTACATGCGCTAACCTCAAAGTTGCCTGGAACGATCGATAATCCTCAGTACAAGCACTTTCCAGAGATTACGTGAAAAGTGACGCTCACAAAGAAAATTATTAATGACCAGTGTTAAGGAGAGCGAAGCTTACGTAGCTTGTCAAAAACGTCTAGTGAATTGTTGAGGTTTTGGATGCTTGACCTCTGCAGGACATTCGACTGGACTTTCTTCTCGTTCCTCGTTTTAGCTATGGATCTTTTCCCCTTGGCTAAGCAGCAGTAACGAACACGTATGCGATGGTTACCAATCTCAGTGCAGCAACTTCCATGAACCCTTACGACCATAATGACTTCCTTGTCCCTTGCATCTTCACACCAACTATTCTGGGGAACGCCGTCAACAAACTCTTCTAGGGTTTGGAACTCCTCATGATGAACTTCGACCTCCAGTGTACGATCAGGTTCAATCACACCTTTTGCAGGAGTTACCTGATGAAAAATCATCACTCAAATTACACTCCAAGAAATAGTAGTGATATAACAAAAAAAAATTATTCTCCTGTGTTTTTCTTTTATCAAGTACTCAGTCAAAATTTCAGGTGCAGCCATCAAACCCAATAGTAATAGTTAATCTAGTACTGTAATTTAATTTCCTTTGACAAAAAAGGCAACTCCACTTTCTCTTATTTTATCTTATGTTACATGACTGAAGATAGACCACAAGGTCTATAACTAATATTTTTTAAAAAGAAACAGATAGCGAGGGAAGATGTAGAAAAAGTTACAATGGGAAAGTTAATCGTCCAAACAGGAAAAATTAAAAATATAAAATAAGGTTCTTTTAATTAACACATCACTTTGATGTGAATCAGAATTTAAAATCAAACAGAGGGAGTATGAAACAAAGGTATTGCTACATCAATCAAAGAAGGATAATCAAGCCTTTAATGCTCCTTCCTTTCCATTCCCTCCCCTTTTCCTTCTGCTTTGTTTATCCAAACACACTTCTATTTCCCTAAAGGTCTCTAACACTGCTAGGTGCTAGCATAGAAAGCGGAATAGGAGCTTCATGATGTTACTAACATTATAGTTCAGTACATATTTTGACAGGTTAATGGTTTAAGTTGGTGAGATTTGACCATCAAGTCAACCGTGGCTGATTAGTTTGAAGTGGAGTAGTAGATCTCAAAGGATCATAGCAAGGCCATCCATCACCTAGAATCCAACAGACTGCCATCAGCCAAAAATGGACAAAAGGTGAATCACTTGTCAAGGTATAAGTCAGAAACTAGTGCGTGGATCAGGGTTCTCTCCCACTCTCCATCCCAGGATTATTGAGTTCCAAATAGACTGCAGGAGACACACCCCAATCTTTGCAAGTCACTACTTCCAATAAATAATGCAAAAGACTACAGAGTACCATCAGATGCATAATTTGCTCCAGAGTTCATAAACCCATTAAGCATACATAGAGTAAAGATTCCTCAATTCATCTACATGTAGTACTGTCACTGTTCTCTAGTCAGTAGCCACAAAACACGGATAAAAATGGTGGCTATGCTTAGGTAACAAAGCTGAAATACCTGAAGCCAGCGAGGGAAGCCAAAAGCACCTCTTGGACTGTGATTAGGTGCTACTCCATCATCGTTGATGATGGACTCCCCAAGACATATTATTGTAAACATAGCTTTATCAACTGTACTTTTGTTTGTAATCCGCAAAAGTGAAGTGCCATCATCTTGAAAAATTATGTTGTTTGTACTGACAATAATTTCAGGAACTCTGCATAGTTCTTGAAGTAGAGAGCGGACTTTTGGGTTTGATTCAATAATTTCACAGTACTCTTGTCTCCTCACTGACTCATCAACGCGAGCAATATCCAAATTAAATTTGCAGCGTACAGGCTTGTGATCACTGTCAGTCACATCCATGCAAGCCTCATACCTAATATTTGAAGTAGTTAGAATTTAAAGAAAAACATAAGAAAGTGTGAAGACAAATAAACCTCCACAAAGAACATCTATATAAAATGTAAATGTGGAAACTTACTCTAAAACCGAGCAGACAACTGGACAGTCAAGACTACACTCTGATGCTGAGGTAGTGCGGCTATCCCGATATAAGATCCTGTCACACCAAGCAGGAATACGCTTCTTTTCACCAGCATCATAGCCTAAGCCATAGAATAACAAAAACTTAACATTCAACTGACAGACAGATAATTAATTTAATAAAAGGACAAGCACAGCATGTGCACGTACACCACCTAACTTAATTATGTATCAACCTCTGCGAGGAGAAACATATACCAGCAAAGTGAACAAAACCAATTTCATCAATCGAAAGGTATAGCACATGTATCACAATTTTTTTGCCATGGATGACAAGATGAGCAGCAATTGACAACTGCGTCATAAATGCTATATTGATTTAGACAAAATACTAGTCCAAGACTCACAGTCCAGCAGCTTTTCAGCTAATGACATGTCTCACTATCCTTTCATTCTATAATACTTGCCAAACTTGGGGAATGGAAAAAAGGGAATACTAACATGTCTCAAGTCTCACTATCCTTGTACTTTCAGACAATAACAAATAGCTAACTAGAATTTTGGCATTTATAATGCTCTGCTTCACATCACAATTTAACTCTGAAAAAGGGGGGAAAAACACCTCTAGAGTTTAATTGATCAATACTTCCTCGAAAATAGCAATACTTTCCTAAAGAGAATATCTCCAAAAATTGCAACACTTCTGAAAATGGTTTACCAAACAAAATAACATAACTGTCCTTACTTTATGGAGTGGATGTGAGTGGGGTAGATAAGGGTAGATGGACAATATAGAGTGGTTAGAGCCTTCTCTCTCCTTAAAAAAATGTGTCAATCTCAAGTAATGCAATTTTAAGGATTGACAAAATGCATACTTTTCCTGTTTTTCTATATGAGAACAAGATAACTTACACTTAGATAACTATCACAGTGAAGTGGCTTAAATAACAACAGCTTAAGTGGTATTACAACAAATTTTAATGAGGCACCACCATGAAACAGTGAAGAACGGAAACATAAGAGATGAAAAATCTAGCTTGCCTACATCAGCTCACAATAAAAGATTTATTCCTCATTAACATTTACTGTCAAATATTTAAGAAATATATAAAGAAAATAGCAAATTAAATTGGAATTATTACACTAATATGATAAATGCATGTAATATCAGCATGCAAGGAGCAACCCGCAATAGCTGCATTACGACACATGAAACGGAATACAAGGCCGTCGTTAAGATAATTAAGAAGATAAGTCAACAACTATTTCAAAGAAAAGAGTGATATACTCATTACCACAGGTGTACAGTGTACAGTTTCAATAATTAGTCTTTAGTCCACAACATTCTCCTAATCTGTTACAAGACTAAATCTCTATAATAAAAAACAGCCAGTGAATCCTTGAGCATTTATAAGATTCACATGCCTCACTTGAGTCTTCTATAGCTCAACGTCATTATTCTTTCTCAGTACCTCAAGTCAGAAATGTAACTCACAAAAACATCCATAGCAGTTGTGGACTTGTAGTACTATATACCATTGCATATTTGTAAGTAATGTCAACTTTAATTTGGCCCACTTAATTTTGTGCTTCTTTTTTTCCACAATATACGAACAAGTAGATGGTACCATCAGATATTCTAATGTTATGGTACATGTAATTTGCAGATGCAAATAATTATGTAAATGGCATGTCCCAACGTGTGCCGTGCGGTTAAAAAGTACCAACGAGGGAACAAGTAGTGCAATGGTGCTAAATACCTTCAAAATTTTACATCTCTCTCTCTCTCTCTCTCTCTCTCTCTCTCTCTCTCTCTCTCTCTCTCAAATTCGTTCATTGTCGGCAATCCCCCACCCACTTTTGTTCTTTCCAATATTAAAAATCCCTGAAATGGCAATAATACTCCAGGTAAGGGGGGGCTACTCCCCTACCAGACATCCATTTAGAACAAGAAGTGATACCGACTAACTTTTTATACAAAACCTATTGTGCAAGTCTACACTTTAAATTGTTACTGATACTTAATATAAGTTAAATTTATCACAAAACAGGAGAAAGAAAACCAAGCAAAAATTCAATAAATACTTAAGCTTAACAATCCATAACAGCCATGATGTGTGAGAACAAACGAAAATTGAAATAAACAACACAAAATTTGTAATTACAAGCGATACCTGCTAAACCAGGCTGATGCCTTTCAAACTTATATGTTGGAGGAAACCTAACAATGGCTTCACGCATGCCTTGAAATACTCTTCCAGCCTCCATCTCCGCTCGAAGTTGATCCCTCTCTCTGAGCCAGTCAAAGCATCTTTGAGAGATAAAATCTCTGGCTTCATCATAAGATATACCATCAAGGCGATAATTAAAATCACCAAGAAAAATGACCAAGTCTGCTTCTGATAAATCAGGCATTACTTCAACTGAACGATATCCCACACCCTGTAAAAAGAAGCAACCAATGTTGTGGGAACATTTTAACACCCTGCATATTGATAAGAAAACCAGGCATCCTCATAGCAGATTCATGGCAGTATTTACTTACACTAGTGCTGCGAAGCATTTGAACGGTAGATGAGACGCCAACTGCAAGACAAAGGGCCAATGACAAGCCAGAACGATAAACAAAGCATGAAAAATATATGAAGCAGGCAACCGAGCAAGACAATAGGAGATATGGCATAATACCGGCAGCGCCATTGTTATTAGACGGCCGATTGAAGACCATTGATCGATACACATGATCAAAGTCAGCATTCCTACGGTTGACTGCCTCCAAATGTGCAGCAAAGTGACAGTTGACAAAACACATTGTTCGATCATAGATTCTCATTCGTAATGCAACTGCCCCCTGAAACCAAAACCTAAGTACAGATCAGGCATCAAAAATAATATATAAAGAAAATTGGGCCGTCTTTTGTGCTTATGAGTTGAATCTTTATAGAATAATAAGCATAATACATTTATGTAATAGTAATGTAAATAGAAAATAAAAGCAACTTTGGTCAATACTCTGGCAGGATTCCCATAGAAGCTTGATTGTTGTATATTGTTTACAGAATGCATTTCATTGTCATTTTCAATGAAGATAGAATACATCATACAAGAATTATACCAAGTTTATAAGTGGCATTTACTGGCTTGTTGCAAATAATTGAAGGCATACCTTATTACCAATTGCACGCCCAAAGCCACATGGTACAGCAGCAGCATCAACATCCCCAACATGAGCTTCAAGGTTCTTTCTCACCCTTATATATATATATATGCATATACAATAAAACTTGTCAACATAATAAGCAGGAAAAAAGATTTACGGAAGAATTCGCATATAAAAGTTTTCCAAAATCTGCAATCATAAAATACAGGCATGGGCCCAATAGAGTAGAGACCACAAAACCAAGGAAATAAAATTAGGATTAAAAAGCTATAATAAATCATGAATTGCAGAAATCCTTAATGCCTAGGTCATAGACTCAAAGCAATGAGGGATTCATGTGCCTGAAAAAAGTTGTGGAAGAGTCACAAACTCATAATTAGAACCATTGACAACTCAGAGGCCCCAGGCTGCAATTATAAGTCAATGCTATGAAAACTATTAGCGAGCTTTCCAAAATGCAACATGGATTTTCTACTATCACGCAATGAAAAGAACTCTTCACATTGGCTAAAGAAGAAAATAGTTGCATGCACATAAAATTTTCAACAATAATTGTGTATCACGAGTTCACGAGTAGAGAAGCAAAACTAGTAACTATGAGTCTATAACATATCAGTTAAATACTAAAATGATGATTACAAGTTCCACAGCCTTTTTGTTTTCTTTTTTTCCTTAATTCTTTTTTTTTTTTTAAATTTGGGCAAGGGTTCAGACTGCCACAGAAGCTTTCATTTGTTTGCTCACCCTTCTGACTTGGGATCAACTATACTAAGATGACAGAACTGAGAAACAACATACATTTAAAAAATAAATAATAAAAAAAAAATAAAAAAAAATCATCAAGAGGTTTGAAAAACATAACTATAAGCAACCCCACCAAAAACGTCTTCCTCCCCTTACCTTCATATACAGAATGGATAACTTAAAAAATAATTTAACATTTAATATGCCAGCAACAATATATGTTTAACAAGTGGAATACAGAATATCAAAATCTGCTATACATTTGCTAAAAGAGTACTCACCAAACAGCAATGAGCAAACCTGCCAGCTGCCGTGAACCAACACGCTCAAAAGTGGAACCTTCATCCAAAAGATTCCCTATAGTGTCTAGCCACCATTGCCCAACAGCACTACCCTCCAAACCAACCTACAGTAAAGGAAGATTGTCAAAAGGTAAACAATTGTTAATCCTAAAAGATCAAATGTAGCCACTTCAACAAAAAGTGAATAGGTGATGCTTCCAGAATCACATTGAGATCATATATTATCTATCCTATATTATTTTCAATCTCAAGTACTACTTTTTCTTGACTTTGACATCTCACTCACCATTTTAATTAATGGTTAGACTGAGAAATGTTTGACATATGACATAAAATGATGAAATGAATGAGACAAAGAAACCCCACAACAAAGGGTGATCCCCAACCAGTGATTAATAATATTAATATGTTATTATATGCATATTAATCCATATCAACTTTACACATTTATTAAGAACTTTAAATTCACAAAAGGAGACTGGCAACTTCTAAAAACATACACATTGGACAATTCCCTATAGAAGTCTAATCAGTAGGCTCAGCCAATGAACTTTAAAGTTAGACTGAATTGATTTCCATAAATAATCCAGCAGCAGATACAGTTCCTCTCACCTGTCACAACAATTTCAACACCACCTCTAGCTTGTGAAAAATTCCAAAAGAAAGGTGCAGGAAGACACATTAATAATGCAAATACTGTGACCTTATTAATCTGAAAGATGAATAGTCACATAATGTTTCTAAAAAAAACCTATTTCATGGAACCACATACAAAAATATTTAAAAATTATCACATTATATCACAGTTATAGTTTGCATTATCGGAAGATGAACTAAAAACCAAAGAGTTAGGACTTGGTTGGCATCATTTTTTGTTCCGAGTTTTTTGAAAACAAAAAACCAAAAATAGGAAACAAGAAAAAGGTGTTTCCACTAATCTGTTGTCAATTTTCAAAATTATCATGATTTTAATAAGTTTGACCAATTTTTGATTCATTATATGACGACGACAACAACAAAAACAAAGCCTTAGTCCCAAAATGATTTGGGGTCAGCTAACATGAATCGTCATAAGGAACCGTACGATATTTTTTTTATTAAAAAAAAACAAAAAAAAAAACATAACAAGATAATCATTTGAAAAAAGGTGAGTAAAGTAAGAAAAAGGAAGAGCATCTAAGAAAAATTAAGGGAGTTTTAAAAGAGAACCAAGAATAAGATGTAAGAAGGTTTTCAAGGAGTGGTTAAAATGTTGGAATAAAAAACATAAAGGTTTGAGAAAACTTTAGCAAAGGAAATCAATATGGTTCATAAAACATTGTTGGGATAAAATAATAAAATTAAATACTAAAATAAATTTAGAAAGTATACTAAAAAAAGGTGAGCTAAGTGAGAAAAAGGAAGAGCATCTAAGAAAAAATCTAAGACGGATGATAGGAAAAAAAAACGCACATACACATTAGACTAGCAAAGAGTTCATGTATCACAAGATAATTGGTTTTAATAGGTGAAACAAACAAAGATGAGGAAAAGTGAGTTAAGGTACAAGATCTTACGGTTTCTTTTGCAGCAGACATTGCGAGAACACCAGCTCCCATTTCTAGTTCTTGGAAGCCAACAACAACAACATCAGTTTCAGATGATGCAGAGCCAAGCCAAGAAATGAGTGAATCATAAGATGCCCTTCCTTGTGCAACATTCCAAGTGCCAGCCAAAACCTTCAAATTCTCCAGCCTCGTGTAAAGAAATTCTTTGCCACTTAATTCTGCACGAATCAGGTTGTCAATAGGCCCTGGAGATGTTATGTTCCATCCTTTTATACCACCATGGCCCGCTAAAGTAAAAATATAAGCAGACCCAACACCCAATTTGATAACAGGACTACTATGAGCAACCCAGCTCCCAAGCAGATTCCCATCAAGATCTACCACCTGCACAATCCCACTTGAATAACCAACCCAAATCTTGGACCCATATGTACAAAGACACAGAACACCAAAAGGATGATACTGGAACTCCTGGAGACGATTGCCATTTCCATCCCACTGCACAAGAAGGCCACTGCTGCATCCGGACCAAATCATTCCATCTATCGTAACAATCATTGCTTCAGTTCGCCGGTTATCATCTCCCACCGCCCCCTTGACTGCAGCTCGACGAACAGCATCAGCAGCTCCAAGAATGGCATTACGTGAACGCTGCAAGAAACCAAATGAAGCTTGAGGCTTTTCCTTCTTTAAAGCAGCTACATATCTCATCTTCATCTCATCTTCTGTTGTCAAATCCTGTAATGAAGCATTGTCCAGCCAGCTCTCCACCTGGCCATCAGTATTGAAGACTTTCAGTAACTCTCGGGTTCGGGCATCCCTGTTCAGATTCAAGAAAGAAATGGCAAACCCTAATTATTATGCAATGCAACAAACTCGAACAACCAAATTTTGCGATATGAATCACAATACATGCTTGCAATGCGATTGGAATGCCATATAACTTCTGCTCTACAACTCTACGTTACCTCAGGTTAACTTCTCCATACTAGTGTTGGATATGGGCATTTTTCCATCAGATTGACACCTTATGATATTATGTGCAATTTTTTGGGTTTAAATGAAATGTAATGTGTCCTTGTCCAATATTTGACATGGGAATTAGGTGAAGAGAATATGAAACCTAGTTAGTCGATAGTTGATAAACCTGGTTTAATAGATATTGAAATGAAGAATATTTAAATTTTGCATACGAAGGTGTAACGCTAGGAAATATGCTGAAGTCTGCTGATACAATTTGAGTTTAGTCCTTTCTATCTGGGAGCTTGGTGACAAATGTACTAGAAGTTACTGGAATGGTTTTGGTGTTCTTTTCATGAACATTTACAAAGCTTTAAAAAAAAATAAAAAGACTAAAACACAATATCCAGGTTGACGACGTACCATAATGCAAATGAGAAAACTCCAGCACTCCAAACCTTCGCTGTGGAATGATCAGATACCAAATACTTCACATCTGACACAAACATGTAGCATACACCATTTATAGTGACTTGGCTCTTCAGATCAACATAAGATCTCTCAACCTCCAAGATAGCCATGTGTCTTTCCTCGGCTTTTAGGGAAAGGGCCTTCACAATAGCTTCCCATGGCCAGATCCTAACAATGCCAATCTCAGAACCAGACCAGAGATCACCTGAAATTAAGGTCAGACAATAAATATGAAAGGGTACATTAACCAATATGCAGAGTAAGGACAGGGGATAACACCAGTAAAGGAACAATAAATACTTGAAATAAAATGGATGATTCTGGTCCGAGAAAAAGAAAAAGGTTGTTATTTTTGCAGTGTCACTTAGAATACGGTCATGGAAGCCTGCATGATCAATATGAGAACAGAGATCACTTCTCCTTCTCCACATAGAAAGCTAATGCAACATTAAATATTATATTATTAACAACTTTATATTAGTTAACAAAATCCTCTACAATTTAATTGTATTATATGAATAAATTTAAGATTAAGTTACTCAAAATTATTCATATAAACCATCAGCTAGCACCCCCATTCTCTTCTTAATAAACAACTATCCATATAGTCCATAAACCATATCATTACGGAGTAACTATAATCATTCTCAAACCCAGTAATGATGGAGGGCAATTTACAAATCAGATTTATGGATCCCAACACAGAGTTCACTCAGATGGTCACTGACCAAATTCTAAAAACCCTATTTTGTTTTAGAGTCCTATTTTGATCAATGTCAATGGATGATGGCAGAATTATAATGAGAAGCAAAACATATATACAATCAATTAAACTAAAAAGGATGAGTGTTCAGCTATTATCTGAATCAGAGTGGGTTTTTTTAATTCTTGCGTGCAAAGGTGCTTGTACATCAAAATTAATTGTATAACTGTACCAAATAATCTTATGCTTTGTTTATCCGCAGAACAAAATTCCTAGACAATTTGAAATTTTAAATATCAATTTAGTAGTTCAGTCAGACTCTATAGTATCACTCTTATATGAAACTAGAAAATCTCCAACACAAAGACTACTCAAAGCCATTATGTGCTTCAAAAGTTCAAGAGACATATGAGTATAGCTAATAGACTCAAGAAACTACCAAGAAATTCCCAATAAAGGCAAACAAAACCAGTATTGCCCCTTTAACAGCATTCAAATTTCACTTCCCATAATCAATTACAACCAAAAGTTGAGAACTATAACACTGCTCTCTTGCCCTGATTAGAATAAGATCTAGGTCTCATAAGCTCAGAGTAGAGCTTGTCTATAATTCAATCGAGCCCTCATGAGTACCAAGTCATTCCAATAAGCATAGTTCAAAAGGTTCACAAGTTCATGTCATAACTAAAAAAGATTCAAACAATAACAATTCAGGCTAATAACTTCAGGATAAAAAGATAAAAGGCACCTATAATATAAATCCCACAATTTTGGAAGAGTTCAATTGCAGAGAAATTTTACAATATATATACCTTAACATTCAAACATTTTCAATCACCAATCAACCTAATATAAACACATTGCGATTATAAAAGAATGGAGGACAATAAATATATAATCAATCCATCTCAAGTCAACCAAGTTCAAGACACTAAACAAACTCAATTCACACATAATTAACCATCAAACAAAACAAAACACAAATATATAAAGGTATAATAATACTAATACATATCAAAGTATCAAACCCCAACTCACCATATGATGTCATAACCATGGAAAGCACAGGCCCTCTATGAGCTTGCCATGACAAACACTCCTTAAATCCATTCTTTCTACCATCATCCATTTTCCAACCGCATATCCTTCCATCCTTATGTCCACTCCACACCACTCTCTGTCCCTCATCCCCCACCATACACACCACCTCCGACGCCACCTCGGCCGACTCCTGAAACCTCGCAGTCATCTCATCCCCCGGCCTCGCCTCGCCGGTACACTCACAACAACCAGCTTCACACTCACAAACACAATCACCACCACCACCACCACCATCATCATCATCATGAGACAAAAAAATCTCAGAAAACTCCCAACACCTCACTCTACACTCTCCTCCACTCCATAACTGCTTATCAGTACACACAATCGTCCTCAATCCACGCCCTACTTGAGTCTCTCTCCTCGGATGCGGTCTAACCTCAACACACGGTGGACGGTCCGGTCGAACCGCCGACCTAATCGGCAACCGGAAAATCCCGGCACCACCACCGGAACCGACAAACTCCGGAAACGGAGAATTATTGCCGGCAACAACACCGCCATTGCTGGAATTGTTACTGTTAACCTTAGAGAGCTTGCGATCGAGAAATTGAATCATGTAATCGAGCTTTTTACTAGCGGTTTTGACGACACCATTGGAGGAAGTAGAATTAGGGTTTTGGTGATTGGCGGAAGAAGAAGAAGGGGAGAAATCTTCGTCGGAGGAAGAAGAAGAACCAAATCGATCGAAGATTTTGGGAGTTCGAGGGAATGAAGAAGTGGAAGGGAGTAAGTCGGTGGTATCTTCTTCTTCGAGGTGGTCATCCATGGCTGAAAATGGTGGATTGATGGAGGAAAAATGGTGGGAATGTAGGAGAGAGAAAGTTGAATTGGGGAAGAGAGAGAAAGTTTGGCTGGCTGTTAGAGGACAGCTGTGATGTATTCAGATGAGAGAAAGAGTGGAAGACGTCGTGAATTGAAATAGTAGAATAGTAAAGAGGTTAGTGCCTAATTAATGTACTTAAGAGGTGGTGGTCATTGATGAATTGAATTCAGATTTGTCACTTGGGGGTCACTTAAGGTGTTAAATGGCATCGGATCGGATTATGTCGGGTCGACGGGTGGGCGAACCAGTGATATGTACGTCTTGATATGAAAAAACCATGACACGGCACCAATACCACGTGGTAACTACGACACGACGTATTATTGTGTGTTAAAGATTGAATATATATAAGTTGAATTTGACTTGTGCATGTAAGCACAGCTTGGTGACACATTGGTTTAGATCATGCCTAAGCTGGTTTTTTGCAAAAATTCGGTACAATACGTAATGAATGGGATCAGGCGTATTAAGTTGTTGGTCGAGTCTAGATCGCGGGCCTAGCACAAGGCGACAACAAGATATAAATCGTATTATTGTATGTACATAATAGTGCATGGTATTATATTATTGTATGTATATAGTAAATGGCATTGTGAATTTGTGATGGGGCACAAATAGCACAATGGAGAAAGTGCCTCCATTGGTGCTTTTGTTTATAGGAGAATATGCATGTAGTCATGTAAGAGAGTTAAATAGCAACTTCTATTCCAAATTTTCATGCCACAATGCAAGCTTGTAGTATTGCTTTATATTTAACAATGATCCATTGATCCTAGTAAAAGTCATTCTTGATTAAAATCAACTAATAATTATTCTTCAAATTATACTTTGTATCCTATCAACATTTAAGATTTATAATTGTTTAAATCAATTAAATACATATTGTATTTTTCTTTTCCTTCCTTTTTGGATCAGATACTATAAGTGAATTTGTAATTTCTTGTTAAATACAATGTATTAGAATCATTTAGTATTATTATTGAATAGTCTATTCCCAAAACAATAGGTAATATTTTATAGATATTTTTGTACATGAAAATGACTTTTATTCATCTTCTTTTTATTACAAACAATGTCCTATTCAATTCATGGATAAGAATTTTATTTAGTTTTCCGTTAAGAATCCTATTTCGCAAGGCACGTGTCATATTCATGGATAACAAATAATATAAATACTATGTTTAATTTGTATGTAATCCGTACATTATTTTTATTATTATTTAGAAGTGAAATTACACGTGCATTTTAATTTAACTAACATGCATGTATTTTGTTAAATAAAATTCTTATAGATCATAATTAATACTTTGTACATGTCAATATGTAAGTTTGATTGCTATCAGCTTAGCTATTATACCGAATAATCTTATAAATCTGTATGATCTATGAAAGTAATAGCAGAGCAAACAATAGTTATATGTGCACTAGCTAGTCTTGTCGCCTCATCTTGGATCTTGGGCTCAACGACTGAAATCAAAGCTAGACTAAGAGAACAAATGCAATAATATAATGGACCTCATGGTGGCTTGGTGCTATCACACAAATGTACAGTGGAGCTTGATGGGGTAGTTGTACAACCCTTTGGAGGTTTTATTATTTGAAATCTTTGAAGGGATGGACAATATTATATATAGTGTATGTTTAATTTTAATTTATTTGTTAAGAAAAACTATACAAAAGATATTAAATTAATAAGCTTGAATTGAGTTGAACATAAATTGATATATACTCGATATAATAAATAAGATAAAATGAGTAAAATCCTCTATTACTAGGTTTAAATCTCCATGCACTAGTAATACAAGTAGAAATTAAAGTATCACGATGATAGGATCTTAACCATCTTGTTGGCCACTACTTCAAAATTAAATATTGTTCTTCATATGTCTTCCTTTTATTATTAAAACATACTTCTATTTTGTAAATATTTATTAACAAAACCGTTGTGCTTGTGCTTTGATTCAATTCATTAACAAACGAAGATTTAAATTTATGCATGCAATCATACTACTAATATGACAAAAAAAAATAAAAGAACAATATCGTAAATTGGTGGAATTTCTGGATTAATAATCATGAAGTATACCAAAACCAGAAGTATCCACCAATAATTATTATAGTGAAGCTGATCTATTTTCATATCGTCACATTACATGAATGTGGCAATAGTGGAATTATTGAGATATAAAATACATAAACAGGTGGTGGATAACGTTTCCTGTTTGGGCCATATACAAAGCTAATTGATGTTGATTTTTAGTTTAAAGTCAAGCCAGTTTCTTCAAATAAAGAATACGAAATTAAAAGAGTTGTTGCATATGTCACAAGTAGAACGATTTTCCTAGAAATTGTGTTGGAACAACAAGTGTGTAGTGTGTGAATTTTGTGAAAAAACTCAAAGTCCCACATTGGTGGGAAATGAGAGTTTTACTCTCTTTATAATATAGAGAGTGGGCTAAAGGGGTGTGGCCCTTGGGCTACCCACATTTTGTGGAGAGGGAGGACCTATATGGTAAACCATCTATTACACACACGCGCGCCGAACCGAGCCGGGCCAGGCCGGGTCGGGTTTATTAAATAAACTTATTTTTTGGACAAGGCTAATTGCGTGATTAGTTCCTTGATTTTTGCTAAACGTTTTTTGACTGATTAATGGAGCGTTAATCATGCAAACGTTTTCACTGATTTTTTGCTAAACGTTTTGCCACGCATTAATCTTATGTAACCGTTTTGAACGTTCAACTTATGACCGTTTTAATTGCGTGATTAGTGCCTAATTAAACAGCAGCAGTTACGTTGCAATTTTTCCTATAAAAGGCGTGTTGATTTCCTGTTTTTCCTCACAAAAACATAAAGACTAAACAATTTAATTTGATACTAATAATAATATAGGTATTTGGAACAACATACAGAAAGCAATCTTCTTCTCCTCTCTATTTTTCCTCACAAAAACAAAAACCCTCGAGCAGTTTCTTTTCTTTTTTGGTGTTTAGTTGCCCGGTGGTTTTGTGCAGTTCCACCGGTATAATTACAATAGAGGAAGGCTGTTTTATCCTGGGGAACATCCGGTTGTTGTACGAGCTGCTTGCACAAATTAAAGGGCAGTACCGTGAATGTTCTAAAGAGAGCGACATAGTCCGCGACTCAGTCTATTTCCCGGTAACTTTGTTCTGTTTTTATTGTTTACAGCAGTTCGGTTTATAACAAATTGTCTAAATCAAAATTAATTCCCACTTTGCATAGTTTTAAAAACTTATTCCCTGAATAGTGTCCATGTAGTATTTTGGTTAAGTGTAAAACCTTAATTGGTGATAGCGGTTTTACAATTACAAATGCAATCGTTGGTAGCGGTTGTGTTTGAACAAACAATATTGTTGTTGATGGTTTTTTCTGCAAGTTTTTAACCGTCCCAGGCCACTAAAATCATCTCACTATTTTACATGTAATCATTTGCAAGTTTTTAACAGCCTACCAAAAAATTGCAAAGAAATTAAAACAAAAAGAAAAAAAAACATGGGAATTGAAGTTCTTGAGGTTGAATGCTAAGATATATATCTTGAAATATTTCCCTGAATTCATACTTGTATGAAATTACCCAGAAAATCAAAACAAAATTACAATTACAAACTGGGTTTTAGAGAGAGAAAGAAGAATAGAAGAGAGAAGATCTAAGAAGAAACAAGAAGCTTTAAAAACAAGAGTGAAAGTTGAGGAAAGAGAAAATGGGAAGACAGGGGAGTGGGGAGACGTGGTACAAAGAAAATGTGTTTTCTTCTTTTATTTTTGTAGGGCCCAATTTTTAATTTTTAATATTATTGTAACTTATCATGTAAATGTAAACCGCTATCACCAATTGCGGTTCTACGTTGAACCAACAAAAAAAACTAATACCCAATCCTACATGTACACTATTCAGGGAACAAGTTTTTAAAACGATGCAAAGTAGGAATTAATTTGGATTTTAACAATTTCTTGGGAAATCGTTCGTCACAAGTATATTATAGCGTGTCAACACATACATGCTTTTAAGTATTGACGTGTATATAACGTCATCAGTTATTAATTGTAATAAATATTATCAAAAACTATACTGATATATTGACAATACTAGAGTAGTCTCGTGCGGTGCACGGTTTGAACAAATAAAATTTTCTAACTTTGTTCATGATTTCATACCAAAATTAAAAACAAAACAAAAAAAAAAAATCCTCAAACAACAATAATGGATAAATTTTTTTTAAAAAAATTAAGCTCGTAAAATTGAATGATTTTAAAGCAGTCGTTTGAAAAATAACTACCATATTATTTTAATGATATATAATATGATCGGTTTATTTTTTCACGTTATAAAATGCCCGCAATCTATTAACTAATACTAAAACAAAACATTGCTGACATTATCGACTCTTAAACTATCCTGCGTGTCACTCACACATTAAAAATTTTCCCTCCAATTCTATGTGTAATGTCATCAATTATTAATGATTTTTTTTATTTTTATATTTAATCTACACTTTTGATTTCAATGCATAAGTGTCTATATAAAATTCAATTAACCAAGTTTCTCTACTATATTATACTAAATTATACTTTCACATACCTAATTTGTTTGATTTTTGATCATGGCTTCAATTTTTTTTTTTACTTTACTTAAATGTAAATTATTTTTATATCTAATTCTTATTTTCACATACAACGTAATGCAACAAATTATAAATTACAACTTACAAGAAAGATAATTCTAACCGTGCATCGCACAGGGATATCCTAGTCATCCTTATAAAATCTACAATGTAAATATAAATTTTGAAAATTTTGATCCAACAAAAAATAATTTTTTTTTGGGAAACTATAAAATAAGAATAAAAGTTACATAAATGAAACTAAAAATTGATAAATAAAAAAATATGTTGATAATACTATTTAATACCATTAATAAAGTAATATAATTAATTACTTTGAAAAAATATGTCAATTATAAACTACATAATCATTAAAATATTATGGTAGTCATAATTCAAACAATTACTATAAAATTTTCAGGTACTTGAGGAAGAAAAAATAAATTATTATTGTTAGAGAGAATAGACTGGACCTGGAATATATAGAGAAAGAGAGAACATAAATAACTTCAAAACCTAGGGATGACACATAAAGACTAAACAATTTAATTTTTTCGAAAATTGATACTAATAATAATATAGGTGACGATAATTTTTTGAAATACAATAAAAATCATAATTGGCATCATATATAGTTCTGGAGAGAAAATTATTAATGACAACCTGACAATGTGTACAATATTAAGATTGGATGATGTCAACGGTTGTTATTTTAGGAGTATTAGTTATAGATATAAATGTTTTTATTTGATATACAAATCTAACAGGATTATTTTACATAATTATATAAGTTTGTTTTTGTGATATGTAAATCACAAAAGACCGTCAAAAGAATCGTGTGTATAGTATTAGAAATCAATATGTGTCATGAAAAAAATTAAAAAAAAACTAAGAAAGTATTTTGGTTTGTTATTTCAATTTTTTTTTTGTTGTTGTTGAAAGTTTTAGTTTGTGAATATGACTTGTATTTTATCAATTTTCATAAATAATGTGTTGTTTATGATTGATTGATTTGGACATGGAGTTGTAGATATTTTGTTAACCATGTGGACTAGCTTGTTGTCCTTCATGGCCCACTAGTGCCATGTTAGTTTTGCAATATTTATCTAACTAACCACAGTTTAATACCAACGAACATTTAAAAACATACTAGCTATATGAATACTCTGTATTTTGACAAAGATTATTGAAATTTTAATGCTAAATATCAAATTATATAAAAAAGCCGGTTATAATTTATTTAATGAATGAGAGAAATAATAAGCGTGCATGGTTGGACTCACACTAAGAGGCATTGCAAAATTGCCCCATTATCTCTTACTCCATATTATCTTCTTTACCAAATAAAAACAATTTAACTATTCTATCTTCAGCAATGTCACACACTCACACATATTGACATATATGATGGCTACACAACTCACTCAATTTCTAAAAATGGGTGCAATGTTGAACAAATGTTGGCACATGTTATATTAGTGGCTTTATCGTGATTTATGATTAACATTTTATTTACAACAATTACTCCATATATGATTAGTAATCTTTATTATAATATATGAAGCACGAGTATAAGATAACCCTTATTTTTATTAGGGCTTGCTAGGATTCTCTTAAACAATAAAGGGATAATTATTTCATTTCCTCAAGTTTGGCATTATTTTAGGGATAGTGGTGGAGGAAGAGCAAGGCAGGGAAGAGTGAGATGGAATGACTTGAGGAAAGAGAAGGTAGCTAGATAATTTTTCATTAGGGAAAAATTACCCCAGGTGGATTAGGATAAGTGGATAACTATTACTCCTCTTTTAAGGGGAGTGTAAGTGTATTGCCTTGGGGAAAAAAAAAATAATGAAATTAAGTTTTGTGAAAATATAACTTTTGTATACACGCGGTTTACAATAATTTTAATGTACATCGAGCAGTGTTTGGGTAACTTTTACCAAGTTTAGGGTAACTGTTTAGTCTTTTTAGGGTAACTTTAAAATTTATGCGGTTTTAAAATAAATAGACATCGGGATAAGTTTTATAATTGTAATATAATTACTTATTATTACCACTGTGATGTGATTTTAAGTCGTGTAATTTTATCACAATAAAACATAGGGTAACTTTTATTTATTTCAAGGGAAACTTTTAATCATTTTAGAGAAACTTTACAACAGATTTACAATATATTTATTGTACACCCGATTTTTTAAAAAGTTTATCTTTGTGAAAAGATTTTGTTACGATTACTCAATTAAAACAGTTATTAACGTAATAAAATCATGATACACGATAGAAGACCGAATCATTATTCATTAACACAACAATGTACGAAGTACGAAAGTAACAATAACAAGTTAACAAACGATTTAGATGTAGACTTATACGGAATAATGAAGATACAACAATGAAGTACATGTTGATTTCCTCGTCAAAGAAAAAAAAAAAAGTAGATGTTGATTTCATGCACTTGTCATTCTGTCAAGTGTCAACACTTATAAGACTATCACATTTTCACTCAAATTTTAAAAAAGTCCACCATTAAAATCCCTCTTAAAATGTGAGAAGTAAATGTAAAAACTACAGAAATTAGGTAGAAAAATGGCGGACTTTTAATTTCTCAATAAAAGCTCTCCAAAAAGATGATTCCTATTTAGACAGGCAAAAAGAGAGATACACCTACCCACCAATACCATTACCATTTTTGCAGAAATAATACATAGAAAAATATCACAAAATCATAAATGTAAAATAACATAACAAATAAATAATAATAAAGTATATCTGCTTTCTACTAAACCCAGGAATTCTCTTGTTAACAATCACCCAATTTGCTAAACCCGTTAATTCTCTCTCTTAAAATTTACTATTTTAATACCCCTTTTCACTGTATTCCAAAAATCCTCATTTTTTCAGCACATTCCCATTTTCAGCTTCAAAATCTGAAGAAATAAATCCAGGTTTTGGTGATTTTTACATGTTTTTTTCATATAAGAAGCATAAATTTTGCTAAATTTAATGTATTTATGGGATTTTAGAAGTTGTTATAAGCATAAAATTACATAAAATTATTTGGGTTTTTGCTGATTTTGGTTCTATGGAAATGGGGAAGAAATTGGTGCACATTTGTTTGTTGTTATTGTTGATTGAAGTTGTTTTAGTGTCTGCTGCTGGTAAAAAAGTTCAGCAAGTGAATATATGGCCAATGCCAAAATATTATAGCAATGGGAATAAGGTACTTTATCTTAGCAATGAATTTGAATTGAGTACTGTTGGGAGCAAATACAGTGATAAATCAGGGATTTTGAAAGATGGGTTTATGAGATTTATGGATGTTGTTACCTTGGATCATGTCATTGAGGCCAATTTTTCGCGGTTCGGCCAATCGGCTTTCCTTATAGGGATCAACGTGGTAATTCAATCACCAAATGATGAGGTATGAGTTAGTTTGTTTTAGCTTATGTATTGAGGAACATTTGGATATGCATTGCTTATTGCTTTACCAGGGTATATGTCTTGTAATTGAGGCTATTGGATGGTTTTTATACTATATATATATTGTTTAGGTTCTACTTTGTGACAGTTTTATGTGAAAAAATGAATGTATGCTACTACTTGTGCAAGAATTGGTAGATGTTTGTGCTATTTGGGCAGATATATTGATTTAGTTGAACTTGACAATGCTAATCTTAGTATTGTTTAACTTGTAAAGGGGGCATGACCGCATGATAGAATCCTTGCTACCATTGAAGAGAGATTTCCACTCGATATGGGCGTTTTTCATGCTACTGTGTTAATTGGCTGGGATAACTGAGTTCATTGTTCTGTTATGAAATGTCCTAAAAGGTTGAAAACATTCTTCTTACATCTTAGATGACTTTCTGAGTGTTTTTAACATATAAATCAGTAACATATATGTTGTGTATTTAGGAGGTAAATTGTGAAAGTAAAACTATTCGTCGGGATTTGTGTGAGGTTGGGATGCTATTGGTAAGCTTGGTGTATGTAAAAAAGTTTGTCATAAAAACCTGTTTTAGTTTTGCAGTTGCACTCTGAGGTTGATGAATCATACAACTTAGCTGTTCCTGCTGCTGGGAAACCTGCTTATGCTCGCATTGAGGTGAGACAAATTAAGGCTAACATTATCCCATTCCATCAGCAAAACGTTCCATCTTTGTATTCAGTTACTCTAATAATGTTTTCTGCATCACGGAACTGCATTCCTCTCTTAAAATAAGCAACTTTGCTATAATCTTATGTAACCAGCATCTAAACACCTTCTAATAATTTGTCAAATAATACCTCTGTGAACTATCTGATGATTAATTTTCCTTTGTATGCAGGCAAACTCAGTATATGGGGCTTTACATGGACTACAGGTTATTTGCTTCTTTTTTACATTCATTAAAGCTGATAACTTGTAAAAGTGTATGAGCTAACCACTTCCGACCGTCTATTTTTGTGTCAAATGCAGACATTCAGCCAGCTTTGTGCCTATAGCTTCAAAACTAGGCTAATAGAAGTTGGTATGGTTCCATGGACAATTTTTGATCAACCAAGATTCTCTTATAGGGGATTGCTTATAGGTGAGTTGGTTTAATGGTGGTTTTATTTTAGTCATTCCTTGGACCTGCTAATTGTCAAGGAGCTTGAAAATGACCTACTCCATGATGTGTTAAGTTTCAGGGTTTATTTGTCCATTGTTCACATACTTGCTCAGCTTAATCAGGTTGAAATGTGTGGTTCTGCTCTAATGTCGGTGATGTGCATGCAGATACATCACGACATTATCTACCTTTGCGTGTGATAAAGAAAGTCATCGATTCCATGACATATGCAAAGCTGGTAAGGACTGTGTTCCTGAATTGTAGGTTTGTTGCTCATAGTGCTTCTATCTTCCAAGTTTTAGAGTAATTACTTTGGCACCAAATTTGTTAGTATTGATCATATAATTTTTGCAGTTGATAGTAATCAGATTATTGCTTTTTTAGTTTATTAAAGATGCTATCTTTTATAACCCTGGTGAGAATATATTTAAGGAGACTCTTATTTGTCAGCTTTGCTTGGGATTATCTTTATGTGCTGCAGTGCTCATTTAAATATGGGAAGGATGTATAGCTATTTATAGAATGTAATCAATGTATAGCTTTAGCATTGTTTGAATGAGGAATAAGATTATTACTCGTCTCTTGTGCATAATTTTTGTCAAGCTGCTCCATGCAAAAGCTGAATGTCATTGTCTATAGAACATTTTTACTTGGTGGCAATGTTATATCTCTTTGAGCATGGTACAGTTTATGGCCTTTATAACATGTTTCTCAATGCAGAATGTGCTGCATTGGCACATTGTAGATTCACAATCTTTTCCACTAGAGATTCCTTCATATCCTAAGCTTTGGGATGGTGCATATTCTGCAGCAGAACGATATACAATGGCTGATGCTGCCGAAATTGTGAGGCAAGTAATGGTTTGTGGCCTTAAATTATTATGTCTGTCTTACTAGGATCTTCTGATAATGCGATTCTTGAACATAACAGATATGCTCAAAGGCGGGGAGTGAATGTACTTGCTGAAATTGATGTTCCCGGACATGCTGCTTCATGGTAAAGTCTATAACTCTTTAATATTTCATTTTACTTCAAGAGATTGAAAATCAGGAAGGCTTGGATTCTAGAAGCCTTCAGAATGCTCCTAATTTTTGTGTTATGCGTGTATAATAAGCCATTTGTGTAACTTTAGGAAGCCCTTCATTGTCTATAAACTAAAAAAAAAAAAGCCTCACTTAAGGGTTCAAAATGCCGGCTTGTGTTGGAAAATTAGAATTTAAGTAACAACTTCTCTGGTCTGATACATTCTGAAATAGTTGCACAGTTGCACCTGTAGTTTGTGTGCTGGCTCTGTTTGTAGTCTACAGAGTTCACAACATTTGCATTACCATTGATAAGGAAGCTCAATGTCCTATAACACTGTAATGCTAGTCTTCTAAGAAACCAAAAAGATCTTGTGTTTTGTCTCGTGTTTGTATTATCATGTCATGTTGATTTAAAGGAAAATATGTGTATATGTCCAAATGTTACCTGCCAAAGAGCTTTCCTATGTGGGGTGCATAGTTTTTTTGGGGAATCTGATCACGCCATTGATGATGCTTACCACACGTGCTTAGGGGGAATGGTTATCCTTTGCTGTGGCCATCAGCAGACTGTAAGGAGCCCCTTGATGTGAGCAACGAATTCACCTTCAAAGTTATAGATGGGATTCTTAAAGGTAATGCAATGGCCCATTATTTTACCTGTGGCTTATGATGGCTTCTATGCATCAACTCAAACATCGCCTGTATTGTGACAGATTTTAGCAAGGTCTTTAAATATAAGTTTGTTCATTTAGGAGGCGATGAAGTTGATACAGGTTAGTTGACTTGTTTGAAACTTTGAATATACTCCATAATTTCCATATATATTGTTCTTTTTATCCAGTAATCTCATGAAACAGTCTGACACTTTTAGTGCAAAATAATTGTACATTGCTCTCATTTCTACCGTTTTGGAGTCTTTGAATGTTCAATCTTTAGCTCTACTGTTACTGTTGTATGTTCAATAGATACTTTCATGTCTCAGGTTGCTGGGAGTCAACTCGTCATGTGAGTGGATGGTAAGGCTTTTAACTTTTTCTAACAATAAGTTATGACTGTCCATTCTATTAGTGCATTTGTTTTGTTAACTGAGTTCTCTTTCCCACCTATTATTGAACATTGTGATGACTTCTGCAGGTTACGGACTCATAGAATGGTTGGCCCTCAAGCTTACCAATACTTTGTATTGCGAGCGCAGAAAATTGCATTATCCCATGGATATGAGATTATTAACTGGTAATATATTGCCTATTTAGATACTGTATAATCCCATTTAATTCATCAGTTCATCTCTCAAAGTAGCTTACTCTTTTAAGCATTTAAAACTTAAACAGGGAGGAAACCTTTAATAATTTTGGTGATAAACTGGACCGAAAGACGGTAATCCATAATTGGTATGTTCTTAAGACCTTGCAATAAGCATCTTGTCATCTCAAAATATAATAGTTTTTCCTCAAACAAATATTTTTTTGCACCTTGTTTTTTATGCTCTTGGAGATTTATAAACACTCTCTCTCCAATGTTTTGCTCGATGTGATAGGCTAGGGGGAGGTGTTGCTGAGAAGGTGACTGCAGCTGGGTTAAGGTGCATCGTAAGCAACCAGGAAAATTGGTATTTGGATCATTTAGACACCACATGGCAGCAGTTCTATATGAATGAACCTCTAACCAATATCACAAATCCCAAGCAACAAAAATTAGTCATTGGAGGTGAAGTTTGCATGTGGGGTGAGCACATTGATGCATCTGACATTGAACAAACCATATGGCCTCGTGCTGCTGCAGCTGCAGGTAATTGTAATTGATATACTAGTGTTTCATGATAGGATTCAATATTCTGATACATTACCTTTGGCTTTTAAACAAAACTGTAACCAACATACAGCTTTACACTCGCTGCACCATGTTGTGCCTTCAGCTTACACAGCCTTCATACTTATCACCTAAAAACCCTTATCTGAACTTATTTTTGCTGTAAGTTGAGCTTCGGAAGCTTTAAACCTTATTTGTCATTAAACCTTTTTTAAGGTGAAAAGAACAAAGCCAAAGTTACTTGATACCCAATTGTAAACTATGGATTATATGACAATATCATGTATTTGGAAAATTGCCTGGCGAAAATATCCATGTGGGCTATGGAATATGGATGCAAATTTGAAACATTCAGGAGGAAAATAAAAAAACAGTAAAGAAATAATATTTACCAGATACTGTATTATGTATGAATTTCTTGATTGGTCTTTCATTCTTTTTCTTTTGTTCATTTATTTTCTCTGCCTGTAGAGCGGTTATGGACGTCATATGACAAGCTAGCTAGGGATCCAAGACAAGTAGCTAGGAGGCTAGCACACTTCAGGTGTCTGCTCAATCAAAGAGGAATTGCAGCTGCTCCAGGTGATGGCCTTGGCAGGATTGCTCCTGGTGGACCAGGTTCATGCTATGCTCAATGAGGAAACTAAGAACACATTGTCGTCATCAAGTATTGTGACTATAATAAATCAATAGAGATTTCGTGTGCATAATTCTCCATCAGAATATACATATTTCTATTTACCAGAAACTAGATATCATGACTTATCTTAGTCTTGTTCCTAGCACTGGCAATATCCAATTACTAATTATGTAACTGCTACAGCACTACATTCAGATTTATATTAGAACCATGATATTCTCAATTTTGTGCCAAAATACTTCATTGTGAATCTTACTATCAGAAGCCAAGATTTGTTTGTTGAATTATGGTGGTGAGAGGTTTGAAAACAGGAAGTTCTTATCAACACCATAACCACCACCACTAGTCAGCGAAACAAGGGCTGCCACAAGCCCAGCGTTACCGGCTAATGTGGGTCCTGCAGATCCACGATTTCTACGATCATCATGGAACTGATCAAATTGATCAGGTCCTCCAACCATGGCGCCTAAAATTGTATTAGGATTGGGTTTTGTGCTGTCCCACCACTTGTATCCACCCTTGCATGAGTACTTTAAACCATCAGATGGGATTGAAGCTGCTCGATGATGTACATGATTTGGGTACTTCTCACCGTATCCCACCACATAGCTTAGCCTTAGGGGGTTTTTGCCCAAAATGTAGTCTATCTGTGTCAACATAAAAACAATAGTTAGTTAGTCTACTGAGCAAGGGCGGTCCAAGTTCACTGCATCATCTGTGGTCTTGGTCAATTACAAAGTATCAGGTAAGATATAGTTCGCGTGCCAATTTATAAAAGATGGATTGTGTTACAAACAACATTGTGGTCTGATAATAGTTCATAGAGCAGCAGAAATGGGTAGTAAGGATACAGGGAAGTAAACCTGAGATGAAGCAAAATCACGGAGAGTCGCTAAAGTGAAGAATTTAGAGCCGCAAAACCATCCAGGACTCTCACTAGCATTCAAGTAATCAGCAAATAGATTTGCTAAAAAAGCAGCATTTGCTACATACTGTAAAGATTGTGGCTCTCCATCATTCAGCTGTATCAATCCTCCTGCATTCCCAAATCAGATCGTAAGAGCAAAATTCTTCGAGGGAAAAACACATTGCAAAATACAGATGTTTCGGCCTGGTTCTTTTCACCTTAAACATATAATTTTCAGGTAAGTCATTTCACAACTAAAATAAGTCATATCCCGGCTAATAAGCTAAGACGAGTTAACACATGGGGGTTTTCAGTTGAAAAGAACGAAAATTCCATACCTTTACTCCATTTGAAGAGATGGAAGGGTTTGAGATAAGAACACATGGACAGAGAAATAAGCTTATCATGCTCTCTCAACATTGATTCATATGGGTAGAATGGAGCTTGGAATTTCTTCAATCTTGTCAACAACATCAAAGATGAAGGAACCTTGTTATCCCAACTCAAGACACCGGCTTTCTTGCTCCATTTCGTAGACATAGCATTTCTATTTAATACAGGATTCGTAGCTAACGAAAGATAGCTAAGTTTTCCAGTAGCAAAATACAGCCATGTTGTACTCCACAAGTACTCGTCGAAGTAGCCTGTTGAGTTGTAGTATGGCTCGATCCAAGGGTTTCCACGGCTGTAAGGCCGTCTTTTTTGAGGGTCCCTAGCAAAGGCAAAGAGAACTTCAGCACCCTTAACGAGCTTCTTTGAATAAGCAGGGGTGTCCTTGAATACTATAGAGGCTGCAGCCAAGGCTGCTGCCATTTCCCCTGCTAGCTCTGGCCCGGCGTATGCTGTTTGTACTGGCCTCGGGTAATCCATGTCCTCTGGCCTTTCCCAACAGCTAATATCATCAGGCACATTCGAATTTTCGTAGGCACCACCAACCTTATTCAATCAAAATCATGTTAGTTTGAAGTTCATACTTGCATAAATTATATTTGCTTTCATATAGGCAAGAAAATAAGTCCTAATTAAGGGAAATTTTAGTAAGAAAAAATCTACCTGACTGTAGATTTTGCTAATCTTTGTGGCATTTGAGTCGAATGTCAAGAGCAAGTAATCTGTTCCCCATTTGATGAGTTCGCGTACATGATTATACTCGTTAATGGCGCGATACTTGTGAGGGTACTCAATCAAGCTCCAACTTAGCATTGTCATGGAATAGGCCAAGGGAAAATGAAATTTGGTATTTTCACCAGAGTCATAGTATCCACCTACTAATCCTCCCTTCACATCTTTAAGTTGAGATCCATCATGTAGCCCTGAGTTTCCTCTCCACGGAATTCCGTTGTTCTTGGGTAGTTTCCCGGCTGCAACGACGTGATCATGAGAGTTAGATTTGATTAACGATCGTGCTTTACTCCTATATGTCTAAGCAAGCATTGTTAAATGATAATGAACACCACTACTTTGCTGAACACTAGTATTTTTTGTGGCGCTTTGACGCCTTTATAACATGTAAATTCTTCGAAAACTATTATCGAACACGCCCATAATAAAAATAAACTATGATATAGGAAAGGTAGACTTACATTTTTGGGCATTGAAGAACTGAAGTGCTTTATGAAGAGCAACAGTGTAATTATCAAAGGTTTTCCTAGGCAAGGTTTGGGCTGACTTGGTGGGTTCGGGCCTTGTCGGGTCAATCCAATTAGCAATAATCATGAACCAAATGGCCCATTTAAAGGCCTTAAAACCCATTAAACCCGGCCCAATTTCACCTTCTTCCACTTCCTATGAACTCTTATAATGAGAATTGATGAAGATAGATGAGATTAACAGGTTCTCTCAAATGGTGTGATTATACTTTGGTTTAGTGTGAGATTGAATAAATGAATATTGACTAGTTTTTATTTTATATGACTTGACTTTACACTAAAATTTTGTAGTTGAATTATTTTAATAAGAGTGGTTGTTCATGTGTAAAGTAAATCTTCAGATTTAGTAGCATATGGGTTGGACAAATTGGGATTGATAATAGTTATCCAACCTGTTGCATGTTACTATGTTTGATTGCTTGATATCTTTAAGAATCTTCCAACTTGGCAAGCTTTAAGTAACAACTTTGAAGAGAATTCCCATTCAATTTATTGTAAATCTCCCCAACATCTCTGTTGGAAGACAAATCGAGTAATTTATTTATTTTCAGACTATGTTCATCACTCGATCTGATTTGAATTTTTTTTTTTTTTTTTAATTTTTAAATTTTGGGTCAAGTACTTATTTTCTAAATATATAAGGATAACTAAACATTATAAATAAATAATAATATATGGGTTGGTCTAGTCTAATGTAATCATTTATGAAATAAGCAAATATCTTATTACATAAGTTGAAATAAACATAGCCTTAGGCTATGTGGATAGTTAGTATGACTTCGATTCAAGTTTAACTTGGAAAACTTTAGCCCAGTTTATACATACAAAATCGGTGTGCAAAATATTCAACTACAAAACATGAGACTTTTTCACGATAAACAAAGAATTAACCCTCTCTAGTCTCTAGGTATATGGACAAAGGGAAAATCCCTTTCTAGAATGTAAAACCCCTACCTCAAAAATCAATTACAAAATGAGATGAATCATATTGGCGACCTCTTCAATTTACACAATCTTTTTCTTTCAATGCTCTTAGGGCCTCCATGGTGCTGGTGGTGGTGGGGACGGGGTATAAAGCGGGGGGACACCAGAAAATATAAGGTTTCTGTCTACTCCGGTTACCCCACCGGTTGTAGTCAATGATATCAGAGCCGCCACAAGACCGGCATTACCGGCCAACGTGGGCTCGGTGTAACGGTCTAGTTGGCGGCTATCTTTGAACTTGTCGAACCGATCTGGCCCACCAACCATTGCCCCATCAATTATGTTTGGGTTGGGCCTTTTGCTGTCCCTCCACTTGAACCCTTCTTTACAAGTGTATTTCACCCTATTTTTGTATGGTATTGACGCGGCCCGATGATGTACGTGCTTTGGGTACTTGTTTCCAAAGCCCACCACATAACTCATGTGCAATGGGTTCTTGCCCAAAATGTACTCAACCTGTTACAACCAGAAAATGGTTGTTACAATGAAAAATACTTTACATTATAAAAACAGCGCAAATTAGATCATAGACACATAGCTGTTACAATGAAAAGTACTTTATATTATAAAAACGGCGCAAATTAGATCATGGACACATAGCAAATAAAAGAGTTAGACGTAGTAGTTACCTGAGTTTGAGCAAAGTTACGAAGATCAGATTGACGAAGAAAATAAGGGCCACAATACCATCCAGGAACCCCAGTAGAGTCCATGTAATCTGCAAAGAGATTTGCCAAAAATGCTGTATTCGCTACGTATTGCAATGGCTTTGGCCCTCCGCTGTTCAGCTCTATCAATCCTCCTGCAAAATTTATTCCAACACTACATTAACAACCAAACGAGGCTATTTGGCTAACTGTTAATCGTGTATAAAAAATAGTGTAAAATGGCAACTTTAAGGCCCTGTTCACTTCACCTTAAAATAATAATATTCAGTAAAAATAATTTCAGTTCAGTAAAAATTCAATTAAGTAAAAATAATTTCAGTTTAGTAAAATTAATTTCAGTGCGGTAAAAATAATTTAAGTTCAGCAAAAATAAGGTGAAGTGAACGGGGCCTAAATCTTATAAATGCTAACCCATTTTCTGGACTCTTTCTACAGTCATTGTGCTAGCTTCTGATCGCGATTAGCAAAACAAATCATATAATCAAACGACTAATTTTATCAAATAAATGAGCATTTCTAAGAAATTCTGTAACGTTTATCTTCTAACAAATAGTACAGCAGTTAAAACATACAGAGTACCTGACAAGCAAACATATAGAATGTAGGGAGCAGTGTACATACCTCGAGTCCGGTTGTAAACCTGGAATTGCTTAATATATGAGCACATATTAAGCTGTGTAACATTATGGTACTGCATCAAAGTCTGCTCATACGGAAACCCGGGATTTAAAAACATCCGAAACCTTGTCAACAACAACATTGCTGCAGGCAACTTGTTGTCCCAACTCAAGTAACTTGAGTTCGTGTTCATCATAAGCGCCTTTGCGTTTTTAGCAATCCCGGCATTAGTGGCCAAGGAAGCATAGCTATTGTTTCCGGTAGCATAATACAACCAAGTAGCACCCCACATGTACTCATCATAGTACCCTGTTGAATTATAGTACGGTGCAGCCCATTGGTTGTCTCTGCTATAAGGTGCTCTTTTGCCACCATCTCTAGCAAACCGAAACACAGTTTTTGCGCCTTTGATTAGCTTCTTCGAGTATGCATTGTTGTCACGAAAGACAATAGAGGCTGCTGCTAAGGCTGCGGCCATTTCTCCACCTAGATCCGCCCCTGCATAGCATGTTTGCACAGGGCGTTCATAGTCCATGTCCTCTGGCCTCTCCCAACATGTCACGTCGCTAGGGACTTTGGATCCGTTTTGTGCACCACCAACTTGGCTGTAGATTTTGTCGATTTGTGTGGCGCTGCTGTTGAAGGTCTTGAGCAAGTAATCAGTACCCCATTTGATGAGGTCGCGAACATGATCATACTCGTTGATGGCTTGGTATTTGTGTGGATATTCGATCACACTCCAACTTAGCATTGTCATTGCAAATGCCATAGGAAAATGGTACTTTGTGTTTTCTCCTGAATCATAATATCCTCCTACTAATCCACCTTTAACATCGGTTAATTTTGATCCATCTTTTAATCCTGAATCTCCTCTCCATTTTATCCCATTATGCTTAGGCAATTTTCCAGCTGCAAAATCAATTACATACATAAATCAAATCATCTAAATTCCAAGAGAAAAAAGGATAACATGTATACAACAGTTACGAATCCAAAAAAATTATAAGGATGCACATAATCGCCTTATGGACAAATTAAGTTTGCTTGAAGTCTGTACAAAGTTCTCCGTACATATCAAATTAAATCATACCATCACACTCAATACAGTGGCGGATCCTGAAAAAGCCATGTAATGGGATTAAAAGGCATTTGATAAATTTTAATGGCGTCAAGTGGGTAATTTTACAGCAAAAAAAAAAAAATTAATTTTATAATAAAAATTTTTTTTTTATAGGATTTTTTTTTCATGTTCAAGTATTATCGAGCGTGACGAAAAACGATAGGGTTCTAGGATTTCGCACATTGTATGGTAAGAAAATAAATTTCTTTTCAAATACGTACATATAGATGTATTACATAGTCCCAAAATATGAATACTATTAAATAAATTAGATGACAACGTATTAGAAATACACATCAAGAAGCTCCTAATGTTTTTTCTTGTTAACAAAATATTTTTAAAAAAAATCAAAATGGACGGCAGAAACATATTTTTTAACAAAATATTTTGTTAATGGTTGACTTTGCATGTATGAGGCAACATCTTCGTGACTATTAAAAATGTACATATTTCATACCTAATTGATTATTAAATTAGATTGCAAAATGGGTGACATTATTGGTTATTTTCAACTGAAGAAAAATGGTTTTTCTATTTGAGGGTTTGATAGACGAAAAAGATGTAATCGTTTCAATTATTTAATTTTTTTTTTTAGTTCTTAAACTCACCAAATCATGACATTATTATAGAACATTCCTAAGCTAGTTTGTTTTATAGTCAAATCTTCGCGTGGAAGAATAACACCTACCCTACAAAAAGTACACTCAAAATTGATACGAGTAACACCTATGATATCTCTTATTACCCCCGTTTTTATTTAGTTGACACGTTTTGACTTTAACACAGTATTTATACACTCCTCTTTCACCGTATTTTATGTTTTATACGTAATGAAAAATATAGTCATATGAGATCTTTTTAGATTTGTCACAATATATATTTTTAAAATTTCAACTTTTTATAATTTTTGCTTATCAGTAATTAAAAATATTAATGGTTGAATTTGTACATTGACAAACGTGACTAAAAAATGTGTCAACTAAAAAGAAACGAAGGAAGTATTTAATTGCTTTTTTTAATGCATTGTAAATTTGTAATTAATTGTTGGTTTTTCTTATTATATTAAAAAATAGAAAATTTAAGGTGATATCATGATCATGCATTTTTAATTTGTTAAACTTTTATTATCCCTCCAATTTCTTTAATTAAAATCGTTTATAGTTAAGCGCAAATTTTTGAAATGTGTTACTCTGTTCTTTTTTTTTTTTGTTTTTTATTTTGCAATTTTGATATAAACCTATGCATTCTAGTCATAATATAAATTTCAAAAATGAATAATTTTTAGTCACTCGGCCTACCGTCAAATATAAAAACACACTTCATACTAGATTATAATAATTCATAAACAACTCACATATAGACACAGATTGTTGCTAAAACGATTTTAGATACCCAAAATCATACACTCTTTGTAACTAAAGATGGACAAAAAACAATACTGAGTAATAAATTAATTAATAATCTATTGCAAAAAAATTTCCTTGACTAATCTCTAAACTAGTTGTAAGGGACCCACACGGAGTTCAAATTCTAATTTGCCAATAGATATACGCAAACAAATCAAACGCACGAGATTTATGTCAAAAAGTTGCATAACATCCTTTTGCACGACATAAAAGAAAGAAAACCCCGTTTTTTGAACTCCTTGTATTATGGCATGTTCATGGATTATCGATAATGGTCTAATGGACCACTAATTATGTATTACACGCCTATTTTATTTATTTTATGTAATAAACTATTACAAAGTGTGTAATGGTTATTTTATCAAGAAAATTAGCTCGCTTTTTTTCACCTAAAAAGATTCACCACTTGAAATTATCAAGATAAATTTATTGGTTTTTCACTTACCTTTTGGTTTTTGACTTAGTTGGATAAAATAAAACTCATCAGACAGTCTTTTATAAGAATTTTGCACTACGAGTAATATTCCTCTTGAATTACAATATTTTTTAAACGGAGAAATTATTATAAGGCAAAAGCTAATGAGCGTCCCGGGGACGTGAGATAAGAGAACTAAAAGTGACAATATTAAATTAAAATTAACATTAAATACATCGATTGACGCGTAATTTTGTCATTCATTCCTAACTTAATACTATTTTAAGTAATATATTACTCCCTCCGTCCCCGAAATTTCGAACCTTTTGGGTTGATTTCGCGGGTATTAAGAAGTTAAATTGGAAGTGTAAGAGTGTATAGGGAAACTAAGAAAAGTACATTGAAAAGGGAAATTTACATTGGAATTGCAAAAAAGTAGAGAGAGAAAGTAATAAAAGTATATAGAAAAAACAAAATTTGCATGGGGAAGCTAATTTTGCACAAATATTATTGCAAATTAAAGGATATTAAAATGTAAATGGGATGAACATTTTGGGACTAAAATTAGACCATAATGGTCAAAGTTTCGGGGACGGAGGGAGTAGTTACTTATCTAACGCTTGTTAGCAATATCCTTATTATAATTAACCAAAACATCACCTTCACCTTTTAGGTCAATTTAATAAAAATACATTCCCCTAAAAATAAATAGTTCTTATAAAAATTAATGTTGAGTATTTAAAATGAGTGATTTCCCAAGATTAACATTGACTTTGGATAAACTTTTTAAATTTTCGATGACTTTTAGAGTAGCTGAGGCTTTTCATACAATCTTCTTTTTCAGGAAATTTTCTTAGAGCCAGTGTATTCATTCTTCAGTCCTAGTTATCCTAACGTTAACATTCATTGAATCAAAAAACAAATCAAAACAATTTTCTTTAAAAAAAAATCTACATATTCCATAAAAACCACTAGGACTAAAAAATATATATATGTCATTAATTACCCATTAATAACTCTAAACTACAAAGATTATTTCACGTTAAATATAATCACACATTCATACGAGATCGAACATGAACGAATTACATTAAAATCATTTACGCGTACTTTTTAAAAAAGACAAGTAGAAGAGGAAAGAACTTACATTTCTGGGCATTGAAGAAGAGGAGAGCCTTATGAAGGGCAATAGTGTAATTATCAGCAGGAGGCGGTCCACGTTTATGTTTAGGCAAAGATTTGGCAATAATAATAGGCATGGCAATAACAATAAAAGCAACAACAAATGACCAAAATGCCCATTTAAGAACTTTCTTGCTAACAATAATGCACCCCAAATCAACATACTTATTCTTCCTATTCTTGCGACTTTGATCTTGTGGTGCTAATAGCCAACTTTGTTGTACTTGATCTAATTCATGACTATTATTATTACCATTAATATGTTCTTGGTATAATAAACTTGCTCTATCCCAATCTTCCATTTCTCTACTTTTGAATTGATCTTCCCCATTTTTATGATCAATTCTTTGCACCTCATATGTCCCTCCCCACATATTTGAACTATGCATTTTTTTTGAGTTTCAGAAAAAATTAATGTAGACAAGATTTGATCGATAGATATATATATATATATATATAACTGGTATCAGACACCACCCACAAAACGTTAACCAACTTGAATATAACGACGATGGTTAATCTTTAAGGCATGGATTGGAAAATAGATTGGAGAGGATAAGGGGTGTATTGGAAAATGTTGAGAGGATGAAGAGAATTGAAGCAAAAAAATGTTGGGGTGTTTATATAGTACGAGAAAAATTGTTTAGGAAAGGAGGGATTTTATATTAGGGTGTAACGCGTAGGTTACAACTGGAGTAGAGAGAGAAGTAAAATGAGGAGTGAGAAAGTGTGAGAATTTATGTGTGGAAAGTTTAGGAATGAATGTATGTGTCATGTTCATACGGAGTATCCTTTTTTTTTTTTTTTTTTTTTTTGGGAGAAGAAATGGGTTGAAGTTTCTAGGGAGATAGTGACAATTGGAGAGAAGTGTTGGAGTGTTTTAATTAAGAGTTAGGTGTTTTGAGGTAATCATGATTAATGAGGTTATTAGAGATTATGTTTGTTATGTTTAGTCAAATTTACTTCGTTCCTAGGAATTCGATTTTTTTTAGTGAAGTTTAGATTTCATAGGTTTTTTTTTTTGTATGTGTTTTCAAAATAATTTTTATTTCTAGTGACACGTATATAATATATTCTTTGAAAAATTGAACTTTTTCCATCTAAAAAAAGTGTCTATAATTAAATTATGATGTCATAAGTATGGTCACACACCATTAAATCAATAATAACGGCCTAACAATATTTGATTTGATGAACATGTGCCAAGTAAAAGAATGATAAAATTGTCTAACATCCTCCCAAATATTATGTTTTGGCGGCCTTGTCATATGACAAAAACCGTTGTACACTACTTAGATTTTTTTTTTTTTTTTGGTTCATATGAGCCACTAGGGCGGGGATGAGAATCGATCCCAGAATCACCTGAAACCGGGAGAAAAACTCTTACCAACTGAGCTATCCCTCACTCTCTACACTACTTAGACTATAAGTCATTATAGAGATAGGAAACTTGTTAAGGTAGGGTGTAAGTCCCAAATCAATCTAATGTAGTCGGGCTATTATCCCAAATCGCTAACTTATTAAACCTTATTTATACTCCGTTCTTGACAAACTAGTAAATAACACGACTAGACAATAGACAATTCATTTTTGGGGAGTATATTGCCAAAGTAGGATATAAATCATATATTGACATGATGTAAGCACCAGCTGTGGCTTGGCTGGAATTTATACATGCATGTAGGATTTGGCCTAAAGTTTTGCTAATCTTTTTATACGGGCGACGGCCATAATATAACCACATTTAATTTCTTTGGCATAGAAACTTCCTTAGGAGGCTGCGCATTTTTAAAATACTTAATTTAAATGCCATGCAAATATTTGTTATTAGTATTCTTATTTAAAGTCTTGACCAATGATAATGATTGGCTAGCAATTTCTCATTTTCTTGGTGAAACAGTGTTATGTCACGAGACGAAAATAAAATGTCACCTTATATTTTAATAAAAGTCATTTCAATCTACTAGTTATTACACCCTACAAATTTCATTGAACGATTGTCATACAATAGTTTCATGGTCAAAATAGTTACGATTTGATGAAGGGTATTTAATAATAAAAAATAATAAGATGGTTGAAATTTTAATAAAGCCGAATAAGTAAACAATAAAGCAAACTTTATTTACTAAGGTTAACAGTTGGTGAATGATCTAGAGATCTTAATTATAGTAATACTAAACACATGGACATGATATAAACATGTACTAATGCATGTGGGTCTTCATAAAATGTTCCCTGCAGTATAATGTTTTATGCATAAATTAATGGATGGTCAAAGGTCGTCTCTTGTTATATTCATGCTAATATATATGCAATCCAATCATACATTATTTTGGTATAAGTTCATAGGAAACATGTAGATCAAGCAGAGGTACAAAACAATTGCGTACTTTGTAATTATGAAGAATCTAATAATAAGACATAAAAACGAAATCTTTAACATTAATCAAACATAAATACTAGAAATTGATTGAAGGGTATTTTGTCAAGAATTTATGATTAATATTATTGAGGTCCTTGAGAAAGTATGATCAATGTTTAAAGTAGATTCATGCTCTTCTTATGTATTTAACGCCTCCATATCGATCCTAGTGATTCACTATACACTTCAGTAACTTGATCTTTTCTCTGTACTAATTCATGGTTTACCGTTGATCATATACACAATTATAGGTAAATGCTAGCCGCCCAACCAATAATGGAATATAAGTTATAAGGTTTGTTTTCTATTTGTTTTAAATTATACATTTACAGAGTATGTATATATTATTAATTATTATAATTAATTAACAACGTCAATAGCTGTTAGTAACAGATATTAGCAATAAACCAAGGAATGGCTTACTGAATACAAGTTTATTATATAGAAAGATATAGAGTTGACAATATTAATTTAATTAAGGTGTAATAATATAATGTAGCATATTTGTGTATATTAGAATCAAATAATCAGTTTATAATGTTATACTAATACGTGTTAGTGGTGCTAGATCTGTAATTTTAATTGATAGATTTCAAATTGGGTATATAATTATATGGGTTTGAGCATTTGACTGTTGAGGGAATATCGGAAATAACTAAAAACCACTAAATCAATAAAAATATTACGATCCAAGGTGGACATTTGATGACTTAAATCGGCTAAATTGACATTTCCATCAATTTAGATGACCTTCTAAGGTCTTGTGGAGTTCTTGGGAAGCACCTTGACCCCTTTTAATTAGTTATTGGGTTTGAAAAAGTTTTAAATTCTCCAAAAGTGAAGGGTTGAAGGCCAATACCCGGTATCGAATACTCAAGTGATGGTGGAGGATGCATCTTTGAACATAAAATGTTGTTAAGACTTCCAAAATTCTTCAAAAATGAAGGATAATACACACTTTTAGAACAATTTTAAGTTTTTTTTTTTTCCCAAAATTGAATTGAATTTTTAAGTGGTCTCTCAAGATATCAACTCATAAATACATAATGACATACAAGTACAATAATAATCAAAATTATACATTGATATATGTGCCAAACTGCCAATCAAAATATTACGTTTTATCGAAATATGAAACAGAGGGAGTATTCCCTACCTATTATTTCCACATTCCACATTCCCGTACAAATTCTAAATATAGAGTCCATACTCCATAGCCCATTCTTTCTAAAGTTGCTACATTCACTATCCACTTACATTCCAAGCCCAATTACCGACACAATCCACCCGTTTATCAAAATTCAAGTATTTTTCCTTCCAAAAAAAAAAAAAAAAAAAAACTCTTTGAAATGAAGCAATCAAAAATGGAGTTCACTCTCTAATCTCAGATCACCCGTTGAAATTCTCTCTCCTCTTCTTCCCAATTTCACATCCAAATCCCTAATTTCCCACATTGTAACTCCAATTTAGGTTTTAAATGTCTTCATAATTTCCCCAATTTAGGGATTTTCTCTCTCCTCACATCCATCACTCTGTAAAAACTCCCGGCAAAATCATGAGAGTCTCGTCGGAAAATCAATCGGCGGCAATGGCGGCGGGAACAGGGTTTCGTGAAGCTGAATCACTGTTTCGGGCGAAACCCGTTTCTGAGATTCGAAACGTGGAGTTGAATACCCGGAAACAGATCGAAGACAAGAAGGAAGAACTTCGTCAGCTGATTGGGAATCGTTACAGAGATCTGATTGATTCGGCTGATTCAATTTTGTTGATGAAATCGTCTTGTGAGTCAATTTCTTCTAATATTCAATCGATCTCTGATTCAATTTTTTCGCTTTCTTCTGCCGTGAGTCCTAAGTTTTCGGCTAACCCTAACCCTAATCGAACTAAAATCTATGGCATTGCTAGTAGGGTTAAGTATTTGGTTGATACCCCAGAAAATATTTGGGGGTGTTTGGATGAATTTATGTTTTTGGAGGCTAGTGCTAGGTATATTAGAGCTAAATTGGTTTATCAAGGGTTGAATTTGGTGGGGCATGATGGGGGGAAGATTTTGAAGAAGAATTTTCCATTGTTGAATCATCAATGGCAGATTGTTGAGAGCTTTAAGGGTCAGATTTCGCAGCGGAGTCGAGAAAGGTTGTTGGTGATGTTGGATAAGGAAGAGAATGATGTTTGGAAGTTGCCAATTGGGGCTTTTGCGGATGCTCTTGCTGGTGTTGCGATAATTGATGAGCTCGATCCTAAGCAGGCATTTGGGTTGTTTTTGGACTCTCGGAAGTCGTGGATTTTGCAAAAGTTGAGTAATTTTGATGGTAATGCTGTGGTTCCTGTGCTTTGTGAGGTGACTAGGATAATTCAGGTTACCATAGGTCATGTAGGGGAGATGTTTTTGCAAGTTTTGAATGATATGCCGTTGTTTTATAAAGTTATTTTGGAATCGCCGCCTGCTGCACAGTTATTTGGTGGGATACTTAATCCAGATGAAGAGGTGAGATTGTGGAATGAGTTTAGGGATAAGTTGGAGTCAATTATGGTGCTGCTTGATCGGGAGTTTATTGCAAAGGCGTGTTCTAGCTGGTTGAGGGAATGTGGGAGAGAAATTGTGAAAAAGATTGATGGGAGGTGTCTCATTGATGCGATTCCTAGTGGAGAAGAGCTCGCGTCGGCTGAGAAGCTTATACGAGAGACTATGGAAAGTAAAGATATTTTTGAAGGAAGCTTGGAGTGGCTGAAGAGTGTTTTTGGTTCTGATATTGAGCTTCCTTGGAGTAGGACTAGGGAACTTGTTTTAGAGGAGAGTGTGGACCTTTGGGATGAGATATTTGAGGATGCTTTTGTATCTAGAATGAAAGTTATTATTGACTCAGGATTCAATGATTTGACTGCCGCCGTAAATGTTTCAGAGTCGATTCAAGCAGTTGGAAGCAATTTTGATGATGACAGTGGCTTTGAAGCATATTTATGCAGATCGTCTGCTGATGGCGGAGTTTGGTTTATTGAGCCAAATGCTAAAAAGTGTGCTATTATCCCAAGCGTAAAGGCCTTACCTGAGGAATTTGACTTTGGCAGTTGCCTAAGTGCATATTTTGGGCCAGAAGCTAGCAAAATTAGGGATGCAGTAGATAGCTGCTGCCAAAGTGTGCTGGAGGACTTGCTATACTTTTTAGAATCTCCAAAAGCACCTTTGAGGTTGAAAGACCTTGCACCATATTTACAAACTAAATGTTATGAAAGCATATCCACTATCCTGGTAGATTTGACAAATGAACTTGACAAATTACGTGCTGCCCTTGACAATGTAAAGAAGGGAAGCAAGCTTCCGCCACCAGCCGCAATTATAGAGAGATCTCTTTTTGTTGGAAGGCTGCTGTTTGCCTTTCGAAACCACTCGAAGCACATCCCAGTGGTGTTAGGTTCACCAAGAGTTTGGGCGAATGAAACTGTAGCTTTAAATTCGGAGACATTTTCTTCTGTTTCAAAAACCTTGAGGATTTCTTTGGACTCGTTAACACCTGGTAGCCCAAAACCATTGTTCAATAACTCTAAAAGACAAATGTCACTTACTGTTTCTGCTTTGTTTGGAGCAACTGACAGTACAAGTCCAAAACTTGAGGAACTCACTAGCAGTATGAGAGACCTCTCTATTGCAGCTCATGGTTTGTGGATCTCATGGGTATCTGATGAGCTTGCAAGTATCCTCTCAAAGGATCTCAGAGTAGACGATGCCCTATTAGCCACAAATCCATTGCGAGTAAGTTAGTTCTGTCAAAGTTTTTGTGCCAGATTTTCTGTGAATCGATTAGTCTAGATGTTAGCCGTACAGATCTGTCTCAGCTTTTATGTATTCTTATACTCCATTTTTCATAATTTCAAATTACTCTTCCAAATACAGGTTCCAGTTTTATGGAAATATTTAAATGTTAAAGCTGCTCTATCAACATTCATTATGCATATGGGAAATTAATATCATTTTGGAACCATGCTTTCTTTTTCTTTAAGCTAATTTTCTCCCTTATAGGATATCAGAGGCTAACTGTTGGACTTCTTATGATTCTTGTTAGGGCTGGGAAGAGATAGTAGTTAAGCAAGACCAATCAAGTGAAGCCGAGTCGGACATGAAAATATTGCTTCCATCCATGCCTTCTTTGTATATTTGTTCTTTTTTATTCAGAGCATGTGAAGAAGTTCATCGCATTGGAGGACATGTTCTGGATAAGACTATTCTGCAGCAATTTGCAAAGAGGCTCCTGGAAAAGGTACGTGTTTATCAGCCGTAAAAATAAGATTGTCTGGCCTCCCTTTGATATGTTAATTATTTCTACTTTTAATGTATGCGATTATTAGACCCTGATAACTCCACTTATTAAGCAATGATGATAACACTTATCATATAGACATAGTTATCTAATATACCAATCTGAAGTTTTTTTCAAAAGGAGACAATGTCTCCAATATTAACATAGTCAGTTTTGCTCCTTGTGAGATACCTTCAATATTTAGCTGCATGTCAACTACACTTTGGCCAAATTTGAGTCTATGACCAAATTCTTTGAGTTTTTATGGTCAATAGTGTGATCAAATTTGCTCTGAGTCTAGACTTTTGATGAAATGTATTTTCTGCCTTGATTTGTTTCATCTGATACATTCTCGTTTCATAATTTTGTTGATTGAATAAATTGGTGCTAAGTACCTAGTTTTTAATACCTTTTTTTTTTGGTGTTCCTTGAATGCTCTGAGATTTAACTCTTGGGATTACATCTATTCCATTGTTTTCTTCCTTTTTTCCTTACAAATTGGAATGTTCTCATCTAGGTTATTGGACTTTATAGCGACCTTGTAGCTAATGGAGTGCAAATGTCTGAGAAAGGAGTTCTTCAAGTTCTGTTAGACTTGAGATTTGCTGGTGATGTTCTTTCTGGATATGATTCCACTTTAAATGATGGATTATTAAAAAGTCCATCTACCAAATATAGTTACAGGAGGAAGCCAGATAAGAGCACAGCCAAGTCAGCTACTAGGGAGCGTATCGATGGTCTAATCAACCGCTTTTCACAAAGGCTGGATCCAATTGATTGGCAAACGTAAATGCTCTACGACTGTGTTATACTACGTATATTTTATGCTTACACATTGTTATGCAATAGCGAGTTCTTAGAATCTCTTTTAAAGTATCTCATGTACTTTTCTGGAATTTTTATGTAGGTATGAGCCATACCTTTGGGAAAATGAGAGACAGTCTTACTTAAGACATGCAGTCCTCTTTGGCTTCTTTGTTCAACTTAATCGCTTGTATACAGATACTGTTCAAAAACTCCCTACCAATTCAGAGTCTAATATAATGAGATGCTCTACTGTTCCTCGATTCAAATACCTTCCCATCAGGTTTGCTATGTTCGAATTTCACCTGTCTGATTTTGCACTGTTACACCTAAGCGAAGCATTGTCCTTATGATCTTAACTCTTTTTTATGTTGCAGTACACCTGCTTTGTCTTCCAGGGCTGCGACTAAGTCACCTATTCGGACTTCTTCTGATGATGTATCATCTAGAAGTCCATGGGCTCATACAAACGGGGAGTTCTCCCAGAAGGCTCTCTTGGATGACAACTCAGGCTTTGGAGTGGCAGCCCCATTTTTGAAGTCTGTCATGTCGGTATGTATTTCTATTACCCAGCATTTGTAGACTGTCTTAGTTTGAACCTAGTCTGGCATATCTGATTCTCTGGTCTAAAGTTGATAAAGCCTCTATTTTGAATTTCTGAGAAGCCAGTCCTTCTGATCAGTGAACACTGAACATTTGTCATCCCATTTGAATATCATGTGGCGTATAATATTTCCTTTGCTCCTTTGAGAGGCAGGAAATTATTAGTACAGCTGTAATATACTACTGCCTACAAATAATTTAACAAAATCTTTTTTGGGAGATAATAATTAGCTAATTTTGCTTGGTCAAGGGGTGTACTTATAGAGAATATGGATGTATTTTGTATGAATTTGCTTTTGTTCTAGTTCAACATTTCTTTTAAACGCTAATTCCTTGCATTTCCAAATTGATTAGCATATACGCTAAGTTGCATAGCAGGCTCATGGCATTCCACATCTTGGTCAGGTGATCTGTTTCTTTATATGCCTACATGCCTAGTAACTATGGTCGACCATCTCATTATACTATCTGCAAAGATTAGTGGTTAGTTTTTGCTTGCTAGCAAGCAGAGTGTGAAGACTGGTTTAATGTGAATTTGTGCAAATCCATTAGGCCAGCACTTTACATCCTTTGTGCAGTCTTTGAAAGTGCAATCTGCACCTGTTTGTGTCTGATTTTTCCGGAATCATTGTTATGCTTATGCATTTAATTGGTTTTGTGTTGTTTTTTCCTTGACTCTGAATGAAAGTCTAGTTTTGTATGGAGCTTTTCAGCCCATCAATTTGTGAAAATTATGAGAATGGATGTAACCTGTTTACATTTACCAGGTTGGGACTAGATTTGGAGAGGGCACGTTTAAATTAGGTTCAATGCTATCAGATGCACGCTTCAAGGATAAGTCAGCTGCTTCGATGTCATTTGGTGATATTTTACCAGTCCAAGCTGCAGGGCTCCTCTCATCATTCACTGCCACCAGATCTGATTCTTAAATGAGAATCAGAACCATGAGAGTTTTTTCCCATACCAAAAGGCTTCATGTCTTCATTTGAGAGAGAACCATGACAGGCCTCTATCGGTATCCATGTAGCAAAATACGACTGTATGTAGATAACTTCCATCACATGTTTGAGCGGAAGGAAATATTGAGGTCTGTGGACACTGGCTATCACCAGGAATGAAACTATGCTGTATTTGGGAGTTGGTTTTGCTCCACTTACAATTGGTTGTACAGTGAATGTTCAAATGGGAAAGTGGATTCTACCAGATATGTCAATTGGCAAGGCTATAAAATCAACATCATTTCTGGTTAGTTCAGTAACTCTGTTCAAGTTGGTTCCGGTTTCCCTAAAGCTTGATATAGTTGCTGTATCTTTTCTTTATCGTCTGGACCTGCATTTTACTTTCGATGTGGTAATTTAACTCAAGCTCATATGGCAATACCGTTGGTGTTCTCCATTTCCTCTATGAACAAGTATTTTACTTGCCTATTAGTAGTATTAAGGCGGTGAATTGTGAAGGCAACCTTTGTATACCAAAAGCGAAATATAGTCTGCTGTAAACCTGTAATGTTAGATTATAGAAAATTTTAGTGTCAATTTTGATTCATAGTTGAATGTTTGTAAATTGAACAGTAACAAATATAATTGATTTAATTGTCTGTTTTCTCGCAATGCCTGATTAGATAAGTTTGTCATTGTTTTTCACGTGAAAATTAGAAAGTTTATTCAGTATGTGGAGCTTTATTCTGGGTTGCAGTTCTTGAAAAGTTCCTTGCGCTGCTGCTATACTCGCAACTGCATACTTGCAACATTCAACTTATGATGCAACTTTGTACAGTTACTTCATTTATTTCGGGTTCTGCATTTGATAAACATTTTGCTTCTTACTTTATTCAGTTATTTGCATCTATAGTTAGAATTAAGTTTTCAAAACATTCATATCTGGATTATTGCATCGAAAATAAGCTTGAGAATCCGGTGATTCTGAGAACTGTCTGCAGAACAGCAGAAGGATCGCCCATTGCTTCAAGCAAGAACATACGGCGTAGTAATCTGGCTATAGAGAGCTGTTGATCATTTGTGCAAAGTAAAACCAATTACAGATTTACCATGGAAATCTTTGCCCTTTTTTTTTATTGTTACAGTTATGTAGACATTTAGTTACAGGTTAGCATCATGATTCAAAACTGAAAAATAATCTAAAGCCAATGAACTTACACAAGTGCAGCAACAAAATTGTGGCCTACAAGTGCAGTCTCAATTGAAAAATTGGGCCTCTATACCAACTAACCCCCCAAAACTATTCCAACAAAAATAAACAATAACCTTATAAGTCCTTAATGTACGAGTAGTCAAATATACAACTTCAAGGTTATTATTACTTCGTATTACTTTGGCTCTTTAACTAAACCACAGGGTAACCTCGGAAAATTTTCAAAATTTACGATTAAACCTCAAGGCTACCTCGGGAAATTTCTAGAAAATAAGATTAAATCTCAAGGTTATCTCGGAATTTTTTTGAGAAAATGATTAAGGTTGTTATGTGTAAATGGAAAAATGATTTACTGACTATATCAAACTGGCTCCAAAACTGAAATTAAATTTTTTTAAAAAAGGAAGGTTGAAAAACTACAAATAATGATAAAATAGTGGATGTAGAATACATTGCTTGAATAGTACTCTGCGTGGTTGAGCTGCATTCTCAAAGAAAACAGCTTGCAAAAAATAAAATCAACTATTTATAAAATAACTACAAATATATCAAACAAAATGAGCATAGTATAATTATTTAAGTTGGACTGCCCACTGATATAAGTTCCATGCATGCACATATGAGTAGTAAGAGTATGATCCATGTTTTAATATATAGTTCACGTGTGTTAGTTTGTACTTCTTATTTGTCAAAATAACAACACAATTAATTATAGGGACATCCTCTTATTTTTCAGACAGTTCGATCTTAAGTTTGTATGTATATGAAGATCATTAAGTAAGGTCTCTACTCCCCATAGATATGGTAGGTACCCTTCTACGATTTGCTCGCTCTCTCTAACATGGAATTTTCGTAACGCCTTGTCTTATAAAACTCTCTCCATTTTCGTTGAATATTTGTGGAGTTTTTTAATTACATCAATAATTTTCTTAATTTATGTTATTTCAAATAAATTTTGATATATATATATATATTGAAAACACAAATGCTATTATCACTTTGCCGAAACATCTTTTTATATATACTCCATATTTGAAGTAATAATATTGAATATCGAATATAGAGTAATTAAAACTATTTAGACCTTAAAAGGAATAAGTATTATATTTACAATCCACGACAACATAAATTAGTAATAATTCATTGTTGCAAATAAGGGCCGAAGTTTAGGTTGATTATGAATGTTGTACATGTATCATATGGATCACAATTTCAAAATAAAATTTTTACTACAAGGCCTAAACTTGAATTATTTTCCTCACATTTAGATATTTGATTATTTATTTATTTATTTATTTATAATTCGGATATGTTAGGCTAGATATTTTTTTAATTTCTTCTTTATATCCTTAGCTTCATGCCTTCATGGTATAGCAACCAAAAACTTACTTTGTTAATAAGTCAGTGTAAAGCAACTCAAAACTTAAATCGAGACAATTATAAATTTTTTTATTTTTTTTGAAAAATTATAGATTAATTAGTACTTCCTCTGTTGCTAGTAGATATTCATATTTTGGTTTTTTTTATAAGATTATTACCGTCTAAACAGGATAAACTTTTTTTAAAAAATGGAAGTTTTAGTATACACTAAATTTTGAATGATATAGTAGAAGAAAGTGACAAAGCATAAGAAGCCAGAAACTAGAAAGTTGGGTAACATAACATAACACCATCAACTCATTCCTTGCAATGTAGGTAGTCAAAGTCAACATGCCTTTTTTCTGCGTGGCCAGTCCAAGAGATTGAATTTTGAATGCAATATTTCAAAGTAATGTGTTGCTTACATTTCCACAGTATATTTGATTCATTCTCTTATTTCTCAATTATTCTTAGCTTTATAATGTTAGCAGTCTTAGCACCATTCTTTTAGTACAACATTAATTTATATCACATTTATCACCCTCAATCTCATAAGTAAATAATGCTCTTGATGACGTGATAAAAGTCGTATACTTTATCACTAATTCATTATTAGATTGACCTTGATTCCTTTTAATTAGTTATCTTATTTTACCTGCATTTTTGAAATAGTTACACTTTATCTCTGTCATTAAACGAGAACAAATACGATTTGATTTCTTGTGAGATATAGTTGACAAAATGTCAATCCAGTTGTCACAATTATTATACGGAATTAAACTACTATAATACGTAATTGAATTCACATTAACTTAACCTTGTAATCAAATATGAATATACTTATTTAACTACATAGTAAAAATCAAAAATCATCATTAAGAAAAAATGTTTAGTACAAATTCATGGAGTAGAAGTTAGGAAGAGGGGGACAAAAGGGATGTATTTAAGGAGAAGAGAGAGAATAATAATAAATTGAAAGATAGAACACCTGTCATCCCCCTCGTGTTGTTCCTTTCTTTATTTATTTTTTAAAAAAAAATTATTTAAAAAAAAATTATTAAAAAAAAATTGTAGAAAAGCGTGCTATTATAACTCCAAGACATATATAGAGTAGCTCTTAGGGGAAAAAAGATCAGAAAGCATATTCAAACATTTATATATAAAGAAAGATGTATTTTCTGAAAGACTTGATTTGATTTGATTTATTCTTATTTACCAAATTGACAGAGAAATATGCTATATACTTCTGATGAAAGGTCAAGATTTGATCGATGTGTCACTTCAATTCTACACCCCCTTTTTTATGAGAATACTCGAATTTTTGCCAGGGTTGAAATTTTGTCTTGGCTACATCCCATTTAATGCTCTTCCATTGTGTTGCCTATATCCCACCAATCCACCATCCTTTTATTTTTATATTTCCCCTTGAGTTTGAATATATATACACACGGTTATAGAAATGACTCGAATATTCACAAATAAAAACTGAAATAATTTAGACACACACTCAGGAGTTTTCGAGATTTATTAGGATCATATTAGAGTGTGCCAAATGTATACAAGTGTATACTTAAATTATACTACTACTTACAAAATATGTATCGGAGATAAGACACATTAGACACTATTTGCATGGAGTGTTCATACAATCTAAGCTAGTTGTTTGGTTAAATTTGGCTTTATTACTATTAGCAATAATAGGGATAAAATTTAGTTATGAAGGTCTTTTCCAAGTAATTCCAACCAAGAATCTAATACTTATAAATGAATCTAATACATAATTAAATGAATAATTATCTTTAAAGTAGATAAATTAAAGATAAAAAAATAAAAATAGTTAGGTAGCCATGAGATTGTAAAAGGAAAAAAACAGTTGGTACCAAAAGAAGGAATAAATGATGGGGGATCATGCAAGGGTCAGGATCAAAGAGACACCCCGAAATAAATGCAATGGAAAGAGGGATGATATATAGGGGGCCTTTTATTTATGGAAAATGATATAAGAAGTTCAAAAAGGAAATATTGAGGAAAAATTAGCGTTAATTACATCGATTGCGTAATTTTGTCATGAATTCCCAACTTAATTCCATTATGGGAAGTATATTCTAAGGGCTACATATATCATTACCCTTTATTTATTTCTTGCATTTATTTTTCATCATGTTGTGAAATTTGTTTCAAATAGAATTTAAAAAACATAATAGTGTCAAAAACCTAAAATACCTTCATTAATTATATACCTACGCAATGAAGCCTTTTTCTTGGATATCAATTGTAGATAACTACCAGTATATATGTAACACGGGGTATCATATACGTTGTAATCTTGACTACTTTAAATTTCTGTAATCTGATAGAATAACAGTCTACTATATTTTGTTCATATCCAACTTAATTAGCAAGTAAAATTTCGAGTGATCTACATACAGATATATCAATCAATTAGGGTTGATGAATCACGTTAAAATATTTAAGAGACTTGTGGCTACCTATTCAACAACAAGAAACAATACTAGCTCGTAATAGTAGGAAAACGAAGATAGAATTGCATGCAAGTAGAAGGAGCTAAAGATTAATTAAATGGTGGAGGTAGCTAGGGCATGATTGTGATTGGATCAAATCATCAGAAGATTTGACCCATGTTCGTTGTTTACAAAAGAGTCAACTAAAAATCAGTGTGTTATCAAAGAGATTGTAAAAAGTTATCTGTCAAAAGAAGTCGTCAGGGTTGCCAAATTTTCATAACCCAACTACCTCCATCAGGAAAAAAAAAAAAAAAAAAAAAAAGGAGACCTAAAAGACTCTTCTTGTCATTAAACTACGGAGTATAGTCTTCCATTTTCTGCTAGCATCAAACGTAACTATGCTTTATCTATTTTTATAATTTTTTTTTTCTTAAACAATATGATTTTGAACATCTTACGATGATATGACATGATAAATTTTTATCATTGGTGTAAAAATGATGATGAGTAGGAATTTAATTGAATAATTACATTGATGGAAAATAAATAAATCGGAATTCAAAAACCTCATTTACTACAAGTACTATTTATAAACTATAAAGTCGGAATATCATTCCATAATATGAAGTATTTTCTCTCTTAGCTTTTCTTTTCCATCCAATTTATTTTGAAATTATTAGAGATAATAAAGAGGTGGTAAATAATTAAAAATTTAGGAAATAATTAAAATTTTTGTGGTAGACAAACCTTGACATGTAACCTTCAATATATTAAAAAAAACAACCTTTAACATGTGTATACAAAATCATTATCACATTTTATTTTTATCTCTTCTCTAAGCAGCATATTCTTAAAATCAAAGTATATTAATACAGAATCTAAGAGTATTATAGAAGTTGATCTATCAATTTAATTCCGAATTTTTTAGTATCAATGTGTTATTTATAGACGTGTGCACGTAACTATTAATTTCAAACGAATACGAAAGTAACATGTATGCATGGGAGTTAAGTGAGGGGTGAAGGCAGAACCAAAAAAAACAAAGGAGTAGGAGTTATAAGAGTATAGAGCGCATGCTAGGGGAAATGCGTCAGCTACCAAATTGTAAGGATGGATGGATCATTTCAATGGAGAGCATTTAAAGGGGGGCAATTTGTCATCATTGCTTCTAGTACGTCATCATTACATTTCATGCATTTTTCTTTTTATTTTGACAATATAAATATATTTTGTATGTAAATTAATTTTGACTACGTCTTGAATGACAGGATATCAGTTCGATAGTCGAAGTGTTTTACTACTACTATTGTGTCCTGTTTTGCCTTTATAACCCTTGTCTTTAACTGTCCTATGTAATAGTACTACCAATAATTAGATAAATTATTCAGTTTAAAAAAGAAAAAAAAAATTAAATATTATTAAGAGACATAAGTTTACTTGCTTTATTTCAATATAATCTACTTAACCTATAAGATGTCAACTACTTCGTATAATATAACAAAGGTGCACCATGCAAGTAATATATACTTGGTTAAGTGGACATTGATAGGTTTTTTTTGATCAAATCCCTATATTTAAGAGCGTGTTGGACTGAAAATTATCTTACTAATTAGCTAGTGTACGTATAATGTACGTATTGGACACACACGTATTAGACTCACTCTCAATGTTATTGCTCATTTGTTTAGTGAAAGCATTCCCATCGAGTTACAAATAAAAATAATACTCCGTATTGAATACACGATACACATACACTCGGGTGTATAAGCATCGTCTCTCAACAACCCTAATAACCTATAATAATACAAGTATATGGTATAAAAGGAAGAAAGTAGGTGATTGAGTTTAGTATACAAAATCAATCGTCCTAGTAGTAGCTTCTCACTTAAATAAGAGTCATTGGAATTTGAATGAGAGCATTACAGTATTGAGTCATAAATGCAATGCAATCCCCTGCTTTCTTTTCTACTCTCTCTCTCTCTCTCTTTCTTCTGCAACGGTCTGTCATTGCCTCTCCCTAATGAAAAAGGAACTCTATTTAATTCTTCCTCTTTTCTTTTCCATCTTTCTTCAATTCTCCTCCTTCTATAACTCTGTGTTTTTATGTTTAATCTTTTTTTTATTTATATTAAAACTTCCTATTTTTAGGAGAATTTTTTTGTTTTGTAAGTGATGATCTAAATTGCATATTATTACCTTTTCTAGTAAAGTTTAGTGTTGCATTTTACTCTCCATTCTCATTTTTTTCTTAAATTGGTCGACATCGATCATTTGGTTCAATATACATATTTAAAATATACTCCGTACTATTTATCATGACATAACAAATTTATGAGCTACACCCTAAATATGTACGAATGTAGGATTAGCATTTTATCAACTTATCGTATAAATTTAATTTCTTTGAAACTTTGAAAACTTATGACCTATGTGATTTGCATTCTTTATAAAAGTTTAATTCATGCGAATTACATTAAATCAGGTTTCTATTCTATTCAGCGTAACAAAAATAAAAGTGGGCTTAATAAGGCAAATTTGTCCTCATTTACTATGTGTGTAGTGTTATTTTTAGTCATGCATTTCAAATCATGTAATAGTGTCACATACTTGACATTCATTCAAACTTAAATGTACGTGCTGAAGAATTGAAATTGCATTAAATTAAAGCTATCCATTTACTATCATTCATATAAATCAAGCTTTGAATTGAAATGAAATAACATAAATAAGTAGAAGACGACAGCATTGAATATAAAGATCTTTGTCCTGGCCACTAAAAAATCATCATCATGGCCCTGAAATCAACTAACACAGCATAGCAATAGGCTAAAGCTAGCAGTATACATTAATTAATGTGTACAATATAAATATATAATGCTATCTATCATCAACTTGAATGAAATTATAAATGTAGATGCTCCTTTTTTAGGTAATTTTCATGCTTCTTCAACGTATGCATGGATATATGAATTTTAAGTAAACATGGAATCATTATTTTATCAGACCTTCTCTAGCTTAGCCTTTTTTTATTGTTAATTTTAAAGTATTTCATTTTATATATTATGATACAAGTGCAATGCGCGACATAATGTTATTTTTCATTTATTAGACAGATGCTAAGAACTACCAATTTTTTTATATACGTGCATTGTCCTATAATACGAAGTATATATTTGAAATTAAACGAAGAAAATGTATATATTTTGAAACGAAGGAAATGTTAATTAGCATATGAACGGGTAGTAATTTTTTTTTTTTTTTTTTTTTTTACTTTTTTTTTTTTTTTGGTGAAAGTAGTAAAAATATTTGTGGACTCTTCAATGTTCCTTTAGAACACAATTTGGTCTTAAATTCATATTAGGATCACATTTGATTGATTTTTGATGTGCTATTATTGGATAAATTTCCTAAAATAATAATTCATTTAGATCTGTGGACTTTCATTAAAGAGATAGAAAGATAGGTTTTGTTACAACAATTTTAGGTCTTATTTACTTACAAATTAGTGTATGTCGAACCCTGTATTATATTACTACATTTATAGTGTGACCTTGGAAAATTATTTGTAAGCCAAGGAAATATTCATCCTCCAATTTATTCATAGTTATACAACGTTTGAGATGCATTTCTTGAGCACCTGAGGTTGGTTGGTTTGAGATACAATTTATTCAAGTCATGAGTTTGGTTGATATGATAAGTCTCTCTCTCTCTTATTCATCAAGAAATGAATTTTGGAGTATGTACAATCTAGGTGAAACAAAATTTATAATATTTTTAGTAGGCACTATTTATACAAGTATCGCCTTAAAAAGGAGTAAATTAAATATCTTAATATATAGTGTCAACAACTCAACAATGACCCTTTATCGACTTTCAAAACATCTCGCTATTTTTTGACAAGATCTTTTGTTGATCCTATAAAGTATCACATGCATACGTTATACGAGTACATACAACTTTATTTCACACGTACATACATATATATGTATGCGCATGCACACTAATTACATGCATGCAATATATAATTAAGTAATCATATACACTCTGGGAAAAACACAAGTACTATCATATCATTGCAATTAAGCATTGTACATACACATCAAAATTGTTGATCTTTTTCCAAATAAACTATAACTATTTTGTAGTTTGTACTAAATAATCAATTGTTTTTGTAGAGATCAAGTCCGGCCATACTCAACTTGGAAATCCTAAATGAACCCGGCAATATCAACTTGGACTTTGTAAAATGTCAGTGATCGATCATATAAGTATATATGTATATGTAGAAGTGACCAAGAAAAAATATACTTGTATGAAAAAGGGTCATGAGAAATGTTGAACAAATGACAACACTAAAAACACCAGAACACATGCATGTATTTGTCCCATAAAATATGACAGAATTTAGATTTCTTAGGAGAAGAAAAAAAAAAGGGAAAAAAAAGAGATAAAATAGGTACACATATATGGCAAAAAATTTCAATGTAAAGATGTTAATAATATGGATATATGAGGACATCAACTTCCTCTATCTCATTTGTCTTGCTCCTTTTGATCATTTCTATCTTGCTTGGTCTCTCATTTTTTCCTTTCAAAATAGTGAATTTCGCTAGATCTTCCATGTTTACGAGCCTGTGTAACACATACAAAGTACTTCGTTAGAACTAGCAATTTTAATGTTGATAAAAACAATTTATTCAAGATATCACACCAATTCAAGAGATCAAAGAGTAAATATTTACGAGTATAATTTCTTATCATGTATGTTCAATATTATGGACAAAATAACTGGTGTAACAATTTATTTCAAACCATTATACCGATTTTAACTTTTTTGTAAAAAAAAATCTACATTTACCATATAAATTAGTATGTATCCCGAACTATGAAAATTCACAAATACAAATTAACACGTAGATAATTTCAATTTATTTTTTTGTCAAAGAAAAATGATTACTCCTGGGGACTACACGAGCTAATGACCAAGTGACAAAAGGCACATACATAGCAAAAATGCAAAAGGAAAGTACAATGTCATACAATGTACATATATTGGTGTATTGCAATGTTTTTTTGATTTTTACGTGGTCGAGCGTATTGTTTGCTGTCTAATATTAGTATTGTCAGTACAAAAAAGGACACTTATTATACCATGCATGACCTCATCATCGCTAAATTATTATGCCTTTCTTCTTTGTTCATCTTGCTCTTTTAATTCTGTTTTTATCATTTCAAATTAAACCCTAATCATTCTCTTTTAGTCTCATTTTGATTCATATTGAAACCCTAACTTGTGTGCTAGTTCATGTTCTTTTCTATGAAACTGAATCTTTTTTGGAGACACCAGTAAATTATAGGCAATTTAAATTCGGATCCACTAAAACATTAACCTTTCTCATAACGTCAATTAAAGTTTGTAATTTTGTATAATAACATGTTAAAAATACATTCAATTTTACCATTTATTACAACACGTAGTTTTGTCATGAATTAATTGAAATTATACCTTTTAAACAACAAATTCTTTTAAGGACTGTGGTCAAGAAAACCCTAATTTCTTAAAATCAATTAATCATCTGAGGAAATATTATTATCATTTTATTTATTTTTTTCTGAGTAACAGGAGAAATATAATTTGTGATCATCTAATATAACTATATTTCGAAAATGATTTATTAGATTTTAGAAAGGATAGGAAATGAATAAATTAAAGAGCAAACATACAGCACTTTCTTAAAATAGCTTACATCTGATATAGTTCTAAAAAAAAATAAAAATCTACAGTACTAAATAATGAAACTCTTACTGTATATTAAGGCAATTAAGCCACAAAAGTTTTAAATTTGACTATTTGTTATAAGGCCAGGATAATAGTGTTTGGATAACATTATTACGTATCATAATTGCTGAATTTGATTTTATGTTGCTGTTCTTAGAGCAATTTTATTAGACACACCATGTGATGATAACTATGTTTTCGGAAAATTAGAGGAAAAAGAGGAAAATGTAGTAAATGAGCTCATAGTTATATGAAATTCTCCGTTATTTATTGAAGCATAATTTTATAATTTCCATGCCAAAAAAAAATGATGAAATTTTTCATTAACGTGGACCAACTAATAATAAATAGGTGAAACATTTAAAAAAAAAAAAAAATTGGAAAAAGAAGAAGAAATATGAACAATTACCTATGGTAGGGTTTGAGAAGAAGCCATGGCATGAAACCCTAAGGAGATTAAGACGGATCAATACTACGGCGGTCATCGCCACCGGCAGTCCTAGCAGTAGGTTGTTGATGGAGCTGACTAAGCTGTCCGATACCGGCTGCAGCCGAGACATTCATGTTCATGGCAAGAAGGCCAGCATCATAACCGTGACTTCCACTACCACCCGCCGCCATATCGAAACCTCTTATACTATTAATCCCAAGTCCAGCACCCGCTTGGTGGTTGCTCGGGAAAAATTGGTGGTGGGAGTATAAGTGCTGCTGGTGTTGGTCCCTCGCACCAGCAGAAAACCCACCACCACCACCTATTCCAAGAAGGCCAATTCCGAGGGACTGAGAATGGTGGTGGTGGTGGTGGTTGGCGGCTGTTGCCGTAGCAGCCGTACTTGTCATAGCAGAAGCCGCTATAACCCCACCACCCCCACTACAACCTCCTGTAGCGGGGGTGGGGAAAGCAAAGCTCTGGTACTTAGACAGCTCGGTCCTAGCACAAGACAAGTCCACCTGGAGCTGTCGAAGCTGGTGCTGAAGCAAGGAAATCACACCCACGCAGCCGTAGACAGGATCCCGAAGGCGCATGTCCGCCTCGTAAGCTAACGAGTTGACCGCATCCTCCCTTTGATGTGGGTGGAGCTCATTCAGAAGCTTTGTTACATTACTAGCACCAAACACTTTGTGCACGTTTGCAAATTTCTGAGGTTGGTCTGGTGGAAAATAGGGCGCAAAAACACATTCTGGTTGACACTTTCTCCTTAGAAACTTGCACGCTGCACACGGCGAATTCGACGACGACGCCATTTCCTTTATCTTCTCCTTAATCTCTATGTCAAATTCAAGCTTACCTATATTTAAAAACAAAAAACATCAAATCAAGAATAATAGTAAGAAAATATATTTTATAAAAGTAAAGAAAAAAGCAACAAGAAGATCTACCCTTGAAGAGAAGATATGATGTAAAAAGGTCACTTAGAAAAACAGTTGAGAAGGATTTTCTCCTTTTTGAGTAGAGCAGCTAAAGCTAAGGCAGGTATATAGCTGTGTTTTTTAGTGATTTATCAGCAGCTTTCACCAGATTTGAACTGTCAAACCCAAAGTCAACAAATTATACTACTTCACCTTTGCTTAGACTTTCCTAAATTTTAAATTTAAATACAAAAAAATAGGTTACAAATTCATGAAGAATTTTTTTTTTTTACTTTTTTCACATGATTAGAAAAAATGAAAACCTATGACCGACCGTATGTATGTATCTAAATTTGCGACTGATAAGTAATTCAGTCGCGAAAAAAGAAATATAGACAAGTGATTGTATCGTGTTGTGTTGTGTAACGAAGTGTGTAAATTTATGTGAAGGGGCGGGTTTAGGGAAGGGAGAAAATGTATGTAATGAAAAGGTTGATATACCGTGGGGAAATTAAAGGGGTGATTGAAGCAAAGGGGAGGAGTACCGTGTTTGGATCTCGTGTAGAGAAAGTAAAAGGGAAGAGAGATTTACACCAATTTCAAAGTGAAGAAATAATGTATCAAATTAAACGAGATCTTGCTTGAAACTCATAGATATTATCAAACTTTTATAATAATTATTGCTTACTAATAATAATAATAATAATTAATCATAATTCTTCTTCACATACACTTGCTAATTCTCATAAATTTGACCTGTAAAAAGCTAAGAGTTTTAGACTTTTTATGAGGGGAAGAAGATGATATTATAAATTTATAATATATAGTCTTGGGATTACATAAATTTCCCGAAAATCATGTAATAATATACAAATTTATATAGTACTAGTAGCTAGGTAGTCATAGAATTGTACGTAGTACTAATGGGAGTACTATATATTACTCCTATTATAGTAGTAATTAATATAAGTAAGAGTGAAGTTGCAATAATAATAATTAAACAAAGTGAAACTAGTACTTTACTCTAGTATAAGGTATTATTAAGGTCCTAACAAAGAGAAATCTTATCACACTCTTTTGACTATTGAAAGATTGGGAGTAGTGAAGTTAGTTCCTTCTTAATTCTCTAATTCTTCCTCGGGATTGCAAAATAAAATCACTAATTAACAATTTTTTTTATTATTTATTTAATCAAAAGCAAGTTCGATTTCTCTTAAACAGTTAATGTGAAATAGAAGAAGAAGCCGTTCGTTGTTATAACAAGCTAATAAGTCATGATTAATTTTTTCTCGGTTCATTCAGTCAAACCTTAATTTACTTTAATTATTTTCTTACATAATCTTCCTCCTTTTTCAACCTCGAACTGCAAACTTTTTGATGAAAACTATGAAGAAAAAGACCCTTCCAAAATTAATTTTATAACAACATCAAAAAAATATTTAAACATATAAAGAAAATTAAATAAAATAAAAATAATTGTATACCTTAAAATTAGTAGTTGTAGTAGCAAAAAAATCATGCAAGTTTGTGGGGTGTGTTTGGTGGAGCAAAAAAATCTCAAACTTTCAAAAATTTCGCCGTGAAATTATCTTACTCACCGGAAACCTTTGCAAGAAGAAAAAGATGATGAAAATGATATTATTATATTTTTTTTTCTAGAGAGAGAAAGCGAGAGCAAGTTTTAGAGAGAGAAAGAGAATAAGATGGGTGCACCCCCAAGAGCAAAGGCTAAGGAGGCGCGGAGAAAGTGAAGTGAAGATTTATAGTGAGTGAGAGTGAGTGAGTGAGTGAGTGAGTGTAATGTAGACAGCTAGCTATTGTTAGGGCATAGCAGAAGGGTTTTTTTGTTTTTGAAAAAGAAATAAATAAAATGTGGTATATTTTTTATAAGGATGACAAAGGAATTTAATGATGATGATGATGATGATGGATTGATGTGGAGTAGCAATAATATTATGGAGAGAGATAGTGTTTCATTTTAATTTTGTGGTGTGGTGTGGTGCATTTAGTTTTTTGATGTACTATTATTAGGTTCATTTCTGCACGTAATTAATCATCATATCATATCATTTTATGTGTGTTATAAATTCTATAAATTTTGACATGTACCACTATATATTTATTTTTCGAATTATGATTAATTGAGAGGAATTGAAGTATTAGAGTTTGTGATTAAGATAGGAGCAAATTAAAGCTTAGCATTTGAATGCTCGTCTCATCTTATATATATACTTTAGGGCACGGAAATTGAAGCTTTGAAGGGGGTGGTAAGGTAGAGAGAAATAATGAAGGGTGAGAAGATGGTGTACATGGCAATAATATGAGAATACGGCATACACGCCTAAATACTCTTTCGGTCTTTTCGTTATAATAAGTGCTTATTAAGGTTATGCAAGTATCGATCCAGCTATTAGCTATAGTTATTGCTAATAATACTATTAAATTTTCTTTTTAATAATAATAAATAAAAAAAAAAACACAGAAGTTAGATGTATGAGTGGACATCATAGAACAGAGAAATAGATGTATTATTCAAATTTTAATCATTTTATTTGTTATATAATATTTTTTTTCTTTTAAAAAGGAAAAAAGTGATGAATCTATTTATTACGTATCCATATGTAAGGTTATATATATCTGAACCTACATAAGCGCCCTCTATTACGAAAACAATCGATACAAAAGATAGATGACATTGATGGGTGCAGCTAGAAAGGGAGAGTTGAGGGTAACAATTAGGAGGAGATAAGGGTGTAATAAGCAGCAGTGTTGGGTTGTACCTGTCGGTTGTCCGACTGTTCCTTGCCTCCTAGTCCGGCGTGGGGTGGGGGCTTATTGCCTTTTCCCCCGACTTTTTATCTTAATAATCATATACTTGTACATACTTACAAATTGTTATCGATCATTGAGACTCTCTAATTAATGCAAGCTAATATTAAGCTACTTGTATCGATTATATTTGTGATCATGATTGATGATGATTTTTAAGCTCCTATATTCTAGTTCCACTTACATCAAAGTACAAACTTAAATCATGAACATGGTACTATACAGGGTATGTGTAATTGTGTATGCACTTGGCATACCTTTTTTTTTTCTTTTTCTTTTTTTTTGTTGTCATTTTATCGAAAAATTAAAAGCAATTAATGTCTCAAGTGGCGAAGTATATTATAGAATTAGATTCGTACGTGCGTGTGATCTTATGTACAATTAATTGTTCTTGATCAACATAGTAAATCTAAACCTCAATTGGTTATTAATTAATAATTAAAGTGTTGTACAAGTATTGACAAGTAAATCTAAACCTCAAATGGTTATTAATTATATATAGTACTCGTAATTTATATATGAAGTTTAACTGTACAATGCATTTTGTAAATCAACTCTCATAAATTTAATTTTTAAATTGTGCGTAGGTAAATATGATAAAATAAATGTGTCGCCTAAAAAAAGTTTAGAAAAAAAGGAAAGATGTAGGATTATGATATTATCAATCGCATAACAAATCAACAAGTAATGTTGGCTATGACGCTATGTTAAATAAAGGTCCTACAAAAAAAAATACACTACGTACGTAATAAATAAATATTTATAAAACTCTAGTCAATGCATATAAGAAGTGACTCCGTGGCCCAATGGATAAGGCGCTGGTCTACGAAACCAGAGATTCTGGGTTCGATCCCCAGCGGAGTCGAACTTTTTTTTTCCCAATATTTTTCACCTAACATCATTACTCTATCTTGGTCAAAAAAAAAAAAAAACATCATTACTCTATCATATATTGGGCCTTGTAAATGTTCCATTACTTTGAGTATTTGGGTCAGCCCAAAATCAAATACTTGTTTAATTTTCCACATTTTTGTAGTTTGTGAAAATTACAAGTTATACTTGTAATAACAAGATTGCCTTCACATTCCTTACCCATCATTGAATCTTCTAAAAGTAACACCATATCGGATGTTACTTTGACAATGTTGCGTTGACAGACATAAGTGTTATTACATTTCGTGAATGAACTCTATCGTACTTGAGTATGCTAAATTGTTAATCACCATTTTGAGATCGTCGAAACGTTGATGTAGTAAGCCTGAACTGTTTCATAATGCATTTCATAAGCTCTTAAGGAGTGAACAATGTAGTAATGTTGTGTTGATGCTATATAACAGTTTACATAGAAGACTTCTTCCTACTCTTTTCTTTTCTTTTTCTTTTTTCTTTGTGATTGTTTTAAGGGAATACACTTTCATAAGGGATCAGTCACCACAACATACGAATGCGTCATATTTTGGGCTTAAAGTTGGGCCTGTAGTATTTCAGGCCCAGTCAATCATACAAACGGTATCCAAGGATGTATGTGCTAACTTTTTGAAACGTAATCCCTACAGTTTTAAGACCTTGAATATGTTAATTTATTTATTTTTGTTTTTTTTTTTTGACACAGAATATGTTCGTTATTTCTAGTGAATGTATTACTATTAAAAATAATTTTGATAATGATAATAAAAAATAGCTACTAGTAGTTAGCTACATAGCTTCTTAACATCATATTGTAGTTAAGAACACAGGCCCCGTCCAAAAAAAAAAAAAAAAAAGTCTAATGTAATTTATTTCTACCATATTGTCTTTATTTCATTTTCTTGTTTTTGTCTCCATTTTGGAAGAGCTAATCTTCATTCTTTTTTTTTTTCTTTTTTGTCATTAGGAAAATATAAATCTTTCCATCAGAATCTAAAACTTCACTAAGCTTGTAAAACAATATTTGGTAAAGTAGTAGTGTTTTATAAGTTACTTTTAGTACTAAAGTTATAATTTGGAAAACTTTTATAAGATACTTGTAAATAACTCCTTTTTTTTTTTTTTTTAATATTCCCTTCGTCCCTTAATTAAATGCCTACTTTTAAATTTACACGGGAATTAAAGAGTTTGGAGTATCCTTAAAACTCATGACTGGGAAATACAAAGGGAATTAAAAGACATGTATTGCTGTCGTAAAACAAAACAAAACAGAATAAAATTAAATGCTTATAAATGTCAGCAATCCTTTAAGAACAAAAAGGACAAATCATATTTGTATATGAAAAATAAAAGGACCAATCAAATTCATTTAACATGCTGCAAATAAATAGATTGCAATTGTTGAAATGGGAAGTTGGTACTGGGGACTGACTAAAAGCTTGAGCAGAAGTCTCTTGAAATATAGATCTGCGATACGCAAGGGTGGTAGCTTTGTTTATAATAAAATGAAGGTTTTAACTTTCTCCACTCATTGGTGCCACAGCCAACTGCTTCATAGATTGAATTTGACTCAGTGAATAAATAGCACCAGGTTCATAATCTACAACATAACCAGGCACATTTGCTGGACAGTAACAACTTAAACCTAGAGCACTCCTCCGACTGCCCTCATCGATAGATTCCTCCACAGCCCTAACAAAATTCCTCCAAGCTGTCTGCAAAATTCCTACGAAACACGAACACGATTTGCGCAAAATTAAAATGGGGCTTTTGTAGAGGGGACTATGAGGATATAATCATGTAAATGAGGATTGAAGAGAGAGAGAGGATGAAGAAGAGAGTAGAGAGAGAAACAGGTGGAAGAATCCACAAAAAACGAAAAATATTTCTGTGCAACAATTCCAAAAGCAAAAGAAAACTGATTTAGGGGCAATTTCGAGACATTTTGGGGAATAAGTTTGAAAAATAAAGATAATTTGATAAAAAAAATCACTTACTAAAAAAGCTAATAGACATCTAATTTTAAAAAGAAAACTAGGCATCTAATTAAGGAATAAAGAGAGTACTTGGTAGTATTAATCCAATCGCTTGTCTAGTCAAAAACTACTTCTAGTCTATCACTACAACCAATATTCGGATAACAATTATGTTAAAAGTTTTTTTTTTTTTTTGATGGACGTCAAGACGTCAACTATCTTAATAGATTAAGTCATAAAGTCGGTATTCAAGACACATGGTCAATTCTTTTTGTATAGAAAAAACCTGACCGTGTGGCTAGCATAGTAACAATAATCTTTTGATGAGTTTGTCTTGGAAAAATTTTGACTCGTTTATTGGGATATTGAGTGGTACTTGGAGCACTCAAATAACCAAAATTATTGAGTAATTTTTATAAAAATCAAGCATATATAGCAAGTGCACTTAATTATTTCTCCTCATGTGCAACTATTTTAATTCATGATTATTAAATTTCAATCAAGAAAAGGCGTTAAAGCGGGGAGATGTGAACTTCAAGCCTCGGGCACAAAAGACGACTCCAATAATGCCTTTGTGTATATATAATGATGATTTGCCCATTAATCTCAAACTATTGGAATCATAATTAAAATAGTACATACTTTTATTTTAATTTTACTTTTTAGGTACTTAAAAAGAAAAAAAAAATCCATATATTTTTTTTTTATTTTTTTATTTTTGACATATGCTTAAACAATAAAATCCATACAAAAACTTAACAAACCCCCCCCCCCCTTCCAATTCCCTTTTCCTTTGTTTATGCTATTATCTCCTTCTTTCTTGATAACCAAAAAAAATCAGAAAAAAAACATAAAAGCATGATTCCTTTCTCAATTTGTAATTTTACAACTAAACATCCACCTTTATTGCTTGTCTTATTGTATATAACCGAGACATTTTTCTGCAATAAACAACAATATAAATATATAATAACAAAAGAGTCAAGTTTAACTACATATCATATCATATTGAAATACAAAATCCAGTACTAAATACGCAGTACATTCTATAGGCAATTAGTTAACCACTTGGCCATTAGCCATCTGAGATGTGACACAATTGTTCAATGTAGACCACTTCATGCAACAAATTCAACCTAGTGTGTTTGGATGTAATATGAGTTTGAATATAATGGAAATATCATATTTTTTTGAAAGGGTGAATCAAGGTCCAATGTTTGGTTAACTCCCACATGTTTGGAAGCTCTTTATCTAGCATATTTCAATTACCCAATACTCACAAGAAATTGGTTAACAAAATACCAAGTGGTAGTATGAATCGTATTTGTTGATTTGCAATAATTTTTCTTTACATTCATATGAGAGTTATGAGAAAGAGAATGTCGAAAACCTTAATTATATTGATAATTGTACAAGAGTATTCATAGTATATAAGTAAAAATTAGACTATGACTAGATACATTAGAGTATATGTCTAGGTACATTAGACAATAGTTAGGTAAATCTTTGACAATCAACCTAATTGTGTAAATCACGGAGTAAATCAAGAAATAATGGTATTGCTAATATCAATATCCTTTACACGCCCCCGCAAGACGGACGTCTGGAACGAGAGACCGATCTTGGATATAATTACGCTATTCGATCTTGGTCAATGTACGAATTGAAGTGTAGTTGGTGAGAAGGGTTGCATTGTATTGTCATTCTCCGAGATGGTTTGGAGAGAGTTTAGGGTTTTTTTATATATATATTTTTTCCTCCCCAGATGTATAGAGAATAAGAAGTTGCTTAATGGGGGTTTTTCACAGTTGTTGTGACACGCGAACCATTGACTGCAAAATTAATAAAATGAAGAATTTTTGCTAGCATAGCATGTGCTTGCAACGTATGAAAGAAGAATAAAAATATAGGGATTCCTTCACAACTATTGAAGGCAAGTTAGAAAAGAATGTAATGGTGTTGATGGTGGTTTAGAACGGAAAGAATGTTATGTTTTCCATAATGGTTTTGGAGAGATAATTTCATGTTTGGCAACACTTGGTAGGTAAACTAAGGGATGCCGAAAAGGTATTGTTTCTCCGTAAGGGGTTTGGAGAAAAATAAATGATAATTATTAGCATCACTTGGTATATGAAATACGGGGTGCTAAAAGAGTTGAGCAAAAGTTTGAGGTTTGAAGCTTTCCGAGAAGAAAGTTTGATATTTTGATATGGTCACCATCATTTGTCGACGTCGGCAAAGGTTTTTGATGGTGTAGCCATAGAATAAGAGCTTGTAGTAGCGGAAGTGGAAAAAAAATGGATCAATAGCTCATGATACTATGATGGAGTTATAAGAAAGAGAATGTTGTAAAGCTTGATTATATTGATGATTATACAAGAGTATTTATAGTATATAAGTAAGCATTAGACTATGACTGGATACATTAGAGTATATATCTAGGTACATTAGACAATAGTTAAGTTGACAATCAACCTAATTGTGTAAATCACGAAGTAAATCAAGGAATAATAATATTGCTAATATCATTATCCTTTACATCATATTGTCATAATGTCATTATCGTTGTCATCACAAATGACATATACAACGTACATAGTAGTATTAAACCTACAAAATGCACAATACAAAATTACGAACTATTATAATTTATAAATTGACAAGATTGTCATAGAAGTTAAATACTATTCCGTACTCTTTAATATTCAATTTTAAGATTTTTAACATCATTTAAAAGGAACAAAATTAATTAATATCAGCAATCAAATGTGATACATTTTCTTACCCACAAAAAGTCAAAAGAAGCAAGGAATGCTTACTTACCATATACTTTCCTCTCAACAAATAATTTGTTTCCATTAATTTACAGCCAGCACCAGAATTCACTGTCCATGATGAACCAAATATAGCCTTTAATACAATGATTACGTTGATTATGATACTTTGATTTTAACCCACATTAAATGTCACAAATTGCGGTCCAGATTAAAAGAATTATAATTTGTCCTTTTATGTCGATTACATTCTCTCAAAACCAACTCATCATCAAATTTCCAATTAAATTAAACCAACATTATTACAATAATTTCCTCATAAAATCATATCAACAATTATAATAACCATTTTCATCCAATCATAATCAAACCACATGAAATCCAATGTTCCTTTTTATATATCACATCAATTCATAAACCCATTACATTAACAACAATTTTACTACCACTAATTACTAAATTTAAATAAAACCCAACTAAAAATTAAAAAAAAAAAAAAAAAAAAAAAAAAGAGCCAAAAAGGGGCCCACCTACTCTAAACTCCTACTAATAAAATTAAAATACTCTTAAGCATGCCTTAAGATCCTCAGCTTTTTAAAAAAAAAAATAAAAATAAAAATTCCTACCAATCAGAAACTAAAGTTCTTTCTTTCTTTTTTTTTTTTTTTGAAAGTTAACTTTAAAAAAATAAAAATACCCAAAATAAAATTAGTTGTCATCACAAGAATTTACCCCCCCCCCTTTTTTTTTTTTTTTTTTTTTTTACTTTTAATTTAAATTTTTTTAATCTAAAGATTCAAAAGGCATGTAAAAACAAACACAACTACATCATCATCATCACCATTTTTCCTCCTCACAACAAATTTACAATTCTACCCCCGCCCAACCCTACGAAATTACCATTATACCCCTCAAGACTTCCTCGGACGACCTCTACCCCTCTTCACACCACCAATCCCGGCCCCACCACCAGTAACACTACTCACACTAACTTCCGAAGGATTCTTCTTGGGCCTGCCACGTGGCCTACCAGAAGAAGGCGGCTTACTGGGCCGGGTCACAGGAGCAAGTGGGTCCCTCTCCTTAGGAGGCCTACCTCTGGGCCTAACAGGCTGAATTTGACCCGGCCCACTTGGAGTATTATTATTCCCTTTGGGCTTTGGTGGACGTCCACGTCCTCTCTTAATGGGCGAAGATGTAAGCCCGCTAAGCCCATTAGTTGGCTCATCAGCTAATTCCTCCTCCTCTTGTTGCTCATCATTCAGAATATAAGTGTCATCTTTCAACATCATGAGTTGACCTGTTTGTCTCAGCTTTTCCAGCGTGTGCCCCACATGCGTCGCGTGAGTAGGCGGCAGATCTACATAGTTTGACTCTATGTAGTTCGTTATCGCCTCTTTACTCGAACCTTCTTTCTCGTTTAACCCTTCTATTGCCCCCATTATCATCTACAACAACAAAATTAACACCAAATTAATCAACAAAATTATATAAAAACAATCACATAAAATTGATTTTTTTTTTTTTTACCTGGGGGTAATCTGGGAAAGAAGGGTGATCTTGGAAAGCCATGTTGTAGGAGGAGAGAGAAAATTAGGAGGAGAGAGAAAGTGGAGTGAGAGAGTGAGTGAGTGAGGAAATAAAGGGGGTGAATAATATTTATATTTATAACAAGGGTATTTGTTTGTAAGAAGATTAGATGGATGAGGATGGGAAATCGGACGGTTAGGGGGAGAGGAAAGAGAGGAAGATCGGACGGTGGAGAAGAGGGGGGAGATGGGTTGACACAGATTGATGACATGGCATGGGAGGGTAAAGAAAAAGTTGTCCAGGTGGTTGTTAAGGGGGGGAGTTTTTGAAATTGAAAAATGGAGAGGAAATGAAATGAGATGAGATGGTCATGTGCAATGTGGGGTCATTTTGATTTATGAAAACTGGTTATTCATGCTATTAGGGGTTGTTTTTTACTTCTCTTTGTCTTTTTCGATTTTATTCAAGTTCTTAGGAGTAATTCAACCGTCCCTTTATTACGGGTTTGTTTTTCATGTTTTTTACGGAAATTAAGAGACGTTGATAAGGTTATAAAATTATGTATGAATTATGTTGGAAATCATTACAAAATGTGCTATATTTTGTTTTCTATTTGAGTCGATTATAAAAATGCATTTAATGGACTTTGTTGATTTATGCAATATTACATGTGGGCGCTAAACTTAAAGGATAACTAGGGAATTTTAGTTTGAAAAAAGGGGATTTTGCACGTAATAAAAATAAAAATAGAAAATAAGCACAACGTTTTAGCCCTTTTGGGTCACCAAATAAGGAATATGGGCACGCAATAAAAGGATAAAGGAAGTAGTATTTACGTTATTGGATTTTGTCTGAAAATGGTAAAATAAAAATTAAAAAATAGCATTGACTCGTGTCAAGTTTGCATGCATTTGGGTTGGGTGTGTCCCGACTACTCGGCATGCTAATTGTGGGTTGTTTCTTGTCGCAATTTTCAAATGGATTGCTCGTGCCTATGTGTGGTCTATTGGCCAATTGTCATGTATATTGTCAGTTTACTTTGACTAATTTCAGTTGTTAATAGATTAGAAGTGTGACACTAAATCCATCTTTAGGCAAACAATTATATATTCGTTAATTTTAGCTAAGCCCAGCTTGTATCTCATATGAGGTGGTCAAATCTATGTTAAACAAGGCTATTTGTTATCTTTTAGGTTTTGACTCATTTGGGGGGATCGGTGTGATGGATTTGAGGCTAAGTTGATTTAATACCTTAAGTTACATTCCACGTTTATTTTGCTATGATTTGGGAGCTAATCTACTAGCATTGTGTTTGCTTTTGGTAATAATCATTGGACAAGATTACAGATATGCATTCAATAATAAGAACAAGTAAAATAATTGTAAAATGAGTATTATCTATCAATAAAATTGAACTATATTTTATTTCCTTACTTGTATCCCGGTTAAATCATTTTAGTCATGTTAATATCCATTGCAATTGCCAAGTTTCTAGATTACAAACATCAAACGCAGCTATTAAGTATATCATCTAACTTGTTTATGCATCTATACACAATCCAATAGAGAATTCAATTATGTAACATACAACTATCATATGGATCAACTCATTAGGCATGCGGAAACAATCAGCAATATAAAACTAGCTAAATAGTTAATGCTCTTGGGATTCATTTACCAAATACAATTATTCAAATAACTCACCTTAACACCGCAACTAAAGAAAGATGGAGGAAACCTCCAACTGTTGCATCATAAGGTTAATTTCACTTGTTAGGCGAACATGTATAGGCCAGATTGCAATTTGTATAAGATTTTCAAGACACAACCCTCACTTTGATTTTTGGGTGGGTATGACGCGGGGCGACTTGTCCTACGTGCCATTCTATGTTCTGACTTTCATTGGGGAACGTCAACACATATAACAAGATATTAGGCTAAAAGCCATGCAACTAGAATAAGAATGAACGATTCTCCCAAACAAAATCTCCTCTACTATTATATTGGTCTAAACTTCAAAAGCCTCATTTTTATTTATTTTCCCTCCAAAATGACAGTTTAATGAGCTTGTTACAGCGACTTTGTTTTGATCTAATCTAAGTCTAAGATGAGCTATTCACTCCCAAGTTGAATTCTTTTCCTAGGTTACATGACTACATCACCGTTAGGATATTATATGGATGCTATCATTCAATTTAATTTTGCTAAACTTAATTGAACTTAACTGATTTCTTATTAATACGAAGCATTACTTTATAATTCGAACATGACTTAATTATAATTTTTTTGCGACAACTACATGTCATTTCACGCCTTGAAAAAACGATTTGAATCGATCATTAAGTCCACAATATAATCCAAAAAACAGTCGATCATGCGGCAATCCCAACCACTAATCTAATACAGAGTAGTATTTCATCTAGTCATCCTAACAACCCGACCAAAGGTTAGGTTCAGTTCAACTTATTTAAAAAATAAGCCGCGGGTGGCTAGCCCATCGCACTTGACCATCTCTTCACACAGCAACAGGGTAACCCCCTTAAACCCTGCAAAACCCCCCAAATCAACCGCAAACGCCATTGGAGGAGGAGAGCGATGCAAGGCCATAACCTCCGCCGAGCAGTCCACACTCTAACCTCTTCACTCTCTCTCCTCCACTCTCTTCGCCGTCGACCCCTTCTTTCTCTCTCCTCTTTCTCCATTCATAAACCTTACTCATTTTCCTCTTCTTCAAACCCCACTTCATTTATCAAAGTTAATTGCGTAAATTTCCCCAGATATGTTGTTACTGGGGCAATTAATCATACCCATGTTCCCAATTTGTGCAAAAATGATGAGAATAATGATCAATTGGATGATCATGAAGTGGGGTTTGAAGAAGAAGAAGTTTCTGGGCATAAATTGACGGAGACGGATGTTTACGCTGCAGTTGAATTAGCTCTTGATTCTGTGATTAAGATATTTACAGTTGCAAGTAGTCCTAATTATTTTCTTCCTTGGCAAAATAAATTGCAGCGCGAAACTATGGGTTCTGGTAAAATTTACCCCTTTTTTTTTCATTGAATAGTTATTTCATTTTTATGTTTATAAATTCGTTTATGCTTAACATTTGTGGGTTTCATTTATATTTATGTTTTAATTTGGTTACTGTTATGAACTTATGATATTTATTAGCAGTTTGGGCTGTAGTATATGGATAAATCTCTTAGAGTTTAATAGGGGAGAAATTTTGTGATTGAAAGTCTTGGAACAGTAATGTGATCACTATGCAATGTTTAACCTGATCGGATAAACGACACATTAACTCGTAGTTTCGCTGCGTTATGGGGGGAAAAGGTGGGAGAATTTTAAGTCTATTGGTAGTGAGAAGTAAAATGGGAAATGTTAGAGAGTTGTGGAAGTAAAATAGATGATCAATCGTGTTCAATGCACTGTTCAAAAATTTGGTTCCACTGATCGAATGTTATCGAGGTTCTGGGGAAGTATTACATTAAACTTACTTTGAATGCTTGACTGCTATATTTTTAAATTCAGTCATGTATGAAGAAATAAACTTTGTTGATGATATTGTTTTCTCGTAGGGTTTGTGATTTCTGGAAAAAAGATCCTGACTAATGCTCATGTGGTGGCGGATCACACGTTTGTGCTCGTTAGGAAACATGGATGTCCTACTAAGTATAGAGCAGAAGTATTGGCAGTTGGACATGAATGTGATTTGGCTGTCCTTGTTGTAGAGAATGAAGAGTTCTGGCAGGGTGTGAACCATTTGGAACTTGGAGATATTCCGTTTTTGCAAGAAGCTGTTGCTGTTGTCGGATATCCCCAAGGTAATGCTACATGGTAAATCTATTTGGATTTTCATATTATGGAGTATTGTACTAGATAAATGTCTGTTGTATTCTTCAATCTCATCAAATACATATAAATCGTGTCTTCCATACAAAGTCACAAAGTATTAGTGCATGTGCAATCTATGGTCTGGGATGAAGAATTTGAGTTTTCTTGTTTATAACCGTTAAGGCTTACAAGCAATGAGGACAACAGTCAAAATAAAGGAGTTGTAACACTGAGCTATTGCCTGCATACATGTTGAATTTTTAAATGATTTATTATATTGACTTGACTTAGCAGCTGATAGCATTTTATACTCACCTGCAGGAGGTGATAATATATCTGTAACAAAAGGTGTTGTTTCCAGAGTTGAGCCAACGCAATATGTACATGGGGCTACTCAGCTCTTGGCAATACAAATTGATGCAGCTATTAATCCGGGTAATAGTGGAGGCCCGGCAATCATGGGAGATAAAGTTGCTGGAGTAGCTTTCCAGAACCTTTCAGGTGCAGAAAATATCGGGTGAGTATGCTATGTGATTTCAATACGTATGTAGCTCTTGGACAAAGGAAAATCATTTCAGCTAGGTGAGAGTGCTGATGTGGGAAATTGTTCTTTCTTTTGCCCCTTGCCTAGCACTTGTTACTACCTCTGTTCTTACTTAAGTATTGCTTCAGCAAATCATTTTATTGACAAGTTGAATTATTCTATATTTTTCAACGGTTACTATGTTTTGTTTTGCTTATTATATAGATAGGGGTAATGTAGCTGATTGGCTTAAATACTTAGTTCTTGTTAATGACACACACATGTAAGTAGATGGGTTACAAAGTGAAAACTTTCTTTCCATGGCTTCATTCGTACATTTACAGTCATAGCCTTCATACGTGTCATAAAAAAGTGGGGTTCTGAGGGTATCTTGGGTAGCTTAAAACACAATCTTCTAATATTTTGAGACTGCTATAACTCTTCCAGAGCATTTCAAATAAATATTTCGTATATATGATTATTACTGGATGGATAGAGTAGTATCCTAACAAAAGCATATATAATGAAAGCTCATAAATAATTTAAGCATCTCCTTTGTTGTTCTTTTACTTATATGTGTATAATCTGTTGCAGTTACATAATTCCCGTGCCTGTGATAAAGCATTTTATAGCTGGTATAGAAGAACGTGGTAAGTATGTGGGATTCTGTTCTTTAGGTTTGTCGTGCCAAGCAATGGAAAATCAGCAGCTCCGAGAGCACTTTGGAATGGACACTGGAATGACTGGGGTGCTTGTGAGTAAAATTAACCCAATATCGGAAGCTCACAAGATTTTGAAGATAGATGATGTTATTCTTGCGTTTGATGGTGTGGCTATAGCCAATGATGGGACAGGTACTTGTTCTCTGCAACTTTGTGATATTGTAAATCAAGAAACTTGTGCTTTGATTGTTTATGTGTGATAACCAGCAAAGACCTTGTTGTATAAGGGATTGTCCATAAAACTGGTAAAGTATTATTTTTTTACCTATATTGGTGAATGAGATATCAATTTGTTTCAGCATGTTGTGTAATTACAAGTGAAAAGGAAGGTGTGTATATTTCTTCTTCTTGCCTGTTTCCTAGCTATTAACAAGTCTTTTGAAAACTTTATTACAGTATTTTCTTTTGCACTGGCATGTAGAGTGCTTACTGTATTGCCTTTCTGATATCCTGAAGTGATTACTACAATGGTAGTTCCTTTCAGGAATAGAGAGCGAATAACTTTTGATCATCTGGTCTCCATGAAGAAACCAAATGAGAAAGCTGAGCTGAAGGTGTTAAGGGACGGCAAAGAGTGCAACTTCTTGATAAATGTTCATCCTGTAAGTCAGAACCTTTTTTGTATTTTTATTTTTTTAATGATATGCTCTTAATATATGAATGACCATACCTATGAAGAGCAGAACCTCACACAAATTCATTCAATTGTATACATGCACACTTGAACTCAAAGGGGATAGATCACTCACTACTGGAAACTTATGATCCAGCTGGGTTGCTTTAATGACCTAAAAAAAAAATTATGATGGAGCAGGCTCTTAACCTCATGAACCCAAAGAGTGCCATATACCCTTTTATTTAGAGAACTAGTGATTAAGTTGTGGCATTGGTATTGTGCCTCTGGTGTTTTTGTGAACTTGTTTGAATTTATATGTTTGTTGCATTTACCATGGCAACAATTCTCTACGGATGATATTTATATTGGCTCAAAATTCTCTTGCAGTTGCAACCATTGGTTCCTGTCCATCAATTCGATAAGCTGCCTAGTTACTACATATTTGCTGGTCTTCTTTTCATCCCTCTGTCCCAGCCATACCTCCATGAGTATGGAGAAGAATGGTATAATGCCTCGCCACGTAGATTGTGTGAACGTGCACTCAGAGAACAACCCAAGAAGGCTGGTGAACAGCTAGTCATATTATCGCAGGTATCTTTTTACAAGAGACAAATTTCATATGTAAACATCAAACTGTTTTTGAATGTGTCAGAGAGCCCTTCTTGGATCCACTACAGTTTTTCTTATTCACCTCTGCATTCCTCCCCCTTTCTTCTGTCTTCCAGCAAGATCTTTTTGAAGTTGGGTGGGTTTAGGCCTAATTATATCTATTACCTGAATATACATCAGCAAATCGCGCTACTGCAAAATCCACAATTCACCTAGTATTGTTTGAAGGCAAAATTCAATATTCTAGGTAGGTGAGATTGAGAATCAGTGAGGAAACTGTGTATTTGACCTTGAAGATAAACTTGTGATAGTTTTTCTGAAGAAATTATTTAGCTTATTTAGTGGTATTTAGAAGACTGCTGGTATCACATGCCCTTTGTTCTTGCTGTATCTCATCTTTCAGTCATTGCAAAATCTAGCTTTCTGACAAGTTGACCATTCAAATCTTTCTGGTTATCTCCCATAGTAAACCAAAGGAAACCAAACTGAAACCCAATTGGCCAAGCTTTCACAAAAACTGTGAGCTACCCAACCCACTCTTTTCCTTGTGCCCCCCTCTTTTGTATCTGCATTGGTTTCTGCTGTAAATTTTCTACTTTGAGTAACTTTTAATCAATGGCATGCTGCTGACACTGACCTTCTCTTTCAGGTTCTGATGGATGATATTAATGCAGGATATGAGCGTCTTGCAGAATTGCAGGTACTGTGAAAATCTTTTTTATCTAAAGATTCATCTCATTTTTTATGCTTCTAGCCTAAAATTCCCAAAATGATCGTGAACTTTCTGTGACATGATGTTAGTGATTTCTCCTTACATTTTCACCATTCGTATAAAACCTCGTTGACTTTTACGAGCTTGAAACATGTCTAACACTCTAATATTATCACTCTATTAGCCACTCCATGACATGGGAGTTGCATTCTGTTGTCCTTATAAAGTTGACATCATTAAAGTCAGCTAAAAGGACTTAAGGCTAATATTAGACGACTGAAGGCCACGTATATACATTTCACTTCACAGTAGTGACCTACTAGATTTACTTCAGATATTGCCTTGTGCAGCCCCCAAGGTTTCGATTGGCCATTAAGGGGCACTCATTCTTGGAACTTTATACACCTATTGATAGGCCTCTTATGGTTCCAACCAACTTATATGACATTAGAGGACACCCCACACACTGGCCCAAAAGTGTGGATTATAGCCTTTAATTTTGGACGATTTTAGACTTTTTTTGACCCCGAAAAGAAACAGGTCAGGGTGCTGGTCACAAACCCCAAAACATAACGGGAGTCTATTTGGGTGATTGAAACCGTCCACTTTGCCTTCAAAAATGCCAATTTACCCGTTTACAACTTATGTTCCCTTCATTAACTAAAGGCCACCGTAGGACTTTATATGACCTAATAGTGGTCATATATGGTGTCAAATAATAGTATATGACCCCAATATGCATCTCATACAATCTCGACATTTTTCGACATCGGATCTCAAAACCTCTAAATTTGGTCAAAAAATGTGGATTATAGCCTTCAATTTTGAACAATTTTGAACTTTTTCGGACTCGGAAAGAAAAGTGGTTGAGGTTCTTTCCATAGATCCCCCGACATTCCGGGAGGCCATTTGGGTGGTTGGAATGATCCACTTTGCCTTTAAATCGTCAATTTAGCCATTTTCGTACACGCCTCCTTTAATTAACTACTAGTCATATATGGTTTCAAACAACATTATATGACTATGGGATGCATTGGCATTCAATGCGGGGCGAAGTATATGGTTTCCTGGTTGGTTAAATGTTGTCTCCCGAGATTTTTTTCAACACCTGAGCCTCCAAAATTGGTCCAAAAGCATTAGTTGGCCTTTAGTTTTGTACAATTTTGGACTTTTTCGGATCTGGAAGTGAAACAGGTGGGGGTATTTCCCATGGACCTCACAACACCCCGGGAGGTGTTCAAACTGTACGTTGCAGCTGATGTCATTTGAGTGATATCACATAAGCTTAGATATACTTTAGTTCCGCTTTAACTTTTGTGGGATATTGAAAAGAAGATGGCAAGGAGAAATAACTTCTTGTGTGCTTGGGCATTTTTTTTTTCCCTTCTGTTGACCATAAACAAAGGTTAATTTTACAGGCTAAAAGAACATAGCCACCTCCCCAGACAATGTTTTTCTTAGTTGATTGCTCTTTTGTTCTTGTACATGCTATGGTGTACGTACAATACCTTTGATTCCTCTCCGTTTCAGTGTCTGACAAAGATGTATGTTGACAGGTGAAAAAAGTGAATGGAGTGGAGATTGATAATCTAAAACACTTATGCCAGCTTGTAGAGGAGTGTAAAGAAAAGAACTTGAGGATTGATTTGGATGATGATAGAGTTATTGTATTGGACTACCATAAAGCTAAGCTTGCAACTTCTCGTATTTTGAAGCGACATAGGATCCCTTCTGCTGTGTCTAGTGATCTCATTGAGAGTGAAGAGGAAGAAAATGTTGCTACATCTCAGAACTGATATATTCTTTCCAGTTTTGGCCATAGGTTTTGTAGTTCTATGTAATTCAAGAACGCGATAATTCAAATTATTGTACCGATGATATTCAACCTTTCCTAATGAGCTAATGGTGAGGGAACATGCAGAAATATTGGTGAAGCGCTTTGTTTCCTAAGGGTGCTTAATCAAATATTTGAGGCAGTCAAGGTAATTTATCTTACGCTTACCTGTATACTACTTATACAGAGTACTATTCTGTCAAGCTTATAGCTTCATTTTTAGCCGAACAGTGAAATTAATGTTTTGTGCTTCCTTTGTTTCTTAATACATACAACAAGTTGACTTTGTTATACATTCATTAAAAGTCAACTTATTATATGTATTGATAAACGGAGGAAATTTATAACCATAATCCAATTTGCAACTTGAATATAACAGGGAAAAATGCCAACATTAGCAAGTTTTGTTTTGTTTTGTTTTTTTTTTTAAATTCCACTATGCCTTACATCGTTACAGTAGATATACCAATAATCAGAAAAATAAAAACATTAAATTTAATCGAATCATTTTTTAATTTATACATCAATATATATAATACTGAGGGATTTTTTTTGCTATGTTGAAGTATATAATTCAGAAATTATGTTATTTGTATACCTTAACGTTCAAAGACTACACCTAATACTCTGTTATACCTTTTTTTTTTTTTTTTTTTTTTTTAAATTAACTTATATAAGACTTAATTTATGTTTTTAGAAGTGCAGTGGGAGATTGTTGTTGACCATGTCAATTCAAGGTAGTTTGAAATTCCACAACCAAATTACCATTATTGCACATAAAATACAGTACTTATAGATTGACAAAAAATTGTCAATCTACCATTTAAAGACAAAAGAAATTGAGAGGCGTTTGGACAATACAACCGCAAAATTAGAAAAAGTAAAAAAAGAGAAAAAAAGAACAAATGTACTAATCTTAGATTATTAACCATACTTAGAACTTTGATGATGAGAAAATCCAAAATTAGGAAGAATTTGGAAGGCTACCCTTATTATAAGGAATATCTCCATCTTCAATACCTTTAGTATAAAGAAGGTTAATGGCGATATTGAAGCTTGAGCTAACAAGCCTCGAGCAGGCTAATCCTCTTAAATAACAAACTAAGCATTATAAAGAAGAAAATTTCATTTCAAACAAAATAATTTAAGGGAGGCCTTAAGATTAATTTATCTTGTTAGCTCTGTAATATATGTATGTATAACATGGGAAAGAGTATAACCGCCTTGTCTTTGTTACCATGGCTACTTTCCATGGTTGTGATGATCGTTCGAGCTGAGGATCCTTACCTGTTCTTCGATTGGAAGGTTACCTATGGTACACGTTCTCCCCTCGGAGTTCCTCAACAGGTTGTTCTCATCAACGGAGAATTCCCTGGTCCTAACCTTAACACAACCACGAATAACAATATTGTTGTCAATGTGTTCAACCACCTCGACGAGCCTCTCCTATTCCACTGGTTTGTATACTCTTGTTGCTCATTTGGTTCGCATAATTCACATTGCTTTTCCTAAGGCCATTTTCACCTATGTCAAGGCAAATACCGCTAATCAGTATAACATAAAAAATTACGTACACAAGAATGAATGTTACCATAACATCTATGTATATAAGATCAAAATTTTATGACTTATTTTTCATCTTGTTAATTTTTTTTTTGGTAGGAGTGGTATTCAACAGAGGAAGAACTCATGGCAAGATGGTACACCTGGAACAATGTGCCCGATTCTACCGGGGACAAACTACACGTACCGGTTCCAGGTGAAGGATCAAATTGGAAGCTACTTCTACTTCCCAACTACCGGCTTCTTAAGGGCAGCTGGAGGATATGGTGGGCTTAGAGTGAACAGCCGTCTGTTGATTCCTGTCCCATTTGCTGATCCCGAGGATGACTACACCGTCCTTGTAGGAGACTGGTACCAGGACAGCCACACCGCTCTTAGGAAACGCCTTGACAATGGCAAGTCTCTTGCTAGGCCTGATGGTGTGTTGATGAATGGTAGGCAAGGTAAGGTAGGTGATGCTAAGGAGGAGCCTCTCTTTACGATGAAGCCCGGAAAGACTTATAGGTACCGAATTTGCAATGTTGGAATGAAGAATTCCATCAACTTTAGGTTCCAAGGTCATATCATGAAGCTTGTTGAGATTGAAGGATCTCACACTGCTCAAAATGACTACGACTCCCTCGATATCCACCTTGGCCAGTGCTACTCTGTGCTTGTCACTGCTGATAAAGATCCTAAGGACTACTACATGATTGCATCCACCAGGTTCGGATTTATAATATATAACCAACTAGCATGTTAGACATTTAACATGGTGTACAATATTTTTCGTCCTTATTAAGGTTAAGGGCATTGCAGTCTTTCAATGTCTTGGTGTTAGATAGCTATCTAGCTTGACTCTTAATGTCTCGGTCACTTTAATTTGAGCCACAAATTTCTAAGCACGCAAAGTTGTTATAAATTGTGGCATGCTAACATTGTTACTTGACCTTAATTTATTTTAGGTTCACCAAGTACCACCTTCAAGCAACAGGCATTGTACGTTACGAAGGTGGAAAGGGTGCACCTTCAACAGCCCTTCCTGAGGCACCCGTGGGCTGGGCTTGGTCCTTGAACCAGTTCCGATCCTTGAGATGGAACTTGACCGCTAGCGCAGCCAGACCCAACCCACAAGGGTCTTACCACTACGGCCAAATCAACATCACTAGAACTATCAAGTTGGCTACCACTGCTGGCACCGTTGATGGAAAGCTTCGCTATGCCATCAACGGTCACTCCCACACTGACGCCGACACCCCATTGAAGCTCCTCGAGTACTACCAAGTCGCCAACAAGGAGTTCAAATACGATGTCATCAAGGACGAGCCACCATCCAACATCGATTCCTTGGAGAAGTTCACCACAGGGCCTAATGTACTTAACGGCACCTTTAGGAACTTTGTTGAGATCATCTTCGAAAACCATGAGAAGAGCATCCAGTCCTTCCACTTGAACGGCTACTCCTTTTTCCCTGTCGCGTAAGTATATAAACCTTTTGCAACTTTGGAATATTTTATACCTCATAAATAATACCCCAAAGTTGCAAAAAATATGAAACGGAGGTAGTATATTAGCTACAATATTCGTACACTCTAGGAAATAAAGCCTAGTAATATATATTTGTTGTCATACATGTTATATACTAACCTTCTAACAACGATCAATTTAAATATACAATTTTGTAACAAAATGTACAATAAACAGGATTGAAGTAGGCGAATGGACCCCGGAGAAAAGAAAGAACTACAATCTCCTAGATGCGGTGAGCAGGTACACAGTCCAAGTGTACCCGAAGTCATGGGCAGCCATCATGCTAACATTCGACAATGCCGGTATGTGGCAGCTAAGGAACGAGTCCCCGGAGAGGGCATACTTGGGGCAGCAGATGTACGTGAGTGTTTTGTCCCCGGAACGATCGCTTAGGGACGAATACAACCTCCCGGACAACTCCTTATTATGTGGTGTTGTCAAGAACTTGCCAAAGCCTCCACCTTACAGCATCTAAGTTGATAATTAATAATTCGAATCGTACACAAAAATAGCAATTTTTTTTTTCCTACAATTTTTTTTTCTTAAGAATTTGTTATGGGGTTTAAATTTTTTTCATGGAAGAATTTGTCATTATTAAGATTTTAGTAGAGAAAATTGAAAAAGGAGGTGCCATTATTGAATGGCATCAACTGAGTGAGGCATTCTGTTGTATCTGTATTAGTCTTGGAGTTATTATAACATTGTATCCAAGCAATGTTTTATTTCAATGCCAAAAACACAAAAAAATTTGTTCAATATTTTTATCTTCCATGAATAAATGCTAAACTTTTGCAATAATTTGTGATATATATAAATATATAATTTTTATTTTCTATTGATTGAAAATGATCATAGATGTATAAATTATAAAGTACTCATCATATTTTAGCAAGTATATAATGCTATTTTGTCTTAAAAAAAAAAAGTATATAATGCTATTTTTTTTAAATAAAAAAAGTATATCACAAAACAAGAAACAATTATCTTAAAAATCCACACATGTGTATCATAATTTTTTTTTTTTAATTTTATTTTAATAATAAGAAGCTGTTTTTTTATGCCCTTTCATTTCACTCTTTATACTATCACTAGTTTCTTTATTTTTTTCGTTGATCCTCTAAAAAACAGCCGTCTTTATTACAAACGAGCATAATAAGTTAATTAAACTATCATGAATTAGATTATGGACAAGGGTGCATAATGAGTAATATGTACAAAAAGATTACAAATGCTTAAATTAATTAAAGAGCAATATGACACACCCCACTACAATATTTTATCACAACGACATGTTCTTTTACATATGCACTTGTGTTCTTTTACCGCACAATTAGTAATCTTATCACTCCATGCCCATATTTTAGGGTTATTAAATTATGGTTGACAATAAAATGAGAATTTTACAAAATGTGTTTAGATAAACAAACTATTGTTTATGTGTTTGAAAAATTATCAATAAGAAAATGCTAAACTGCTAAAGGGAAATAAGAAGACTGGCCTTTCACATTTATTAGGGAAAATAATTCTATTTTTCGGATTATGGTATACTCCCTTCGTCCCTTTTTTATATGCCTATTTCTCTTTATTATGTGAGTAATAAATGTTAGAAATAGGCATGTAAATAAGAGACGGAGGGAGTACAAGAAAATTGTGTACAAAAAGGTTTTTGAATTAGTTTAATTTTCCACGTAGTACGAAGTATGGAATATGAGGAGATCAAATTTGTTGTATACAGGTAAACAATACACACACTATTTTTTGGGGTGTATAGAGAGTTACGAAAAGCGTTATGCAAACATGTAGTATCTTCTTACACAAACCCCAAATGATAAATGTTATCTTCTTACAAAAGTTCCATGATTTCCTTGATTATTTTTTGTTTTCATTTGTTTTGGAATAAGCCACTCTTAATTCACTCCTCTAACCAATTCATTTGTCTTTTTTGAACGAAAAAAACCTCTCTTTCTCTCCTTTTCTATTGTAACTTCTCATACAGAGAGGAAACAAAAGTGATAGCTTGCAATCTATAGATCGATCCAATCTAATCATAAACACTTTCATCGATTCAAATAGGATTCAACCCTAATCATAATTAGCCTTAAATCAAATGAAGGAATAAACACTTTCATTGACTAAAAATATTAATGAAAAAAGTTTTCTAAATCTAAGCCGTCAACTCAATTAAACAGCCATTTGATATTCGTAAACTTCTCAAAATACCCAAATTTTATTTACTTTCCTCCATCCCAAGTTATTTGTGTTATACCCTTATGCTTAAAACTGTATGTAAGTCAAAATTTAGGGAGAGAATAAATGGATGGATAAGTGAGTGTAAAACCAACTTGAGGAAAAAAAAAAAAAGCTCCGTGTTAAAAAAAATGTCTGAAAAAAGTACAAAATAAGACAAGTAAATTGAAACACTAAAAAAATGGTAAATTAATTGCGACGAAAGGAGTATAATGTATACACAAACTCTTTGTATAATTGATATCTCAAGCTAATATCACGTGGAAAAAAAACTCAAACACATAGGGGACGGTCAAACAAAGTTTATTGGGTGAAGACTACTAATCTCAAACAAGAGATTAAAAAAATATAGGTAATTCTACTACATATACTCGTATAATATTATCGGAGTAATTCTACGTATAATTTTTATGTTAATTTTTTTAAACAATTTACAAATACTTCTTATCATACGTTGGTTATTTACAAGTTTTTGGTCAAATTTAATGTTTGATCATGACTATATGAAGCCTTATTATATATCATGGATAACATTATATATATATATATATATGATCGATTACATGATAATTAAGATGGCATTTCGCGTAAACTCGGTAATAATTTTACAGATTAATACAGTTTTAGACAACTGTAGAAAATCTATGATTATTAAAGGACAGATTAAAAATTTGAAAATCCCAAAATAGAAAAAATATTGGAAGGGAGAACGTAATATTAGGAACATTAATAAATGAAATGCATGGAGTTAAAAACAGACATTATCAAGTTAACGAATATCTTGTTGTCATCACAAATCAAATTACCATTTTTCATATTTATAAATAAGTCAAAAAACGAAGAATATTAAAATTCAAAAACATTATCCTAGAGTGATCATCTAGATCTCTCGAAATTTTAAAGATGGGTAAAATAGCGATAATTTTCTCATCTTTACCATTTCTATTATGTACCATATTAATGGTAGCACAAGCTGAAGATCCATACTTGTACTTCGATTGGAAAGTTACGTATGGTACACTTTCTCCCCTAGGCGTTCCTCAACAAGTTATTCTTATTAACGGCCAATTTCCAGGACCGAACTTGAATACCACCACCAACAACAACATCGTAGTCAATGTGTTTAACCAACTCGATGAGCCATTGCTGTTCACATGGTATGTATCTTCTTTAATTTGGCTCATTTTTCTTTCTTATGTAAAATCATCTTAGCACTTCGCCAATTCCCTTCAACCTAATAAAATCTAAAATTGATCAAATATGACTCAAATTGATTTAAGTTTAATTTGGCCGGCCTAAGAACTAAATTAAATAATTTTCTAACATGTATGTTTCTCCTTTGAAACTTTTATAGGGCTGGGATCCAACAAAGAAAGAACTCATGGCAAGACGGTACACCAGGTACAATGTGCCCTATCCAACCGGGCACAAACTACACATACCGTTTCCAAGTGAAAGATCAAATTGGTTCCTACTACTACTACCCAACCACCGGCTTCCTAAAGGCAGCCGGTGGGTATGGTGGGCTACGAGTAAACAGCCGTCTTCTCATCCCCGTTCCTTATGCTGATCCAGAGGATGACTACACAGTACTAATCGGCGATTGGTACAAACAAAGCCACAAAGCTCTTAGAAAGACCTTGGATCAAGGTAAGTCTATAGGCAGGCCAGACGGTGTCCTTATTAATGGGAAGCAAGGCAAGGTGGGTGATGAAAAAGAAGAGCCACTCTTCACAATGAAGCCAGGAAAAACATACAAATATAGGATTTGCAATGTAGGGTTGAAGAATTCCCTTAACTTTAGAATCCAAGGTCACAAAATGAAGCTTGTTGAATTAGAGGGATCACACACGGTCCAAAATGAGTATGACTCTCTCGATGTTCATCTAGGCCAATGTTTCGGTGTTCTTGTCACTGCTAACCAAGACCCTAAGGACTACTACATGGTTGCATCTGTCAGGTAAACTAATTACCATTATTAAGATAAATTTAGGACCGCGCTAGGTATAAGAGTCGCTTTCGTTCAACGTTATATCTACATGCAATATGCTATAGTTCAAAGGTTGTTTGCGTAAACTAACCCTTGATTTATCTATATACACAACTAATTTTTTTTTATTTTTTTTAAAGGTAAGAAAAAGGAAAAACATTAGGAAATGTATAGTGTATAATACGAAGTCCTTCATGTTATATGAGCCATAAATTATGGGATAGAAGATTTTGAGTCCGAAATTTAATACAAATGCTTCCTCCGTTTTTTTTTTCTTGACCCACTTTGACTTTTACATTATTCACTATCCCTTCTTTGACCGTCTTTTGTGAATAATATGTAAGGAAAAACATATTCATGTGTGATTTTTTTTGAATTCATCTCAATAAGTACTATTATAATATAGAACTTTTATAATTTTTATTTATGGAGAATTAAAATTATTGATCATTAAAGTTTTACATTGGCTAATGCGATAAAAGAAACAGGTCAAGTAAAAAAGAACGAAAGGAAGTATGTAACAACATTGTGGGGGTACATAATAGGAATTCACATACATAAAAATCTTAATATTTACTCTGTTGTCTTTCTTTGTCCGTAGGTTTACTAAGTACCACCTCCAAGCCACGGGGAAAATCCGATACACCAATGGTAAAGGTCCTGCTTCCAACGCCCTACCGGAGGCACCCACCGGCTGGGTTTGGTCCTTGAACCAATTCCGATCCTTCAGGTGGAACCTAACCGCAAGTGCAGCCAGGCCCAACCCTCAAGGATCATTTCATTATGGTCAAATCAACATCACTCGTACAGTTAAGCTCGTAACCACAGCCAACACTGTCGATGGCAAACTTCGATATGCTGTCAACGGTGTCTCCCACATTGATACCGAGACACCCTTGAAGCTGGCGGAGTACTACGAAGCCGCTGATAAGGTGTTTAAGTATGATAACATTGGCGACGATCCACCAGCAAATGTTGACCAACTTGACAAGATTACCCTTGCACCAATTGTGCTCAATTTCAAATATAGGGACTTTATTGAGGTCATCTTTGAGAATCATGAGAAGAGTGTTCAAACCTTTCACTTGGCTGGATATTCCTTTTTCCCTGTCGCGTAAGTTTTCATATCACATACTTCCTCCGTCTCATTGTACACACACGACATTTAAGACACATGCACAAATACATTTTAAAACTCTATTAGCTAGTGCATAAAAATATTACATACATATACTCTTTATGGTTCTTTTAACATTACTTATATTTACACACATAAAAGTTCGACTCACTTGATTTTAGCATGTCTGGCCTCTAATGCATGTCTCTACATGTGGTACACCATGATTTTTACCTTAAATGTATCGATCAATATACATTTGAGCATACATAGTCGAATCATAAACTAATTTCTGAAGCGTATTTACATATTCTCTATCAATAAATAATACTTAATGACGCGATACTATTGAAATGATTACAGGATTGAAGTAGGAACATGGACTCCAGAGAAAAGGAAGAACTACAATTTATTGGATGCAGTAAGCAAGTACAACATACAAGTATACCCAAAATCATGGGCAGCAATATTGTTGACATTCGACAACGTAGGGATGTGGAACGTAAGGAACGAGTGTATGGAGAGGGCCTACTTAGGGCAACAACTCTACATTAGTGTTCCTACACCCGAACGTGTACTCAGGGATGAATACAACATCCCTGATAATGCTGTTCTTTGTGGCATTGTCAAAGATATGCCTAAGCCTAGACCTTACACGCCTTAAACCTCTACTTAATTCGTTTTAATCTCATTCGTCAGTCTTTTGTAGAAATTATTTTTCCTGTTACAATAACACCAACGTACATGATGACAGTACATACCCTCTTTCACATTGTTGTCTAATTTTGGAGGCGAAGGTTTAGGTGACACAAATCATGATCAAACAATGTTACTGTGAGGATAAAAAAATTTCTAAATCTTTTGTATCGATTTTTTTTTTTTATTCTAATCCGAAGATAGTAATATAGTTAGATCGATTAACATGGGAGGTGCAATGGTACAAATACGTCCGAAAAAGGTTGTTAAAAGGGTTGAAAGCAGAAGATATAAATGAAGAATAAGTGAGGGTAGAGGCAGCATAATCATCATCTTGTATTTCTTGTGTTGTTTATGCATTTATTTGTATCATTCCTTCCCAAAAAAAATGCATGTACTCCGTAATTAAAAGTAGATATTTACTTTGCATATCTTTCATTCTTTCTCTTGATTTCAATACTGTGCAACTTAATTTTGTAACTATCCTTTTGTAACTAAGAGATGTAATAATTTCGATCTTTAGCTCGATTATATATATTTGAGACTCCTCATTCAAGTTTGTCTACAGTCTAAATGCGTTATTTGTTTGGATTTAATACTCTAATAAGAGGATCGAAGTTTAGTGTTGGAACTTTCAATTAATTTTCACAAAAACATATACACAAACAAGTAAAACTCGAGTTGCTACGGCTTGAATTAATAATAGGACATTCAATCAAAACTACCACTCCGATCGTTACTTCAAGCCACAACTCGAATTCGACTATAAGCTCACATTCCCGACAAATTTTCCCTCAAACAGTTGTAGCTCATCAAACTACTATTAGACCTTCTCTTTAACAGCTTAACTCGAAGCCTAAATACATATAATAAAGATGTACTAAAACTTTACTCCGAATCTTAAAATTCACACTCAAAATTAATCATATAACTCTAGAATGCAAAAATTCGAGAATGATTAGCGTAGGAACTAAGTAGGATCATATGGAACCAAACTTAAGTATGAACCAATATGTTACCTTATGCAATGCAAATATCACTCTAAATAGTCTGATGCCTTGAACAAACTAAACTTATTTTGCTTTCGTAGACCATTTCAGCCACTATATTTTATGTTATACTTCGTATGAATTTTAGCTATGACCATTACTTTCTCATCACTCGCCCATGTGGCTCTCTGACACCTAAAAAAAAAAGATTTTTTTTTTATTAAAACAGTAAAATAATGGTGAAGCTACTCAGGAAACTCAGCAGGGATGCAGAAGGGCATGGATCTTCTCACATAAAGCTCATTAACCAAAAAGAGAATCATCAATACATCAACATGACGACATATACTCCAGAACTCCCTGATTGTGCAAAATAACCTACACCAGTACATCAATCACCAAAAGCTCCTGCAATTTTTTTTAACCAGACTATATCTCAGCTTCACTGAAATTGCAGGGGTTGTCATCACCATCAGTCACCAGAGTATTTGCAAGCAAAACACGGCAGCTCTTGTAGCCCAATGCTCATTGCAAAGCATCAAATTCTGTTTCCTGTTGGGACTCTGTAAGATTACTGCTGCCAACCATGCGGCTGATTATGTTTCCTGCCCATCATGTTTGATCCTCGGCCAGCACCGGAACCATCATAAGGACCACCTTGCTGGTAATTTCGACCACCATCATAACCACCTGAAGTACCACCTCGTGGGCCGGCAACTGGCATGCCACTTGAACCATATCCTTGGCCTCGTCCATGCTGCATGTACGGGCCACTGCCATAGCCTCTATCACCACCTTGATTTCCACGGTTAGGACGATTACGTCCCCCACTAGGATTTCCACCCTGCACATATCTAGAGGGACCTCGTGGCTTCCCATGATGGCCGGGACCAGAAGGAACAGAATGTTGAGAGCCATGCATGGGCTGATTAGGACCAGCTTGCATCTGACCATGGGCTTGACCAGACTGAACGGGCAAAGCACGAGTATATACAGGGGGATGCTGCAGTTTCTGACGTTTTGCGGCTTCCTCGTGCTGTCTTTGCTTTTGACGTTTCTGCTTTGTCTGGTATTCATGTGATGATTCATATTTTGGTAAACTGTTTCACCAAAGAGTTGTGGTTAGTGAGGAACTAAAGTAGCAGGTAGTAAAACCCATTTTAGCGTATCTTTTACGTGCAAATGCTGAAAATTTTCATACGAAGGAGGAAAGGAACCTCTTAGGATCACAAGGCAAAGGATCAGTCCAAAAATACTCAGCATCAAGTGCATCTCTGGTAGAGATCCTCTGTATCAACATCAACTAGAGAATTAAAAATGCGGAATAAAAAATAATAATAAATGATTGTCTTGTTAATTGTTGTAAAGCAAGCTCGAAACGATGAAATGAAGCAACTAACAGATTATAAACAAATGATAATAAATAATACAAGGTCATTGTAACCAGCTACTATCAGGTTTCAATTCCTTCTACAAGGGAAAAATCATAAAAAGCAATAACCAACCAATTGTTAATGAAAGTAACCCGCATTTTCATACCTGTGCAGGATCAAGAATCAGCATCTTCTCCAGCAACTCCAAAGCATGGCGATCAAGGCTACCACAAAGAAAATTAGTGTTATATTCATGTTAAGTTTATTCACAATATTTGCAACACCCAAACTTACAGTCTAAAATGATCCCGAAGGCGCCTCTTCAATGGCCTGTTTGGTTTGAAATTGTTATACCAAGGTAGTTTTGTGACCCCAGGCCAGTTGGAGTCATCTGGCGCTCCACACAGCTCAAAGATCTTACTTATTTGCTCTGGCTAAAATATCCCAAAGCGCAAAATAACAAAAACATAGAATTAAATGATTAGCAAATATTACAAGGAAGCAGGCCCCCAAATATCATAGGTTTGCATTTCAGGACTAAAAGTGCCACATTACATGGTAGGAAAAGCATGGTGCACGCATCATAATGATGTAGTGCACTCAAGTAGTTTGTACCTGCAGTCAAGAATAGCTCCTGAACAAAGCAAGAGACTAACCTACATATCTAGGAATAGACACTCTATTTCAATTCTCAAACTCCCTCTCTTTTTACCATATATGATGGTGAGATTGTGAGACAGAAAAAATCCATTATGGAACCAGAATCTGAATCCTAAAGAGTTATAAATTATAGGGCATGGTATACCATCAATCAATACATCAGCAAGATACAAGTTTCCAAAACTAGACTAAAACCTACAAATAATCATAATAAAGTTTGGGAAAAACCCCCTCCACCCAATCCCAAATAAAAATAAGGGTAGAAGATAGAATCAAGAAAGCTGTTAAACCTCCAAAGACATTGATCCACAAATATATGAACCCTATTTTGCAGAGCTAGCTACAAGATACCAGCAGATTTGGCTACAAGGACAGCTAACATAGAATATGCCCTTTGAACATGTAGATTTTCAATAAATTATTTACCACAACACATGTGACAGCACATTTGGCACCTATATGTTGCATTCCAGGACAAGGCGGCCCAACCTTAAAGAATCAGAATACAACTCTCCTTACCTAGACAGGAAAAAATTCTGTTTCCAGTAATTCCTAAAATGGTAAATCATCTTATTTTTCACCAGTATAGGAGAAATAGAAAAACACCATCCACTTAATGAGAAAAAGACATACTAGCCATTCTAGCAATATTACTGTAATAACTTGGTCTGAAATCAGTACACGTTAACCCGAACTGCATTTATCAGCTATTGGGGAGAACCAAAAGTCACCAAGAACATACTAAAAAGGTCATGAAGGAAATCTAAAATTATTTAGTGAATACATGATGAAAACCTCAGAGACAAGGGCAGTAACTAGTAAGTAATATTCATCCATTTTTATTAAAGAAAAGGCAGAAACTGCCCAACTGGCTGACCCTTTTCTGGTAAGTGGTAAGTGATAGGTTTAAATTATATATATTCATTTATAAGAGTGATAAGGGCTGCTTTACCTCATCTTTCCCAGAAAATAAAGGTTTCCCATCCAGAAGCTCTGCAAAGATACAGCCTACTGACCACATATCAACAGCAGGACCATACTTAGTACTGCCAAGTAGCAGCTCAGGAGGTCTGCAACAGTTAACATACATAAGCAATTGATCTAGAATAGGATTCTAAAAGAAACCACATACTTCCTCCGTTCCAAATTAGATGACATGTTTCTTTTATCACGCTTGCCAATGCATAAATTCAACCGTAAATATCTTTAATTCTCGATAAGTAAAGATTATAAAAAGTTGATATACTAAAAGTATACATTAAGAGGATTGTAACAAGATCCCACGTGACTATGTTATTTCTTATCTATAAATCACAAAAGCTTGTCAAAGTTGCATTGTGAATAGTGTCAAAAGTCAAAGCGTGTCATCTAATTAGGAACGGAGGAAGTATGAATTTGATTCTGTATTCAAACAAAATTTACTAAGAGATACAATTATTATTCAATGAATCAAATAAATACCTATACCACAGGGTAATGACACGATTGGTAAGATTTCCATTATGCTCATTTGCAAAAAACCGAGCAAGGCCAAAATCTGCAAGCTTCAAAGTTCCCTTGTTATCTATAAGAAGATTTGCACCTGGCATTACAAACAAAGCAGCATAGATATCAATATTAATCCACGTATACGTGCAGTGCCAATCAGGAAACAGAGAATATCTGCTTCATTGAGACCTTTTATATCACGATGCAGTACTTTGTTCACATGACAATAGTGAAGTCCCATCAAAAGCTGTCTCATATAGCACTGAAGTTCAAAAAAAAACCTCACTAGTTAGTTGTTTAAAAAATCACGTACTCTTATACTTAATATTTTGAGAAGGATCCCTATACCTTGATCTGTGGAACAGAAAATATCGAAGCACAACGGGCAAGGCCAGCTAAATCATGATCCATGTACTCAAAGACCATGTAAATGCCACCTTTATATAGATAGTTAACAGAAGCACACAAATTTCATTTAGACAAAGATAATGAATAATGTTATAACGTGGGCGCCAAAATATGAAAAGTACAAGGCACTGCCACATATACTTGCCTGGCCTCCCTTGCTCATCTTTCTCTTGACCTGAGAAAAAATATGCCATCAGAAAATGATTGATCCACGTATGCATAATAATAATCCAAAATATATTAAGGTGACAGAAATACTGTTGACAGCCAATGTATCTCACCTGGAGAAGCCACAATCTCTTTTAATTTGACTACATTTTCATGTTGCAGCTTCTGCAGAATTTTGATTTCACGTATGGCAGTAATCGGAAACTGAAAAACCAATAAAATGAATTACACATCTTGTAGATTAAGCACTGAGAATTGGTTCTTAGTGCATAATGATATTTCAAATTTATTAAGTTTGACAGTCAACATAGATTGTTTGTTGCCGGAATGCATACCCCTTCCTTTTCATTTTCCATTCTAATTTTCTTTAAAGCAACAGTTTCCCCAGTTTGAATTTCTGTAGCCTTGTACACTTGCCTGCAAGTAGAAGAAAAAGAAAAAACACAGGAAGTTCATTCATACATTATTTATACACTGATACAGGAAGGAGAAAGCAAAGAAATTAACACTGGCTTCAATGCAAATTAGAACCATGATGTTGAGTAAGAGTAATGGAGAAAATATGATGTAAGACAAACAGTCATCTATGGTTCCTGGAGAAGCTAGAGAAAAGGTAGGTTAATATCAGGTAGTTACCATACATACACATATGAAAAGCATCAAACAAAAATTGAAAAGCCTGTCCCACCAAGTTGATCAACCCAGATGCCATCCATATCAACATACAATTGCAACTTCTTTTGTCCGGTCTTACATTTACAATTATGAAGGAATTCTTCAACCTCAATTTCTACCAATACATTTGACTATTTTAGTGTGACCAAAAAGTAATTGCCACAAAGCCTGCAATAATCATAATCTCCATCCTGTCAAGACAGAAAAACTGCTAAAAAAAACTGATCCTAGAGTACAGTACATGTAGAGGTTTTAACGGTTGTCGACTATGTTACATAGACTCGGGTACCCATGTCCGACACGGGTATTTGTCCAAGCATCCAACTCGGCTATTTTGTGATAAAAATCCATGGTTTTGAACCAAAAGTGAAGTGTCCAAGTGTCATACCCATGTCCGAGTGTCAGAGGGTCCGACATGGGTACTTGAGGTGAAATGAAGAGTCCATGTAACATAGGTTGTTGACTTGTCGGTACCAAATCAAAAATGGATATTTCAACAAAATGATTGGGATAGATATGTATAAGCTCTCTAAATTCTGAACAAAGCCCACGAATAGGCCTGACAAATGTAATAGGTTTCAGGTGCTATGTCAGTCTCTAAGAGATGTACTCTACTCTACCACTACCCCAGTCACAGCAAATCAGTTGACCAGCCAAGTCAGAACTCAGAAGTTACTAACATAACATCTTACTAGTTTCCTTTAAATTTGTTAAGGAAAATATACTAGTGCAAAATTAATTAGCCAACATAGAAATGTTACAAATCTCAATCAAATTAAGTTGAGAAAAGTAAAGAAGCAACTGTTTCACTTCCAGTGTTAGATATGTGTTTAAGAATGAAATCTCTGTAATACCTGGAATCTAAACCTAATTACAATTGCTTCTTGTGCTGTAGAACATACCTGAACACCCTACATTCAATTATCATAGAATAAGATGAACATCTAAAAGCTTCCCCTTTCTCTAGCCATCTAAGCCGCCAATCCCCGTCCCTCCACCTTTTAATTCACCCCGTCTCAGCCCGATCTCATCCACCTATTCCATCTCCTGATCACCTGCCTCTTTCTAGCTGATTCGATACCCAACACACCACCACCACTGTTTCTCTTTGAACATACACCACATCGCAAACCCCAGTTCTGGCCAAGGCAAACTCATGCCTCTTTCACAATCCACAATTCCACACCTTTATAATTTTAAGTTAATTTGATAAACCTCAACAAACAAATAATCTAAGAAATACCCAGAAATATTACAAACGATACAATATAGGCCTAAAAATTCCATCTTTATAATCTTTAATTCCTGTCCAAATCTATATAATCTTTAATTCCTGTCCAAAATGAAAACACCACAAAAAGGGTTTCAGCATCAAACTGTTGCAGTCCTACAATTTTACTACCTCTATTCGCCAATTAAACCCAAATTTTATCTAAAATCGCCCTAAAAATTCAAAATCACACATTTTAATTTCATAATAAACTAAAATTATTCTCTTGTGAAACCCTACTTCTGTATACCAGATCAAAAATTAGGCAACCAAAACAGCTATAAACAAACCAACCCAGAAATCAACAACATGATCGAAACTCAAAACCAAAATCAAAATTTGAAAAAAAGAAAGGGAGAAGAAAGATGATTACGCGTAAGTGCCTTCTCCAATTTGTTCCAATTTCTGAAAACAATCGACACTTCGGGAGCCATAGGAAGGTAACTCCTGCAAATTGATTTGACCAATAGCTGCAACCGCCATTAAATTAGGGTTTGTGGAAGAAGAAGAGAGGAGAGAGAATGGAATTGGGGAATTGCTATGGCATGCTGAAAGAAGTAGTCTAGCATAAGTGGTGAAGAAGATGCTAAATAAAAAGGGGAAAAAAAAAAAACAAAAAAAAAAAATGGACCTTGCTATAAATACCTTTTGCCTCTTTCAGATATGGATCATTGTTAAAGTCGGTAAATCCCATGAAGTAGTAATCCATACGAAGGCTATGTTTGGCAACGATATCGGAGACAATATCCGAAAACGAGGTGAAATTGATAAGTTAATTGATACTAATAAGTTCATAGCCGAGGTTACAAGTTAGTTGTTAGATGTATCTTATTTTAAGATGAAACTTAAAGTAACATATCTCGCTTTAAATTACTTGAAATTTTGCCTAAGGTACTTTTCAAAAAATTTAATCAACGAAGGTGTCTGAAATGTATTATCAAACATATTCAAAGTTACCTCAACAAACATAGTTGAAATTAAGTGGCAATTATGGATAATGGATGGATTAATGTTGTTGTTGTGAAATGTTTTACATAATAAATAAGCAGATCAACATGTCATGTAACGATTAGAAGTACTAGTTTGTTCCATTAGCTAGAGAGGATCATCAAAACACCGTGATCTACTATCGAACTCATCCCATTTTGCTGAGTTTAGACTGTATCAATATCAATTTCCGATATCTTCAACTTAAACATTCAAAGAAAGTACATACTAAATACAGTGTCTTGAAAAGGACTAAATGTCCACAACTCGTTATCACGAGCACGAGAATTTTGAGTCTTACATGTTTAGCGTTACTCGTGAAATCCTATGGTAGGTCCAAGAGGAATCTTATACAAATCGTTTGATGATCATACTCCCACGCTTTTTTGTAGCAATTCAGCAAAGAGGAATGTAATACAAGTACATAATGATCACCCATTTACTATGCACAATTTCTTCTGGAAATCTAATGAGGGATAAAATTAAGATGAAAGTTAGCATACTTATGTGAGTTATGGACTAATGGTACATAACACGTGAAAATATAACAGCATTACAAGGCAAGGTTCTTGCTTGCCTGCTGCTGAGCAGCCGACAATCTATAATGATGCTTACTGCTCATATAGTCGGACCAAATTCGGATGAAAAGGAAGAGTAGAAGAGTAAACAGAATTTCTGACTCAGATTTTTCATACTAAAAATGTTCTGCTATGCAATATCTGTAATGTCTGATCTACAGATAAGCTGGTTATACTATAAGTTAACAAACAATCAGAACTTATTGCATGGTTGATGAGATTAGATTTCAAATCTTCCGCCTCCTTTGTACCCAATTTCAAGAGCTTTAGCAAATCCCTGATGCATGGGAAAAATGCTTCTGGTCGAGCACATAAAGTCTTGAAAGCAAAGAACAAACCTTGCATATCAACTATCAACTGTTTAGCTCCCCTATCTGAGAATTGAACATCGAGAGAGAGAAGACTGCGAAATGTGAAATGGTCAAGTCCATCAGCTATACTTCTCCATGTATCCAAAAAATCATTAACATTAAGATTTTCTTTTAGCAGAAGAAGCCGGCTTCTTAAGTAATCTAGCGCTCCCACAAGATCATCAGATATAGTTGTCTCTCCTTCAGTAACTTGCTCAAATTGTTCCACATCATGGAAGTAATAGTACGAGTGATTTTCAAACTGACGAAGAACATGAGTGATCAACTCCATGAGCCAAGTGGTCTCCATCTCAATTAAGCTATCGATCTCTTCTTCAAAGAAGCAACTGCCATTTGCTGCATCAAACTTATGATCAACATTTAGTCCCTTTTCAGCAAGTCTCAATTCCAAAAGATCAACATCATCACTCCATTCTAGCAATTTGAATTCAGAAAACCTGGCTGCATTGATCAAATGACAGACTTTAACAATACTCTCTTCAGCATCATAAGCAGAAAAGTCAGCACTCTTATGCCTCGAAAGCAAAAGTTTAAAGAAGCGCCTAAGGAATTTGCCAGGTGCTGATCGAATGAACTGTATTCGACGTGCAGTACCTGGCAGAGTCTGAGAACGCTGGATCATTTCCCAGGCTGTCTTGAGAGCATATTCTGCAGCTAAAGGAGCTTTATGATCTTCTCTTGTAGATAGAAAATACTGATCAATTTCTGTCTTTGCTTTATTATAAATAGACCAAGCTCGCTCATCCTTCAGTTCCGGTTTTAGTTTTTTCCATGCATCCTTTAGCTCTATCTTAGCCCATATAAGGAGCCAATCAGGTCTATCACAAAATGCAAGCAAAGCTGACATATTTCTTAATGAACCCGGAAAAAGATATGTTTCTGAACTGATAAATGATTGCATTCGTTTATCAAATCTTACAATTTCATCAATCAGGTGAAGCCAAGAAGAAATAGCATCTGATTTAGTGTTTTTCTCTTTGTATCTCTCAGCAAGAAGAGGGAACACATTTTTTCCCAAGAATCCAGAGAGAACTTGCACCATTGCCGACACCCAAGCTTCCTTAGCACTACAACTGACTAGCCTTGCCTCATCAATTAAAGGCTGCAAAACATCATCCACTCCTTCAATAAAATCACGTGTAATTTTATAAACAAGAGCAAACATTAGCTCAGGCTGATTAATCCATTTGAGCAAATGATGCTCAATCCTTGATGCAATCGAAGACACCAATTCATCGATGGCCCAAAGCCCTAGAGTTTCTTCTTTCTTTTGTCCCAACAAAATTAGGTGTCGTTCTTCCCTCTGCAACTGCACATGCTGCAATGCACAAAGTGCTAGGAAACTTTGAGAATAACTCTTTTTCTTTTCTCCTTCCATGAGAACTAAAGGATTTGGGATGCCTGTAGCCTCCCCATATTGTGTGTTTGATGCCAAAAATTTGGGAGGCCATCCTAGAGAAGCAAGAAGATTCCGATGATCAGCAATTACCTGAGGCCTAAGCACGCCCAGAGTCTTATCAACTCTGGTATCAACAGCCTTCAAAAGGTTGCACCACTGAGGATGATCTTTCAGTAAACCCAACAGAAGTTCCTCAATATTGCTGATGGCCTTCACGGCCCTCTGAACACTGTCTAACTTTGTGTGAAAATACTGCAATTTCATAAACAGAAGGACATTAATTTGCAGCTGTCCCAGTGCCTCTTTTCTTCATTTTTCCATCTTACTTTGTAAAATATAATGCTTATCATTTTCCAAGTCTACATGCACATACATGAAAGGAGAGAGTACAGAACAAAGTCGATCATTACTCCTGGGATTGATGGACTTGGATCAAGTTTTGAGAAAGTATATCCAGTGCAACGATTCAAAGCAGATACAGCATCCTCAAGATCACCAACCAGTGTTTCCAACTTAAGCGCAACCCCTAAATTTAGTCACAATTAGCAACAACTTCAGCAGGCATGCAACTAACAAATTGTCTGATTATCCCTTAGTGAGAAGGTAACAAAATCTCGTTTGCTGGGGTGCATCTTATAGGAGCAACTCATAATGTTAAACACATAGGAAAGATAACAAAGCAAAAATAGAGAGAGGATTCAACCATTACTTTGACCTTAGATTTTTCTGAAATGTCCTTGACAAAGCATGTGGGCCATATATTGCAAAGTATGACATTGCATACTTGCACCAATATGTTACATTTTCACAATAGGTAAAAAGATAAGCTTCATCATGTCAAATTCAATATTAACAATCATTAGACAGACCACATGAGGAATTCTTGTCTAACACCAAATATACCTGAATCGTACACTAATGACTCTACCACTGACACAATGGATCACTTGATTTCAAAAATTGAGATGTCAAATGTGACTGCAAACTCTCCAAAACTGTTCAACAGCCAAGGCTCCTAATTTCATTATAAGAAAAAGAAACACCACAAAAGAGGGTTAATCTAAGTCCAGGTTACCTAACCCGATACATAACCTCCCGATGACCAAACATACTATCATCCAAAGACAAGCCAAATATACACTACACGTCAACAATACACATGAAATGTCCAACAAGACAAATTACTATCACAAAATGAGCAGAAAATACGTATTAGCAAAGCCCAAAAAAAATATATTCCAAGAACTATAAAACTTCACAAAGCAAATCGATTGCCTGCATTGCCAAATCCATTACACGTTTACGGTCGTATATAACGTTTCACAGATGATAACAAGCAGGATTAAGCCAGTAATATGTCAATATTGCGAAAAGGGACAAATCGAAACACACCAAAATAGAAAGGAATATAATCTCTGAGCAATTGCCAATGTTATAAGATAGAACTTAACCACAAATAAACAGGCACTCACATCATCTAAAGGAACCATATCATCAAATTTAGAAAAATGGGAAAGCAGAGAAATTAAGAAATCTTGTTCACAATTCTAAAAAAGAAAATCCCACCTTTCAAAATCCAAAATATCCATAAAAAAACAAAAAGACAAAGAAATTACCAAAACCCACCTGCGTAATCACGTATGCTATCAATCCGCCGCAACTCTCTCGCAATGTATTGCAAATCCTTGCCTACAATCTTCTCAATCCTCCTACTTTCAGCCCTATTTCCACCTATCAAACAAAATTAAAATCTGGGTAAAATCTGAAAATTGATGATTTCAATTTATTACAACAAAATATTAATTAAAAGGGAATTTGTGAATTTGAATATCTATAACTTACAGTAGGAAGATTTAATGCTGAGATTTTCCAAAGTAATGGTGAAATCTTGTAGAGAAGATTTGGCGCGAATTGAGCGAGAACCCCATGAAATTAACAATTTACCAAGAGTATTGTGCAGATTTTGGAGATGGGTTTGAAGGTGGGTAGAATTTATATTGAGTTCAATTGTTGGATCTTCAAAGTTTGAAGGGTTAAACCCTAGATTATTGATAAACCCCAATATATTTTCTGGAATTTCATTGAGTTTGGGAAGAACATCTTCCTCACACAATTTTTCCATTTTTTATTACACTGGATTTTACTTGTCTTTTCGGTGCTTTTTCAGTGGTGAATTTGTCTTAGAATATGCGCAATGGTGTGACATTTTATTGCACCCAAAAAGAAAAACAAAAAAAAAGGAAAAATTTACATTGGCGGTGGAATTTATTTATTCAAATGGGTATTTTGTTGATAACTAGATTTTTATTTTTTTTTTATTTTTTCAGGGGCAAGCCCCTAGAAGAGAAAACTAAAACAACAAAACAAACACACAAAACAGAAACTAAAAAGCAAAAAAAAACTAAACCACTCGAAACTACTCCCTCGTACCCACACAAGAAGTCCTTAACTCAGCATTCTTAGAAGCATACGAGCTCGAGAAACGCCACTGAGATCCTCCAATAAAACAGCTAGAAAATCCTTCGGGACCACCTCAAAAAAAAACCAACTTCGACTACATTCGAACACCGTAATTAGCAAGCCAATCCGCTGCCCTATTTGTTTCTCTATAGCAGTTACTCAAAGAAACCTCCCAACCCTCTTTACTAATCATTGCCTTGCATTTTCGAATTATATGAGCATAAGGGGAAGTAGCAGGGCTGTCTTCCGTTAGCAACCACAATACCACTTCATAATCCATGGCAAGCTGCACCCTCCTATGTCCTCCATTACAGGCTATCGCAAGTCCTCTCATCACACCAAGTAGCTCAGCCTTTGTATTGGTGCAAGACCCACAATTAACCGCAAAGTACTTAAACAATTCACCCCTATGTCCACGAATAATCCCTCCCGCACCAGCCGCACCAGGATTACCTTTCGCTGCACCATCCGTATTCAATTTCACCCATCCTTCCCTTGGAAAATTCCATTTGAGGTAAACTTCCTCTCGTTTCCTTGGTCGAAGCTGCAACACGTTTCTCTCCCGGGCTCTCTTAATATCCCTTTCCCGAGCCAATATGAAGCTACATTGATCAAAAGGAATTCTCACCACCTGGTCAAAAGCACGCGCACATCTTCACTTCCAAATCCACCAACACGCAACACTGAACATAGTAGCCCAATCTTCACTTCAAAGTGGGGCATTCTCATCCAAATTATCAAGCAGCCATTCCTTGAATGGTCTTCCAAGAAAATCGGTGTCACTAGTCCAACGAAGACTTCTCCAGACAATTAAAGCAATACGGAGTATATGCTCAGTATCTTCCTCGGCTGCACCACAAGCTTGGCATTTAGGGTCCGTAGCAATCTTTCGTACAAATCTGTAGCTATTTGTCATTATTCGATCTTGAATTGCCAACCACAAAAATAGTCGAACTCTTTGGGGAGCCTTCACTCTCCAAATCCTCTTCCAGCCTTGCACTTGTTCGATTGGGACCTCAATAGAATTGCGCATACTACGAATTGTTGAGCTTAAAGAGAAGCCTTAAAACGACGTACCATTCCAGTAAACTTCGTCTACCACCTCATCATCTTCTATTAAGTCTAAGGATGTGATTTCAGCTAAGATATTCGCAGGTAAGTAAGCAGCAAATTCCTTATACTTCCAACCTACACTCGAATCCCATAAATCCCTCACTTTCATCTCTTGCATATATGCTGGAGGTAAAGGATCAGCAAGATTGATGAGGGGTTCTTTAGTAGCCCAACGGTTCAGCCAAAACTTAGTTGTCGCACCATTAGCCACAGCCATGTTTATGCCTTTCTTCAACACATCAACACTACTTATTATTCCTTACTAAGCGTTGGAAGCACCTTGTCTCTCTCAAACATGTCTACATCACATCTACCCCCACAGTATTTGTGACGCATAACCCTTGACCATAGAGCTACGGGTTCGGTCAATAAACGTCATCCCATTTTTGCGAGAAAAGCAACATTAGCCTGACACATTGATCTAATGCCCAACCCACCTTCAAGCTTGGGTTTAGAGATATTGTCCCACGCAACCATATGGACTTTTTTCTCACCCTCTTCCTCACCCCACAAAATTTTGCGAGCCTTCCTATCCACATCATCACAAATCGATCGAGGGAGTTTGGTTGATTGCATTGTATAAAAAGGCACGGAAGACAAAGAGGCTTGAACAAGTGTGGCCCTATTTTCCATTGACAGGTTTTTGCTTTCCACCCCGCATGCTTTGAGTTGATACGATCAATCAATTATTGGTAATCTTGCTTCGATGTCCTTCCATTAATAGTTGGGACACCCAAGTACTTACCAAAATCATCTGTCTCCTCCATCCCCATCTCACGACAAATAGCTCCTCTAATTTCGGGGTTGGTATTTGTAGAAAAGTACACTCGAGACTTATCCACACTGACCTTACTTCCGGAAGCGGCACAAAATTTGTCCAGACACTCCTTCATAACAGTCGCTTACTCTACTTTTACTTCACAAAATAAAATTAAATCATCGGCAAAAGCAATATTAGAAATTGGGGGACCATTTCTACTAGCACGAACCGGCTTCCAATTTCCCAAATTATTCTCAAAGTCAATCAAATGTGCAAGCTTATCCATACAAATGACATATAAGTATGGAGATAAAGGATCTCCTTGCCGAATGCCACGACTAGGACTAAAGGACTCCATAGGCTCACCATTCCACGAGATTTGTAATCTAGCCGAAGTGATACATCTCATTATAATTTCCACCATTAATTGTGGTAGCCGAAGCTCCATAAGAGATTCCCTAATAAAGCTTCAGCTAAAACGATCATATGCTTTATCAAAATCGACCTTTACTACCATATAGCCCTTCCCACTTTGCTTTTTCCTCATAGTATGCATCATTTCTTGGACAGTAGTAATGTTGTCCGTGATTTGACGCTTAGGCACAAGCTACATTGCGTCGGACAAATCAAAGTTGGTAATAAAGGTTTAAGCCGGTTCACAATCACTTTAGTTACCAACTTGTAGACGATATTACACAAACCAAACGGTCTAAATTGATTAGCTTTTTGGGGAGTATCAATCTTCGGAATAAGCACTAGGAATGCATCATTTAAGCTTTCAGGAAACTCTTTCCCCGCAAGAATATCTCGAACTAAATTAGTCACACTTGGCTGCACAATCTCCCAGTATCTTTAGTAAAAGAGGGGTTGAAAACCGCCCGGACCCGGAGCCTTATAAGCCTTCATACTCACGAGAGCCTTCTTGATTTCACAATCTGCAAAAGGGCGAGTGATATCTTTCCAGCCATGCTCATCAATTCTCGAAAAATAATCATCCAGTAGCTTTGGCGAGTGAGGTCTCGTCTTGGAAAAAATTTCTCCAATACTCCAAAACCATACTCTTCACTTGCTCATGATCAGTCACCCAATCTCCACTAGAATCTTGGAGAGTTTCAATTCGATTATTGCGTCTTCTAATAATAGTTGACACATGAAAAAATCTTGTATTCCGGTCTCCGTCACAAATTGCATCTAATCGAGATTTCCGGAACCATATGGTTTCCTCTTGATCAAGCACATTAATTAATTGTCTTCTAAGGCTTGCCTCAAGCTTGATTAAGAATGAGTTCCTCCTCTTTGACAATTCACGCTGGATGCCAGCCATTCGAGCCATGAGTTCCTCTTTTTTACGGAATATATTATGAAAAATTTCTCTATTCCATAAGTTAAGCTTTTCCGCAAAGACTTTCAAGAAACTCACTATAGGAACATTATTATTCCAATTTGCCACTACAAAATCCCCAAATTTCTCATGATGAATCCACGCTGCTTGAAACCGGAAGGGTTTGACACTAGAGGAAATTGGAGCAAATCCAGTCGTGCTAATTAACAATGGACAGTGATCAGATATAGTTTTAGGAAGGTTACGGACAGCCCCCTCATCGAAACGCACTCTCCATTGTTCATTTACCAATCCACGATCGAGATGAGCTGATTCAAAAGTAGAAGCCGAGTTCCCTCTAAGCTAAACCAAGTATGCTCAGGTCTAGAGCATCCCAAATCTATAAACTCGTTATTTTCAATCCAGTTGGCAAATTCATTACACCTTCTTTGCATTTCACTTCTACCACAACCATTACGCTCAGAGTCTTTTGAAGTTTCATTAAAATCCCCAGCGATAAGGCATGGCCCCTGAAAACTCCCTTTAATTTTCTCAAGTTCAACCCAAATGTCTCTCCTCAAGGTGCTATTTGGACTTGCGTAAATAGCAGAAAAAAGCCATGGGGCTTCTCCCAACTTCTCAATCAAAATAGTAACATGCTGAGTATGCGAATCATATGGAGTCACATTAACAATTTCTTTTCGCCAAAACACCCATATTCCACCACTGAAACCTTGAGCTTCTAGCCTTAGCTGTCCAGAGAAACCAATTTTTTCACAAATACGATCCGCTTCTTAACCACTCATATGAGTTTCAACAAGCGCCATCACCACAGGTCTATTAAATTCGAATAAGATCTCGAATAATATTCAACTTATTTCCAACGCCTTGAACATTCCACACAAGAATCTTAATTGACATATTAAACATATTAAAATTTGGGAACCTGTCATACGAGTTCAAAGGAACTTTAGGCAATAGACTGAGGTATGTGTCCCTCAATGCGATCATCGGACCCATAGTCTCCATTGGAATCTGGAATAGAGCCATCATGTCCGGTGGATTGTGTTCGGGTGGCAGATATGTGCTCACTTGGAGTGAGACTTTGTTCGTCAGGGGATGAGTCGACACTAACAAAGGTCCCTCCATCACTTGATCTATGAACGTCTCGTACTCTCGAGGAATCCGAACCTCCAGAGTTATTGGCACTCGAAGCAGATCCATGGTCTTCAAACACAACAGGGGCACTATTACTCTTAGAATGGCTAGGAGGGTTTCTAAGTGCAGATGGTGTTGAGGTCGCAATTTCAATCCAATTCTCCTTCCCTAATTGTGACGATTTAGATAAGGAAAAATTAGATTTCTTATTATTTTTTTTCTTAAAATTTTTTATCCCACTCACCTCAATATTTTTATTATACGGTGTGAAAGGAATTTCTTGCCATATCTTTCTTCGATTATTTCCAAAAGATAAATTTTCCTTTTCCTGGGAATTTTTTCCATCCATCTTCTCCAAGGAATGCTCCCTCAACTTGCTATCTTTCTCCCTCAAAGATTCACCCAAATAAACGGTTGATTCTATTTCCATATCCCCCTGACTTGAGGCATTGAACCCCTATTCCAGCTCATGATGTCCTGCTCCAGCTTGAGTACTGTCCATAGCTAGGTCCACTGCCTCCTCTATAGTAGTTATTCCATTGTCAAGTTGCCTAATTGTTTGATTCTTGCTAAAAGATAACGTGCCCTGATTATCATCCTCCTCCACTTCCAAGACATTGAATCTTGAACCATCATTCTTAGCTTCTCCACAATCGGATTATTGTCTATACTCTTTTTATTGGCATTTAGTGTACCACTTTTCTGAGATTTATCACTCTTTGGCCGTTGTTTATTTCCTTGACCATATATTTTGGCATTTTGTCTCCTAGGTGGACGTTGAACCAACATCCAAGAGCCATACTTATCAGTTTTCTCTGGTCTTTCCTGCTGTAACTTTTCAGGTTTCCCAACTTCTCCATGCTGTATATCCTTAGACTCTCCCTCATGAGTACTTGTAGAATTTTGCAATGCAAAGGCAGAACATTCACCTTCTTTGTAGCCTAGCTTTATAAACTTAAAGCAAATCAATCTTAACCCTTCATATTGAATTTTTCAGATTCTTCCATTCATACGAAATTTCGACAACAAGGGATTGGTCAAGTCTACTTCAATACTGAATCTCACAAATTGGCCTCGATCCTTTGATTCAGTTCTCTTGTCAATTCGATTCACCTTCCCAATTTTCGAGCCTATTTTATGCAAAAATTGAGAATCGAAATACTCAACTGATAATTGAGGGATTCTAACCCAAGCAGTCAATTTCTTGATCGGTTCACCATCTGGAACAAAATTAGGAACACATCCTAATTGTCAAATAGCTATCTCCAATAATCCATGGACCCTAAGACATGACAAACTCATAATCTGTCATATTGTTAAATCGCACAATATAATATGCGTGACCTACATCTGTTAGGGCAATGTCACCCTTCAAGCACCATTTCATACGAAGTTTTTTCACCAAGAGGTCATAGCTTAGCCTTCTATCATAATTTCATAATCAGGGCATCTTTCCACAGTTGTCGCAATCGTTTCTTCTCTTCCTTTGTCAACAGGATGGTAGGGCAGCTTTCATCATCAGAATCACAATCCAAAGGGATATCATCTTCCGAAATAGAATCATCATCATCGTTTCCTTTTTCAAATAGAGGATTAGTCCTCTGCACCCCACCCGCCGCTTGAAAATACTACAGTGATTTCACAGGCTCAGGGGTGATTGGAACTACATCACTAGAGTCATTCATTTCCATATCCTCATTCGGACGAATTGGATGATTATCAGTTCTTTTGAATTTCTTATTCGATCTCTAAAGGAGATCGTTTTCTTCGCTAGATAACCCTAGTTCTCTTCGCTCTTTTACGCTCTCCATTTGCTCTTTTCAGATTAGTTTTTGTTGATAACTAGATTAGTACCCACGTGTTGCACTGTGGTGATAAGTAAATGTCCATATTTTTATATCTTTTGTTGATAACTTTTTAAAATAACTTACTCACTTATTTATATATTAAAAAAAACATGTGCATAGTCATTTTTAAATTGTTATTATTTAATACTACATCATAATATTTACTATATTATTGAAGATATACAAAAATAATGGTTAGGCAAAATATATTTAATGTTGTATCATCTATTGAGCATAAACGTTTAGAATGGAAGCTAAAGGAATGAAGTACTCATATAATTTTCCTCAAAAAAAAGTACTCATATAATTAGCAATCAATATCTATATATATTATCTATTAAATATTAGAATGGAGGAGAAAGTCAAGTTTCATACCTAACTAAGTCCTTATTTTTAGCAAATAAAAGAAAAGGAATAAAATAAAATAAATAAATAAATAAATGATGACATCATATGTAAATTTGGAGGGAAAATTTTTAATGAGAGTTTGACACGTAAGACACATTAGGGGATTGATGATATCAGCATGTTTTGTTTTAGTAATAGTTAATAGATGAAATGAAAAATTGATGTATTTGGAGAAGAAAAAAAAAAGGGCAGGTGCCAAAATAATCCATTTATTTATTTATTATTATTATTATGGAATGTACATTCAGGTTTGATTCTTTATAGGATTCGGGACTATTATACTCGTTACTCGTATATTTCTTATCGTAAGAAATAAAATTATAATGGACTTTATATGAGCAAATTCAAGTTTATCATTATGATAAACATGATCTGTTTATCAAAGGATATATTGGACTATTTAATAATCAATAGTAGGGATAACTTTGTCAATTTATATTTTAGTTAGGGAAATTAAAGTAACGACGCAATAGCCTTGCCGTTAGCAAAACTGTTTTCTTCCTTGTTTCTGCTATTCTGCATCTTGTAATTTCTCTCTCCTCTGTAATTTCTCTATCTTCCTCCGTCCTCCTTTACGACTTGAGCTACCATCACCATTGGATCCAATTGGAGGTGGGCAATTACTTGAGAACTCGAACCATTGGAGTGGTGCAATTACTACTAGAGAAGTCGAACCTTGGATTGGAGAAGTCGAACCTTAGTAATCGACCATGGGAGCTTATTGCATCGGAGCACTTAACAATTGGATCGAAGCAAGACGCAACCCTTCCACTTAGGGTTAACCATACCATTATTTTTACCCTTTTTAATTAGGGTTTTTGTTTAGTTCGGCAGCGAAACCGCCGAAATTGTAGTGGCAAAAGTGGCCTTGTGTTCACGAGGAAGGTGGTGGAGAAAGTGGCCTTGTGTTCACGAAGAAGGCGGTTAAACGTGATGGTGAAAGTAACAATTACAATGGAGGAGCAGTGGAGGAGGAAGAAGGAAGAAGAATATGTTGCTTCAAAGTTAACGTCATCGTCAATTTGATGTTATTTGTGCCAGCTAGCCAGTAAGAGAAAAAAAAATATATTAATACAGATTTTGTGAAAACCATGAACTATTTACTACTTTTCCATTTGATAAATGATGGGACGTTAGAACGGTCGTACATTCCACACTCAATCAAACACATTTATTAACAAACACCTTACAAACCAAGCATAATGACAAGTAAGAGTTCGGCCCACAAGGAACGGGATATGATTGCCAAAGATCTTTACACTTAAGCTAACTCGAAGTCAATTGGTGAATTGGGGTTCGTCAAGAAGACAAACAAACTATGGTTCTAAATCAATGAATTAAAGATACTAGGGAATGAGATCCACTCAACCAAGGCAAATAGGCAAACGGGGAGTAAAATAGACAAGATATAGCAAGGACTATATGTAAAATCAACCTCATGCAATTAGAAAACAACTCACACTACTAAACTTAGATTCCTCATTAGTTTAGAAATAGATGATACATAATCAAATTACAATAAGTAATGACGTACTCAATTTACACTTCCATGTCAAATTAGGCATATCATACTATCAAGCTCCTTAGTCAAGGGTAGCTAAACCTATCATGAGGAACTAACAAGCAATCTCATATAATCAATTTAATTGCAATACAAACATCAATGCTTCTCCCACATTTGCATAGTTAACCCAAAAGGTCGAGCTTCACCCAACCCCTAGCAAGAAGACTACTCACAACTCATGTTTATCAACATGCAATCAAGAATTAGGGTTCTAAATACTTCAATAATTGGGGAAAAGTGGTTAACAATTGAAATAACTATCATCCAATAACAAATTACCAAGAACTAAGAAGATTTAAATAACATGCAAATACCAAATAAAATCTGAAATTAAAAGGAAAAAGGTTGGAGAAATTACTAATTGAAGCTTCAAATGTTGAATACAAATTGCCAAACTTTGAGAATAATTCTTGAATTTCACTAATACAATGATTTGATTTGATTTGATGAAAACTAAGCTAAATTAATCCTAAGGAATGTTTCAAACTAAGAGAGGTTTCTGAAAACTAGGCTACTGTCCTTTTTCTTTTTTTTTTCAAAAACGATCTCGAAAGGACTTTAAATAGTCCGTACAAAATTGGCTGAGATCGGGAAAAGGTCCGACCGAACTCTGGGTAGGTTCGGTCGGACTCAGGGTAGGTTCGGTCGAACCCTGGTAGGTTCGGTCGAACCTCCCTGATCCTTGTTTGGTCGAACTTTTGAGGTTCGACCTCTCCTGCAAAATTGCTGAAAACTGGTTTGACACTGCCTTCACTGCACCCTGGAGGTTCGGTCAAACTTTTCAAAAGTTTGACCACACCAAGGTTCGACCGGACCTTTCAGAGGTTCGGCCACACCTCCTCTTGCACTTCCTTTTCTTGCTTCCTCTCCTTCCCTTTTGCTCCTCTTGCCTTTGTCCATGGCTTCCATACTTGGCCAAGGGGCCTCCCACCGTGCATAGGACCGTCATGGAACCTGCAGAAGATACCAAAGTTCACGAGAGCATGGGATGATAAAATAATGCATAAAGATTATCAAAATAAGCGCAAATAAGCATTACTTTTCATCAACACAAAAAGAAGCCATAAGAGGATAATGAGGTGGAAAAACCTAAGAAAAATAAGAGGAAAAAGACCTAAATACTACCCCTAAGAGTGACATAAATGTCACTCATCAATAAACATTTGAAGTTTATCAATTTGATAAACCTGGGCTTTCTCCTTGTATATGACTTATACAAATTCGTAGACATTATGTGTTTAATTGAATGAGGAATTTAAAGTTCTCTTACTAATGTTAGAACCATGACGCCTTCTACTCCTAATATCATTGGATCATTGATTGTTTGCTCTATAGATATGTAAGGTTGTTGAAGAAGAGTGCTACTATATGGTTGCAACGTGGATTCACTACATTTATATACGCGCGATGTATGCTTTAAATTTTAAAAATAATACATCAATCGAGAGAAGAGTATCTAACTTAAAATTAAGACTTAAGAGCATTTAAGGTATTTCATGTGCACAATAACACAAATTCACCATTTGAATTATTACCTCTGTTTCATATTGCGTTAATTCTTTTGAGTGATTGATAATGTGACACGTCGAGAAATGAACATTGATAGTTTGAAGGCTTCTTAGGGCTTGTTATGTTCAAATTGTTTTAATTCAGTTTAGATATAATAAGTTTAGATAAGTTCAAATAAGTTAAATTTAGGAAAAATAAGTTTGGGCAAGGGTTACCCAAGTACAAATTACAACTAAAATAAGTTATACTTTGTTATAAGGTATAATAAGTCATATAAGTTCTAAAAAATGCAAGTAAGTTGTGATAAGTTCAAATAACTCGATAAGATAAGATAAGTTCAGATAAGTGAAAATACAGGTGAATAGAACACACTCTTAGAGGAAGGGGAGGGAATGGGTAGGGAGGGGAAGGAGGAAGAAGTCCAGCTTCCTTGTTTGGATAAAGGAGAAAAGAAAGGGATGAGAGGGAGGAAGAAAGGGCAAAGTCGCAAAGAACAACCAACAAAAACATCGTGCTCCTTTGTTCCATCCAACCACCAAATTATTTCAATTCACAATCAAACCAAAAACCCTTCATTTTCTTCTTCTTCGTAATTATCTTCCTCGAATAACGCATGACTCCTTCATCTTCAGATCAATCATGGCGAATTGTGCTGTTCTTAAATTCTAGCAAAATTTTGACTTCGGAACGATAATTGAATAAGAATCCAAGAGCTCGGCTAAAGAGGCGGATATATAAATTGATCAAAAATTGGAAGCCATTGATTACAGTGACAATAACAATGGTGAATTAGTGGTGGTCGAAAATTGGAATTAGAGTTAGGAAAATGGGGAAATTATGCGTAGAACTCCAGCAATTTGAGGAGAGAGAAAATTTGGGATTATTTTTTGAAAATAAAAAAGGGTAAAGTTGTCTTTATATAAAAAAAATCAGTATGTATAATTTATTTTGCTTTTAAATCGGTTTTTATAATGTATTTTCCAAAGGTTTTATTCTTAAGCAATTATTGAGATATTCCCCCCCCCCCCCATTTCCTTTCCTTCCCCTCCATCATTTGCTTTCCAAACAAAGGAAATTGCATTACTCCCTTTCCCTTTTCTTCCTTTCTCCCCAAATCTCTCTAACCAAACGAGGTGTTAATATTTTTACCAATAATGCATCTAAATAAAAACAGAGAAAATAAATAAGATTAAAAAAACCTTCATAAAAATTAAAAACCAAGGCTTTGTTTGGATAGCAAGTAGGGGTGAAAGTTCGGTTTTCGGTTTGGTTTTTTGCCCAAACCGAAACCAAACCACCAAATTTCGGTTTCTTGATTTTGCAAACCACACCGCACCACTTTAGCTTTGAAACCGAACCAAACCAAACCACCTAAATTTCGGTTTTCCTAAAAAAAACCAAACCGCACCGAATTTTCCTCTCAAGCATCCTAAACATCACATTTTGCAAAAAAACCGAACCAAACCACACCAATTAAAATTGAACCAAACCAAACCATACAAACATCCCACCTAAAACCCACCTACCACCCACCCTAACCTACCAAAAAACACCGAAACTACCACCACTAACCACCCACAACAATGCCCACTAACCACCACTAACCACCCATAGAAACTATCACCACTACCACCCACAACAACCACCAAAAACCACCTTATCACCACCCCTAACCCAGATCCGCACCCACCACAACCCACAACCCACCTTATTTCACCACCCTTCATCCTTTCCACCCAAACACTAACCCTAGATCGACCCACAACTACCTATCACCACCGCAATTCAATCTACACGGCTACGCCACCATAAAAATAAAGTAGGAAAAAAAATTCAAATCAAATTAAAATTAAGAAAAAGAGGACATACCTCACATTCCACCGAAAAACCTCGAATTTGGGTTTTAAAGGTCAAGTTCGACCATGAAAACACTAGATCTAGTGTTTTCATGGATGAATTTGACATGAAAAACCTTAGCTACTCAGTTGATGGCTTAATAACGTTGTAAATAAACTTAATAACGTTGGAAAAGAGGAGAACAGAGTGATGGAGAAGAGATCAAAGAGGAGAAAGAAAGGACGGAGTTGAGAAGAGGAAAGGAGGGAGAGGAAGAACTAAGATTCTGAGAAGAGAAGAGAGGAGAGAAAGGGCGGAGAGGTGAGATCAGGAGAAGAAGAGGAAGTGAGGGATTAGGGTTTTTTTTTTTCCTTTATATACTTAGGGTAAAAGTGTTGGGCTAGGGGGCTTTTGGGCCTGAAATTTCGGTTCTGTTCGGTTTTGTTCGGTTTTTCGGTTTTTCAATTTCTAAAACCGAAACCAAACCGAAAACCGAAATATTTTTTTTTTTCAAAACCAAACCGAACCACTTTCGAAAAAAAAACCGAACCATATTTCTTATTCGGTTCGGTTTTCGGTTTGGTTCGGTTTTAACCCAAATTTGTTTCACCCCTAATAGCAAGTAAGGAAGGAATGGAAGGGGAAAGAAAGGGAGGGGAGGTAAACTCCATTTTTCCTCCAAATCTCTTCAATTTTAGAGGGATTATGCTTATTAAAGAGAGAAGAAAAATGAATCCCTCCCTCTCCTCTCCATTCCTTCCCTCAATCTTTTACCCAAACAAGAGAGTTTGTGCCCCTCTCTTTCTCTTCTCTTGTTTTCCTTCCAATTTCTTCTATCCATATAAAGTGCAAGTGGCAATTGGATCATTCGGATCGGATTCGAGTCGTGCTAGGAATCTATTTAGATCGCATCAATAAATATAAAATCATAGTTCCAAAAATCAGCTGAACAGAAACTACTCCTCCGGCTCTTAGTACATCCGCCCAATTTATTTACTCTTCCTATTTTCGGAGAAAAGAAGAATTTCAATTTTACTTAGTCTGATAATCTATTCCATTTTGCTTTACTTACAAATTCCAATTCATTTGATATGTAGGAAATTAAGAACTTTAAACTTCGATTCATCAACATTTTCCCTGCAAATCAATTCAGCTACAATTTTTAGGTAATTTCTGCTCTATCTCAATTTTTTAATATTACAGTTCATTGTTGTGATTTGTGTAATAATTTTGTATAATTAGTTGGAAAATTTGTTGTTTATTACTGGGATTAATGTGGTTAATTTCATTGATTCTTTTCACTTGTTGTTTGAATAGCTGAATATATTGATATGTTTTGATGATGATTTAGTTCTGTTAATGATTTAGTCCATTTAGATATGTTATGTACGCAGTATGAGAGATAGCATTGTATACCATTTTGTTTTCAATCTGAATCATAGCTATAATTTTACATTGATGTTCGCAAGGAATTTTACAATTTTGATAATCATTTAGAGATTAAAATGTTCAATAAACATTTGGTGTGATCGTGTTACTTTAATGGCTAAAGTAATACGCGCTATTCTGGTTGTAAATTTGTTTAATAAAATAGTGTAAACATCTGAAAACAACGAGGGCGTTTGATTGAGGTTGACAAAAATGTTTAATCGAGGATCGTTGCATACCTATAGTTCGAGGATGTTGACAAAAATGTTTAACCGAGGATGTTCACTAAAATGTTTAATCGAGGATGTTGCTTACCTTAGGTAAGTGAAACTTCTCACAGGAAACCGAACATATTGAGGTCTACCATGGAGTATACCTGACATCTAAACGGGATTGCATTATCGTGTTTGTGTTTTGTGTATTGAGCTTTGAACCTTAGCATAAGCATTAAACCTTGGAATCTGCCATAGTGTTCCTTTCATTTTTGGTTCTTCTAAGAAGTAAATAGGCCCATAGAGCCACTGATTGAATTCACGATATGGATGTTAGGCTTGGTAGCTGTAAATCTGTAATGCTTCTTCAATTGGTCGTATAGCAGAGATTTTAGTTCAGCAGCATCTCTCTGCTTGATTTTGCAATGTGATGTTGTACTCTGCTGTTTATTTGAGGTCTAGTCAATAGCATTTTTCCTCTGAACTGAACAGCTTATACTTATCCTGTATTGACCTGGGACTCTGACTCTGAGAATCGTTGAGATATTACCCTTGAAGTGGCTTATGCAAATTTTCATTGTAATGCTAGATTGTCTACATCTATGCGGCTATGCCCTTTTAAATGGAGGGCGTGATGGAAGAAAATATAGAACGTGACATCTATCCATCTAGCAATTCCTTGGAATGGAGCCTATGGCAGCTTCTTGATTCCATTTTACCAACAGGTGGTTTTGCACATTCATTTGGCCTCGAGGCTGCAATACAATCTCGTTTAGTCAATAACCCTGAGGATCTCCAGACTTTTGTGATCCAAGTTTTGCAAAATACTGGGAGCTTACTACTCCCTTTTGTACATGCTACTACTATATCACATGACATAGAAACTTGGCATAAACTTGACAAAATGTTGGATGCAATGCTAACCAATGAGGTAGCTCGTAAAGCATCAACTACCCAAGGTTCAGCTCTTCTGAGAATTGCTGCAGCCATGTTTACAGAAGTACCTTCTTTGAAAACCATGAGAGAACAGTCATTGGGTGCTAAGGCTATTTCTTTCCACCATGCTCCCATATTTGGACTTGTTTGTGGGCTTCTTGGAATTTCTCCTGATATTTCTCAACAGGCTTACTTGTTCATCACACTAAGAGACGTAATCTCTGCTGCAACAAGGCTGAATTTGATTGGGCCTCAGGGTGGTGCCGTTCTGCAGCATAGGGTATTTTGTACTGCCGAGAAGATTTTGATGAAATGGAAAAATTGTGATGTTGAGGATGCATGCCAAACTGCACCGTTGATCGATGTTGTGCAGGGCTGCCATAGCTACTTGTTCTCTAGAATGTTCTGCTCATAGGTGAATATGCATAGTATTTTTTTTGCTAGAGTTGATATTATTATGTACGTGGTTGTTTGGTTGAACATAAGATGACTGTTTAACACGTGAACTTTTTTGCTCAATGAAGCTCCTGGCAATTCGTAATTATCTAACCTGTCTCAGTAAATTAACTGGCCATTGAGATTGCTGGTTCACCTTTCTGTTGTGTGCTGATGCTGGGATGTTCCAACATTTACTCTTCATGTCAAAATGTAACTTAATTGTGCTGTATCATGTAATGTAGACAACGTAAAATATAGATCAATGAGCCAAAAGCCTGAAATTTAGCTTCCTTTGCATTTCCTCTCAACCATCATTTGTATCTATCTTCATGCTTCATACAAGTGTAATTATATGCATGGACTTACAGCTATCAGTTGTATCAGGATGATTAATCTTTGAAATTGGTTTGATTTGCAGCAGTTTCAATTCAGTAAAATTTTGAATCATAGTCAATTAAATTACTTAAAATAATGTGGTCGTCAGAGTGTAAGACTTAAAAAAACCGAGGGAGTATATAGTAATTGCTTAAAAGTTAAATCACAATACACCATTTTCCTCTAGTCCTCAAATAAAAATCTCATTTCATCTGAAAATGTTTTCCTAAAAAAATTTCAATAATCAAAGACCAAACCTCACCATATATATATATTTATAATTTACTTTAAACCAACCCAAATTTACCGTCTTGTTAAATGAGACTTTGGCCCTGTTCGACGGTAGCACTTTATGTAGTTGTTAGCGCTTGGACCAAGTCAAAACTAAGGCTGTCAAAAACTGATACGACACGATAACTTAACACAAATCCGATCCGAAATAAGCAGGTTTGGGTAAAAAATTCTTGACCTTTTAAATAATTGGATCGACATAAACCAAACACAAAATTAAGCGGGTTAGATTAAGATTGAAATTTTCAAACTTAAATCCTACATGTGTAACCCAATCATATAAATGGTTGAACCTCAACCCGTTAACCCGAACTTAACACAATTATCTTGTCTATTGAAGTAATAAAAAAAAAAATTGATTTTTTTATGTCAATCTTGCTACCCAACCTAATGGCATAATTTGAAGCTACAAATATTTTAACGAACAAAATTTTTGGTTTGGGCGAACAAATTTTAATACACTTCCACTTTAAAGTCTTCTAGAATCTAGACTTACTCTTGATCACCCACTCGACCGCTCTCAATTCTCACGCAACACTTCCTTCATCCTAACCTTCTACTCCCTCTGTCCCTTTATTTTTGCCCCATTGACATTTATGGGGTCAAATTTTTGAAAACTTTGACATAAATTAACGTTAATCTGTAAAAGAAAATTTAGTCATGAGTAGTCTTGTTAGATTCGTCTCATTGTATTTTTTTTTTATTAATATCACGTTTTTATGATTTTTACATGTATGGAAATAAAGATATAGATATTTTAATACGCTTCTTGGAGACCATGCATAGTCAAATGGGGCAAAAAAATTAGGGACAGAGGGAGTATAATGTATTATGTACTAAACAATATAATGCCTTGCATGAATTAGTAAAGATTAGTAGGTAAAAGGTAATGTTTAATAAGTGAGTTAAGTTTGGGTCAAGCCTTTTCAACACGTTTAATAAGTGGGTTAAGGTTTGAGTTAAGGATTTATCAACTTGTTTATTATCGACACTAACATGAACCTGACATGACACGACCTGTTTAATAACTATAGTTAAAACACTAGTAGGAAAAAATGAGAGTGTTTAGTAAGGTAAAGGTTGGTGGTAAAAGTAGCATTTTGGTCGCTTTTCTTAAATGTTAAAAATATTAGTTGTTAAAATGTAGTGAGGAGCGTATGACTTTGATTGTGTCTTAATAATTCAACCACTATTTTTGCGAAACACTCATAGGAGGTCCTTCCGGCCTAGGTTAGCGGGCTAGGCACTTTAGGAGTTGGGGGGAAGAATAAGAGAATCCCCACTCCAAACTGCCTCTAATGGGGTTTGATCTCACAACCTCATGGTTGTGAAATGCAAACCTTATCGCTAGCCCAGACTATGCTTGGTAAGCTATTTGCTACCGTTGGTTTTGCCAAACAAGGCTTTTAACTTGGGAATAGATGGAGTAATAAATTTTAATATAAAAATAATTCAGTAAAGATAATTTTAATTCATAAAAAATACTTTAATTTCAGCAAATATCCGATGTGAATAGATTCAAAACTATATTGGATGTGAATAAATCCTAAACTAAGGCTGTGTTTAGCTCACCTTCATGATCTTATCACTAATTTCAGATCAAATCAGTTCATATTAGAATTTATCATTTCATTTTTTATTTCTTATCGGTATCTTTAATTCAACAATAAATAAAATTATGAAAATTACGTAATTTTTTTTATACATAGATTTATGTATTATAAAATACAAATTTTATAACATCCCATTTATATATTTTTTTTTTATAATAGATTGACATACGTATAAAGTCATACTTTAGTCAAATCAGAGCAATTTAATTAGTTCAGAAATATAAAATCTAATCACATCATATCAAATTAAAAAAAAAAGGTAAACTAAACATAGTTGATAATATTATGTTTTGAATGTTTAAGTGTCAATGAACTATCATTTTGATGTTTTATATGAAGTAATATATTTGGTTTTGTTTTTCACAAACTTTGATACGTGGCTGGTCACATTGTGTGGCCAATTATCATGGGTTACTTTGTTAAATTAGTGTTATAGGGGTTACTCGGTCAGTGTTATAGGGTTACTCAGGGTGTATTCTATTCACCCGATTTTCACTTATCTGAACTTATCTTATTTTATTTGAACTATCTGAACTTATCAAAAGTTATTTTAGTTTTAATTTGTACTTAAGTAACCCTTATTAAAACTTTTTTTTTTAACTGAACTTAACTCATTTGAACTTATTACATCTGAAATAAGTGAAAATAAGGTGAATAGAACAACCCCAGTCAGTATTACATGGGTTACTCGGTCAGTGTTATAGAGATTATATATTTATTTTATTTATTTTTTGGTATACACATTTAGTGCTTGTGTAAATTACTTATTTTATTTTTTCTCCCAAATATTTTCATAGACATTTTTTAGGGAAATTCATAGACTTTATCTCTTGATTGCAAGCTGTATTGATGATTCATGGTTATTCTTGAAGATTAATTTGAATTCAAAACAATAACAATCTTTTTTGAGCATCTTTGGTTTAGAGATTTAAGTACAATTACATTTATGTTGTACTTAGAAAACATAACAAACATAAATACACACAATAATAAGACATCCGATTTAAATTTGCACAAAGTCTTCAAATCATTTTTAAAACAAATGTGATACGAGTAATTTTCAAAATATAAAATACAAAAATGAGATCTAAATCTATTTGACTCATTCTCAGTTCAATCCCACAAATATCTACATCAATTTTCAAAATTCTTTTAATTTTTTTTTTATTAAAAAAAGAGCACACGAGTCTAACAGAGTACAAAAACTTACTCATCATACATTTGAGGAATAGTACTACTCACTACTATTATTAAACAATAAAAAAAGATCCCTTCTAATAAAGGCAAACTTCTCCTTCTAATAATAGGAAAATCATTATGTCAAAAAGGAAATAATTAAGTCAAAACTATAGATTATACAATAATATCATATTCATTAATTATGCTTTAATTATTCTCTTAATTTCATGTGATTATTAATTAATTAATTAATTAATAAAAGTAACACAAGTACTTATAATATTGGGCCTACTATATGTCAAACATATTTTAATATTTTGACCCAATATTAAAAAAATAAAATGTAGGTCTAATATATTTTTTTTTCTATAAAAAACGCAGAAAAATAAATTGAAGAGAGAGAAAGAAGAGAGAGAAAGAGAGGGAATGAGGAAGAAGAAGAAAAGCAACAACACTTGGGAGAAGTAGCAAAGCTGTGTGTACTCTCGCCCTAAGCTTTCTCCCCTACTTTCACTCCAATTTCGCCATTTTTACTCTCTCTAAAACTTTACATCTTTCTCTCTCTAAAAAAATATACTTACGTTTCTCACTCTACTTTCTCTCCTTATTTTCTCTTCTTCTATACTCAATCAAACCCATTTCCTTTTGATCGCTCTTTATGTCTTCTTCTTTCTTCGATTACGGCTAGTTTGAATTCCAGATTTTCCCCTTTTTTTTAATTTTGGTTTTCTCCTCATTTCTCCTGTTTTTCAAATTTTTTTTATTTTTTTTTTCTGGATCTGATTGGGTTTCTGGTGTTCTGGGTTTTCTGAAATTGATGAGGGTCGAAATGGGTTTGCGCTGATTTTTCGAATTTGAGTTAAATTTTTTTTTTGGGGTTTTTTTTTTCTTCAGATTTTTAAAAAAAAAATTGTACTCTGATTTGATCTGAATAATCGTGAATTTTTAAGTGTATTTTTCCCTTGATTTTTTTTTTTGGGAATTTTGGGAATTTGTTTTTGATCTAAATTCTGTGAATTAAGTTTCAGTCAAGGCTGATTTTTTCTTCTATCCGATCAAAAGCATTGTAATTCCTGAATATTTTTGGTACCAAATTTTCATTTTTTTTTTTTAGAAAAATTCAGTTGATTAGCTTAATTAGGCTCCAATTGGTCTGAATTAGGGCATCAGATTGTGGGAATTACCTGGGTTGTTGTTGAAGATTTATCACCATTGCAGTTCAACTGTTTCAGGTCAAGTGTTTTTTTTTTTCCTCTGCTTATTAAATTAGTTCAATTATTTTGTTGTTGAGAACTAATTTTTTAATGAAAATGCAGAAATGATTCAGATTTTACTGTGATTTATTTCAATTGATGTTAGTTGTGATTGAATTACCATGAAACTATGGAATTTAGAGCAGAAAGTAGCATATATTCTATATCCACTTAAGTATGATTTATGAAATTGAAAATGATGAAATTCAATCTATTTCATGACATTGTTATGATGAGTTATCGTCGTATTGGTATCTCATCTGTTTCATTGTTATTGGTGTCTGTTGATGCTGTTTTAAGTTTCCAATTGACCTTTTCTAGCTGCTAGAAATGATCCTTAAGAGCGCGTAAATGTGAGTTAAGATGGCTC